ATAATAACGGTCGTTCCCCTCTTGCACAGGCAGCCTGGAACGGCCACGAGGCGGCAATCCGTATACTTCTCGATAAGGGTGCGGGGATCGCTTCAAATATGCTTTCTTTTTCGGCCGAAGGGCCTAGCCGAAGGATTACGGAACTACTCGAACGTGAAAAGCCAAAAAAAAGCTACGGCCGACCCCGTTGGAAAACCTTTGGAAATCCGCACTAAAAGGCGGTTTGACTTGAAGAGAAAAAAAACTAGCAATGGCTGAACTATCATGGACAGCAGCAATGGCAGTTCTTGAAGCAACTATACACGAATGAATATAGCTGACAGCTGGCGTGGTATAGGCCGGGGTAGAATGGAGGGAAATATACCTTGAAGAGAAAACTAGTTTTGTAGCGTTTCATGAATTCTTCTGGAGCTGGCAAGGGTGGTTGCGGTCCAATTGATTCTGTGTTCCTTCCAAACGCCGGTCGCAATCAAGAGGATTTCATATAGAGAAGAAGACCTTGAATTTATGATGATTATGAGTTCAGTAGGAATTGCTTTGGCAGTTAGACCAGTATAAAAATGAACTCTTAATTTGCAGACATGATGAAGTACCCATTTTGAATATAGATTAGATTTTACGTGAGCCAATTTGAAGGGGAAGATATGGTCGAAGGAGCGTCTGAAAGACGGCCAAGTTGATTTTTATAATCTATGAACTAGAGGTACCAAAGGGCTATCTCGCATACTTGAGCAGGTGATTTGTAGTGGGTACCGACGTAGTCATCACAACAAAGTACTATTTTCTCCAAGCGCTCCTCTTGCTTGATGTAATCTTTGCGGTTTGGCCCTCTCTGCATTTATTGACCCGCCTCTCCTGAGTGGCAATGAAGATCCTACTAGGACGGAGCTCAGTCTCATGTTGAGCTACCCTTTCTAGATGAAGAAGGAAGCCCATTTGGCTGGGTCAATCTGCTCAATGGACATCAATGTACAGGTTTAGCTACTTATAAGTTCAAGCCGGGCGTCGCTTACTAGATCACATGCTCTTCCCAGAACAATATGATTTCCCACATATACTTTGTCCTGCTCTAAAGAGTTATACCAGAACTTCTGTTGTACCAAAATGGAAAAGGATTGAGGCTTGCAATATATCTAATCCTCCCTTCTTGTCCAAGAAACTCGAGTTTTATTCGCTCTACCGCATACTACCATGGTTATTGTCATTGTCGACGTGATCCGGAATTCTGCACATCATGGCACCCAAAGAAACAGCACCAGGCGAGTGGCGCAGCTCTTATTACAATTATTCCATGCAGAGCACCCAGCGACCCAAAAGCTCTTCTTTGTCAGGTCCTAGTTCATTAAAGACCTCTTTGCAGAAGAGAAAATGCTAGGTCTGCCAGAGTCTACTGCCAAACATGGAGGTGTATGACACAAACGCATGGCGACGGCCAGTAGGTTTCAACTAGTCAATACAACTATGTGTATATTATGATTAACGCAGTGAGGTATGCAACCCTTGGTACTCTCTATTGATGCAAACTTGACATTTTACACATAATCCTCTCTAATATTAAATGCTAAAATGGGACTTTAGCCGCATTGCTTTGCTGTCCTGTCATATACAACCATGCAGTGTAAAAACTCGACATACCGTCCGATTTGCCCTAGATAAGCTCTTAGTCGCAACTTGCGCAAACAAAAGATGATGCATCGGCCTGTCAACGCGATGCTGACACTTGCGCCTAACTCTTGCACATGTATGGAGTAGCGAACAATACTAACTTGTTTTCTCTAGATTTAAGTCGCAAAAACACAAATATAATCCTTTCGCCCTATGCAATGACAAATTTGATGCTCGGTTGTGCAACATGAGATGATAGCCGTGTTTGCATCAGAATACGCGCGGAGGCATGCGTATTTTGCCCCGTTCAACACCAACTAAACAGCTTAGATACAATTCGTGGCTTTCAGCGGCATGTCGGAGGCCTGAAACACAAAACACTCGATGATCCTTTGCCGGATAGTTCTGCAACAATCACGAAGCTCATCAAGCGACGATAGACCACCGACTTCGGTTACCCAAGACTAATACCAATCACAACAGTCATCGCACCACCACCCGGCTCCATCAAAATCGTAATCAGCATACAAGCTAGACTGCCCCTTCCAAAACCAATATGACTGGCCATCTTCTGGACAAATATCCTGATTCATTCTCCAGATGGGACACTGCCGCTGCCAGAATAACGCACTTTGTTGCGCACAGTCGATTCGATATTGTCTTTGTCTTAGCCAGCTCGCCAAAAGGCTGTAGCAAAAACAAGTACACCCCAGTCTTACTAAGAACGAGTGGATATAACGACTGCCGTCAGAGAATGGCTGCCTTTCGTGCCTTAGAGCCCATACGGTGAATATGGAACTCCCCACGAAAGTAGTGGGAGCCATTACAGCTTGTAAAGTGTCACTAGCATACCGGGCCATCATGGCATCTGCCAGCCAGAGACAAGCCGGTGCGCTCAGAAGAATGCCTATATGCCGAGCAGGCCGGATTTTCCAGATCCATACGTAGAATACCGAAAATAACGCGATGTTTTTCGAGTTCTCTTCAGTGTTGAACGAGAAGAAGAGAATTGTGACAGCAAGAGAGAGTAAAAGCCTGTTTGCCCTGATCATACTCGAGCATGTCGGGAGAAAGTAAGTAAATACTGGAAGGAGCTCATAGAGCGTTTGCGTTGCCATTAATATGATACCGATGGTGTCTGCGAACGAGAGATGATCGTGACAAAAGTCACAACTCGACCCGAATATCTCGGACACATAAGGAAGCCCTTGGTATGAGTAGGTGTAGATTGCTGCGCATACCACACTGAGGACAAATAGTAGATATAGCACCAAAGGATTTCTCAGTATATGTGCACGTTGCGCAATGCCGGCAAGAATTCTTATTTTGTTCCATGGTCCATTTTCGAGGAGAACAGTGGACCATGGAACCATTGTTACTTGTCTCCAGATGCGTCTAGCGTCATGGTCAGGGGCTTTGGGCTTAATATTGATACAAAAGCCCTGGATACCAAGAATGTTTGTCCGCGTAGTGTACAAGAGGATGTCACGATCAATGTTGGGTGATGACGGTAATGAACCCAAGTAATTGGCATCCAATAGCTCACGCGGGCAGCTAAAGCTCTGTTGAGGAATGGTCTGGAGCGCAATCTCAACATCCGACGCGACTTTCGATTTGTGCTGGATGATCACTACAGCGAACTCTTTTCCCGTCTTGACGATTTTGAACAGCAGCACGAAGAGCGGTTTCATGCCTGCCGGTCGATCGTGGGAGCAGTAGAGAATATTCTGAGTAGGAGACCACTTCTCCGGAGGGAAGACCTCTTGGATGCTGAGCCCAGGCGCAACCGATAACCACATAATCTCTTCGCTCTTTTCGGACAGTAGATGGTCAGCATTCGAAGTCGCAGTGGAGAGATACAGTGACTGCAATGGCCAACGATGCCATGATTGTTCTCTGACTAGCTTGATACCTGCGAAGGCTCTTCTATAGAGGCCGGTCTGCTGCTTGATCAATGGTATGGCAATGAGATACGAAGGTTCGTCTTTGATCTGACACGGCAAAATCATGTGGCAGTTTTCATCATCGGATGCCGGCAGACTGACACGAAATCCTCTACTCGTCAGCTCCCAGTCAAACGCAATGCGATGAGCAATGACACGTTCGCAACGCCAGAAATATCGCGGACTAGTTGCAAGCAGGCCGTCAGATGGATCCCACGTGGCCTCGTAGGGCACCGGGTCACTCCATGGATGCTCGTTGCACAAGAGCATATCCACTGCTGAGCGTGCGGCCGGAAACAGTCGTGCAAGACTCCCTTCCCGTGATTTCTGGGACTCGAGGCGTCGCGACTCAAAATCGTCCCAGGGTAAGCCCCAAGCAAGCAATGTCCAATCAAAGTTGCGACGAATGATCTCTTCTTGAAGCCTAATGAAGGCGTACGATCCTTCGCCGTAGAGCAATGGCATACTGACATTACAAAGACCGAGTAGTGAGTACGCAATGTCCTCTTCTCTTGTTGTTTGACGTCTAGCGGCCCAACTCATCTTTTCTGCAATCGTAGAATCTCGTATTCGCGATAATCGCCGCCGGCTTTTGTCGTTATTCGTAGGGTGATTGCCTCCGAGATCGTCCTCGCCGTCTACGAGATATCGTTCGTTGATACCAGTAATAGCCTGGATCCATGTAGAAAAGCTGGTACGGTCGCCGAGGCACTGCCAATCGGAGTTGTACAGTAGCACAGAAGGTGGTGCCAGAAGCTCTTGCAGCGTCCAACCTCTAGTGAACCATCGACTCGCATTCCATTGCGGCCATACCTGTTCCTCCTCTACCCAGGTAACATCGCACAGGTATGCAATGCAAAGATCGGCGTTCTGGTACCACCGAAACATCGAGTTGATTGCTTCCGATAGCTCAGTGCTACTCGTTTTGTCGATGCAACAAGTGTCGACCCAAGCATATTCATAATGCATCCGATTGACTAAGAGACAGAAGCGCGCTATCTTCTGGAATCCGGCTTTTTGTCTGGCCTCGGCTGTGTGGAATTCTTGGTAGGACACCTCCCCATCTTGCCATGTATGAGACAGTATGACATAAGGAGGGAAATCATGAGTGAATTCTTCTATAATGAAAGATTCGACATTGATGAGACGCATCTTGAGCAGCGGGGATCCGAGGGTGGATACAGAAAGTCAACCTGCACAAGAGCTAGGAGAGGAGGAGCAAGAGGCGGCGACATTTGAATGATGGGTAGTAAAGTACAGGTTTAGATGACCAAGTCGTTTTTTTTTTTTAAACCAAAAGTTCCTAACAAATCATGCCTACTTGTACCTAAGCCTGCGGAGATTGGACTCAATTGGGAGTCGCTGCCTGGGGCGCAAGCTATCATGCAGCATACCAGGTATGTGAATGGAGGATATGCGCAAGCCAAGATCCGACAGGGGTCTGCGCCCGAAGTCTAACTCTTACTGTGTAGTGAGATCTGGTTGGAGATTGAAGGCGAGATCAACACATGCTACCACCCAAGATGTCCTGCCGCGCTGATATGGTGCTGATTGAAGTGTTATTTGAGCTCCAGAGCGGTAAGGCTGATCAAAGGAATCCTCTCCCGGTATTAGTTAGACAGCGCAACAATTAGCTCAAGCGCATCCTAGTGTATGTGTGATCCATTATACACCGTCTGGCAATTATAGATTCACAATTTACTATTTATTTCGACGGATATGGGTTTGAAAGACACCCTTAGCGTTGGGGGGTATACTACCGTGTAGCACGTCGGCACAGGTGCTGATACGGCTGCTAGTGAAGCATAGCTTCTTGACGCCTAAAATCACGCCGTCGCATGTAATTCTCCCATGCCGACAAACTAGGGTTGTTTCCTGCCGCTTTATACTCTTTGGCCAAATGATCGATCCTTATTGAGATCAATTATAATGAAGTATACCTCAAGGCATCGCCGTGGACTGTCCACACCGTTCGAGAACTTGCGTCGGAGCCGCCACGTGCGGTTGCGACGGTAAGACGCCAGCCCGCAATCGCTGTGCACAGGCACTGCAGCTGTGCCTGCAATGGACGCCATCATGCCGGAAGCATGTCTGCCAGTGGCAGAGGAAGCCTACGCAACTGGCGGAATACAATCATCAAATGCAACTCTCAATCATCTCGCCAGTCGCATCTTCACAATCCCGGAAGTCGAATCCTCTTCAAGCGCATGTCGGAAAATTCCCGCATGTATTTTGCCCTGTGCTCTCACGAGTCTTTCGTAACAAACTTCCGCCAGACCTATATGGTAAGGGGTTGAGACTCGGAATATGAACCCCTTTTCACTGTCCATTCTTGCAAACTTGACTTTTGACAGGCGGTCCTATCTAATGGTGACTGCAAAATGCGATGTGGCGGAGGCAGCTCAAACGAACGTGGAATATGTAATGCATTGTTGAGGACTACAATCACATACGACCATACGCACTAGAATACACGGCATCCCGTCCGCTCTGCCCTAGTTAAGCTGGTGACGGCCGAATCAGTACTCAGGTCGGTGACGACTGGGGAATCCTCGGTGTTGTATGTTTTTGCATTTTTATTCTACTCTTTTTCTTTTTGCCTGGTTGACATCAAGAAGAGCTTGATATCGACATTTTATTTTTGAGCGCTAGTGTTGTATGCTGTGGGGGCTCTGACAATTGCGTACCTATTTACGGAACCCGTGTGGAATCACGCTATAATTGGCCTTAATCTGTGGGGAGACTGTGCAATATCCTCTATTGCAGAAATCCAGAAGCCTGACTCTTGCTTTGGATTTATGAATAATCCTTCTGTTTAACCTTTTGCAGAAGCCGTAATTGGTCACAGCGTTGAAGCCATTTTTGGTGAACGAGCTTGTTCCGTCGCAAGTTGGAAGATGCTTTAATGTCTCTACCCCTCCTAGACTTGCAATAAATGATGCGGGGCGCCGTTATGAACCTTGCTACCTCGCATTCGTGCCCAAACCTACCGGAGGACAGGGTAATCCTGCTAACCTATGAGGCCAAAGGTCTTTCTTGTTGAGTGTGTGTGTACAGTGACTTAGGTATTAAGACTACGTTACGTACTATACTGGGCATAAGGGTTACTTATACCCATAGCCGAGTAATCCTTGTACTAGGTACATTGCTTGCATACAAACAATCAACATTTCTCAACCGTATGAATGTTTGCGCACCACATGACCAAGATAGAAGTACACTTGGGTCAAGCTTGCCATAGTATGTGTACAGTATTTCCGCTTTTTAACAACCCGAGCTTGCCTTGCCATGATATTAGACCTTGAATCTACGGGCCTTGTCTTCGTATTAAGGGCTTATGGATGCGTTGATCGCTGCAGGACTCAGCTTCGTGGGGTAATTCAAAACGTGAAGCTGGCTACAATGCAAATGTTCTTTTTCCTTGCACAGTTTTCATTAATGTAAAAGGTCGACCATGGAAGGGAGTCTTTGTATCTTAAAATGAAATGGTGTTGCTATAAACAGTTATTTGAAAGTTAGTCGACGATATGATATTTCCTAGAATTATTATGGGTTCATTTGATTGTTGTATTCATGCCGTGATAAAAAAGCATTTAATATCAAAGTACATTACAGCATGAATTTAAGAAAAATGGTGGGTTAAAATTATATTTGATTTGCTGATGTTTTTGCTTGGCGCATTTTTGCCCTGCTGCAAGCCTTCTTAATCCTCGGCTAGCAAGCAGCAGTCGGGCTGCATTATTGTCACAAAGGTGTGCTTCGTAAAGTCTAACGAATTTTCAGAATGCCTTGACCCCCAAGGCATTCTCCAAATGCCCCGCTCTTATGAATCAGACTGTAGTCATGGCCTTTGAGTTAACTTTCTTTACTCAAGCATTTCAGCAACAATAAGCCATCGTAATAATAGTCAGAAAGCGGATTTCAAACTTGAGAATATCGATTCCCAGGTGAAGACTGTACATATACACGCAGAGATCAAAAGCCTTCCCATGGATAAGCATTCTGACGATATTATTCAATGGCTAGCTCCACCGGACGTTTCCTCCAATTTCAACAGAGCTCTCCAGGCTCGCCATCCAGGTTCCGGCCAACGGTTACTTGCAAGCAATGCGTACACAAGGTGGGAAAATGGTGATAACTCATTCCTTTGGCTTCGTGGCAGCTCTGGATGCGGCAAAACCATCCTTGCGTCTACCATAATAGAAGACTTGCAACAGAGCCAAAGTCATACAGTGCTATATTTCTATTTTGACTTTACCGACAACAGAAAGCAGTCCTTGGAAAGCACACTTCGCTCCTTCATTTGGCAGATTTACTGTCAGAGCAAACATACTCACAAGTATCTTCACGAAATCTACTCATCAGCATGCCAAGGCGGAAAAGAGCCCAGCTTTGACTCTTTACAATGGACCTTTACTCAAATGATAGGCAATTTCGACAAGGTATGGATCGTGCTCGACGCGCTCGACGAATGTATGTCACAACCTGTCATCTTGGATAAGCAATTTTGCCCAGGATTCTTCCATGCAGGTCGATGTGCACCTCCTCGTAACCAGTCGACCGGAACAAGATATTGAATCGTCTATCCAGTGCTACGCCAGCAAAGAAGCAATCGAAATACAATATGAGATGCTGGAGGCGGACATCCGAAACTATGTATATGCTAGAGTGCGTCAGCAGAAAGCCTTCAGGCAGTTGTTTCGAAATTATGAGATCCAAGCCGAGATTGAGGTTACTTTACTGAATGCTGGTGGAACGTAAGAGACCAGTGCTCTCCTCGGCTGCAGATACCATGCTAATATTATACAGATTTCGCTGGGTATCATGTCAACTTGACTCGTTGGGAAATTGCCCAACACGAAACGCTGGGCTGAAGTTACTCCGAAACCTTCCAAGAACACTTGAAGACACATACGACGGCATATTGGCAACAATACCACTAGTGCACATGCACTATATAAAACGAATTCTGCAATTGCTAACGTATTCGGAACGACCTCTGCGACTTGAGGAGGCGGTTGATGCAATCGCCGTTGATATAGGAAAAACAATGGCTCGAGGACAACGATTCAATCCCAAGAACAGGTTGCCAGCTATAGGAGAAATCATCTCGTGTTGTTCGAGCCTTGTTGTTCTCGTCTTAAGAAAAGGTGGACACGACGAAGAGCCACGAATACCAGAGATCCAGCTGGCACATCTTTCAGTCAAAGACTACCTCTACTCAAACCCTATACCAAGTGCTCAATATTTACAGGGGATTCCTGCTGGAAGCTCTATTGCAAGGGTTTGCCTCTCGTATCTGTTAGATCTTCCGAGGAGTGCAACGGTGAAAGAGATCAGAAAATCATTTCCTTTCGCCCAATATGCAGCACAGTACTGGGCAGATTACACTATAATGTGCAAGCGAAAGAGCGGATTTGAAGTCCAGCTCGCAAAAGAGCTGCTTTGCAATCCGAACCGGCCCTGGGAGATCAAATCAAAGGTCGAAGACATAGCATCTGCTCTATATTATTCATCACTCATGGGACTGCCGCGCTGTGTCAGGATGCTGCTGGAAGTTGGGGCGGACGTTAATGCCCATAGCGGAAGATACGACAACGGCATCGGCAATGCGCTTAGTGCGGCTTCTTTTGGGGGACACGAGACAATTGCACGGCTGCTGATTGACCATGGGGCAGACGTTAATGCGCGTGGCGGAAGATACGGCAATTCGCTCCAGGCCGCATCTTTTGGAGGGCACGAGGCAACTATGAAACTGCTGGTCAACAAAGGAGCGAATGTCAACGCGCGAGGTGGATTCTATGGCAACGCGCTCAGCGCGGCTTCGTCTGGAGGACACGAGGCAATTGTGCGGCTGCTGATCAACCATGGGGCGAATGTCAACGCACGGGGCGGATTTTATGGCAACTCGATCAGCGCGGCTGCGTCTGGCGGATATGTCGGGATCGTCAAAATGCTGATGAACGAGGGCGCCGACTTGGCCGCTGCAGGGAGCAACGGGCAGACGCCAGTCTTTAAAGCTTCGAGTCACGGACACGCCGAGGTAGTGAGGATACTGCTAAACAGGGGCGTTGACTTGACGGTTGCAGACAACGACAGAGTGACGCCAATTCAAGCTGCCTCGAGCAAAGGACATAGCGAAGTGGTTAAGATGCTGCTGGATAATGGAGCCGACTGCTCGGTCGCAGACGACTTTGGATGGACGCCACTGATTTTTGCGTCAAGCAGAGGATATGCCAAAGTAGTTCAGGCACCGCTCGACCGGGGCGCCGACTTGACTGTCACGGACAATGACGGGTGGACGCCACTTAATGCTGCCTCGAGCAAAGGATACACGGAAATAGTCAAGATACTGCTCGGCCAAGGCGCCAACTGCGGGGTTGCAGACAATAGCGGGTGGACGCTACTACTTCTTGCTTCGAGCAAGGGATATACCGAAGTGGTCAAGATGCTGCTCGACCGGGGCGCTGACTGGACGGTCGCGGATAGTGATGGGTTGACGCCTCTGAATACTGCTTCGAGACAAGGACATATCGAGATAGTGAAGATGCTGCTGGACAAGGGTGCCAATTGGACAGTCGCAGATCAGAGCGGGTTTACAGAAAGATGCGGAGAGGTGGAGGAAGAAGGTCAACAGGCACTGGAATTGGGAAAGCGGGTGCGGCGATCAGATCGCAACTGGCGCAACCGTGGCAAGTCCTCTACTTTCCCGGAGTCACCCGATGCAAACCAAGTGCTTCAACCGATACGTACGCCAGTGAAGTCAAAAGTACGTACGGCGAATCCATACATCTCCAGCAGAATGACCAACACGTCTTCAATCATCCGTAAAGGAAAGGGACGCCACATTGTCGAGCATCCCGAGCCAGAAGTAACGAATAGTCTCAATGTTAGGCTGACAGCCAGCCATACAGAAACTTCGTCAAGCATACCGCATCTGGTCATCCAGTCTGTGTTATCCAATGAAACTGGGATAACAGCATCTGAAGCCCAAGGTTTGAAACCAAACGAAGTCGCAAGCACAATTATCGCTGCCGGAGCAGCAGGCCTGGCTGGATACGCCGCTGCGCAGAGTAAAAGATCGGCTGACACTGCCAAGGGAAATCTCGATCTTGCTAGAGATGTGCACAAGTATAACATGAAGAAAGACAAAAGAGCTGGAACAGCTCCCGACTCAAGCGATTCTGATGATGGAGGTAGCAGAGCGCCGGTAGGAGACGAACCCAGCGGTAATCAAATAGTCCTGCTTCCCAGAGTTGGACCTGATACCAGGGCTCCAACATCTCCGATCCAAGATTCACCCCTGATAGCTGCGAGGACACCTCAAGCTACGGCAACGCAGACTAGAATATCAGAGACTCACAAACCAGCACAAGAACTCCCAGACCTTGCAGTGGATTTCTTATTCGCAAGGCTGAGTCAACTCCCTACGCCTCCTTCTCATCTTCCCCATGTTGCACTAGCACTATTAGCCTTGCGAAACTTGCCTCCTACGCCTGACCATGAACCGGATAAAGATACAGCCAACCAGTCGGGAGGTGATCTATCAGGTCAAGACTCTTCGTCAGACGAAGACATTGACGGACCACCACAAGAAAACGATCAATCGCGCAAGGCTGATTCTTGGCACAAATTCAAAGGCACACGTAATGGACAGAGACAACCACCCGGGAAGCTGTTTGACAGAACGCGGCAACCTCGGAGCTTATCACGGCACAATAGCCTTCAACGAAGCTTACTGGATCAGCTCACGGACTTGCCCTCCAAGGACACATTATTCTCTTCGATTAACGGTCGTCCTAAAGAGCAATAATTACATATTCTTACTCCTTGTGATTCTGTGACGGCGGACTTTTGGCCTTTTCGAACTGGATGGCAGGGCATGGATGCAGAGGTATCACTCAATCACTTGAACCTCTTGCGCTGGCGCTGCAGCCGATAGTATACTGGTGATGTGGCTCCTCTGAGACTGTCTGCCCAATGGCATTGGCTTGGTGGTTCATTGGCTTCTGTATTGATTGTTTTCGTCAAAGTTTTGATTTGTCCACAGACAAGTGACCACCTAAATTATACTGATGCACTTTCAAACAACTCGCCAGCATTTCCTCGCTGAATAGGTATTTATCTGAGGACGACATGGTCTCTAGGCTTTTCTGGTATTGATCATTACTATACATGGGCTGCAACCAGCTGGCCGGGGCGTTTGGTTGAGTTGGTTTAGCACACTTTTCCCTCACCATCTAATTAGTAGAATAGACTGGACCTGGTGCATTCAATGTTCTGAATAGCTCCTTCTTCAATCCACTTTAGGCGGGGTGAACAATGAATTATAGTGCACAGCACCCAATTCACCCATTGTCATTATGCATTCCTTCTGCAATTGTTTTGTACTGGCTTTTACTACGACGGATGGGCAAAAAGTGACGGTAATTCTGGCTGTAAGCTGTCAGAATGCAACGTTGCTGAATGAGATTTAAAAAATGGATCCACAGTTCTAGCTTACGGCGACTGTCATCGTGTCATACTGTAGGCTGGGGAGAAGTATTTCCCTTTCGCCAAGTAGGTACGCCCTTCAATCGCCGATGAAGATCTAAACAAAAGCATATCCTGCTGCCTCTGGGAAGACAAGATATTTCGAAGCCATTTATTCACTAACCGCAGCATCGAATGTAGTTCAAAGGACTACCAACCTTTCTTTCCAAGGGAAATAAGGTCCGAAGGGCTGACGTCAAGCTAAAGAGAGAGCACTAAATGTCCAACGCGGGGGAATAGTGGAAAGTCTAATACTAAAGCGAGAAAGAAGAAGAAAATTGCGAACTAGCCTTTCCATAATGGTATTTCTTGCGGCTTGTCGTCATTGTAGGACCAATGAGAATGCACTCGTTTCTCGAAACCAGCCTCAGAGCAGGCTTCCCCAGACTCATGTGGAGTATCCCCGCATCCCGGCTGTTCAATGTTGACCATGACTCGGAAACCCGGAGATTTAGATGGCATGCGGAGAAAGTTTTGGTTGATTCTCGTGCCAAGACTGCCCTCCAGGACAGGAACGGCAATAAAAGCCCGTGGCTATACTCATGCGAGCAGCATTCTGGCCCCAGGGGAGGTGCTGGAGATAAGCCACTAGCTAGTATTGTTTGAACTTGGGAAACCAGTATCAACAACCTCACTTATAAATAAAGAGCACATCTACCAGATGACAATGAAACAATTATCATCTCAGGCCACTCATCCACTATCGCCCAAGTCACTAGAATTTCTCGTCTTTGTATACTAGACGTACATTTGAGCGTGAATATGAATACACCGGCAGTCATCGATCGCAAGCACGGGCCCTTGGCTACCGAAGACGACGATGTCAAGGACTACGGCGCCGACCACGTCGAGAAGCTCGACACGACAAAGTCAACCCCCAATAATCTATACGACTCGATAGAACAGACAAAGCCTTCCAACTCGGTATGGCTTATTACCGCGACGGTAGCCATGGGAGGATTCCTGTTTGGTAGGTCTTGTTCGTATCAATCAAACGCCGTCGACGACTACTGACATGATCTTGACAGGCTACGACACTGGTGTCATATCAGCCGTGCTGGTAAATCTCCGAGCGGATCTCGGACATGCTCTCTCCTCCAACGAACAAGAACTCATCACGTCCCTTACATCGGGTGGAGCACTCATTGGCGCTGTCATTGCCGGTATGACGGCTGACAGACATGGTCGCAAGTTTGGTATTTACATTGGCTGCTTTCTGTTCTTTATCGGATCTATAATTCAAGCTGCATCTTTCAGTCTGGCACAGATGGCAGTGGGAAGATTTGTCGTCGGCCTGGGAGTTGGCTCTGCAGCAATGATTATCGTAAGCTCTTGCTCATTACTCAAGCATATACCAGACGCTCATCAACCTTTCTTTAGCCCTTGTACATAAGCGAAATTGCCCCAGCAAGACACCGAGGACGAATGATTGCCCTGGACAACATGAGCGTGACATTTGGACAATTGATCTCGTACGCTCTCGGCGCCGCGCTCACTGGCCCAGCCCACGGTTGGCGATACATGGTTGCCATTGGTGGCGTGCCACCGGTTATCCTCTTCTTCCTCCTACCTTTGTGCCCCGAGTCTCCGCGCCAACTACTATCTCATGGACATCGTGAAAAAGCTACACAAGTTATTGCTAGGGTTTACCCACATGCTTCCGAAGCACAGGTATCGGCAAAGGTCGATCACATTGTACAAGGCGTAGAGGCAGAGAGCCATGCCCTGGCTGGCAAGTCTCTTTGGTGGCAGTTTAAGCAGCTTCACTTTGTAGGCTCAAACCTACGTCCGCTGATTTCTGCATGTGCTATTATGGCTAGTAAGTCGATGCTTCGATCTGGTGGTCAGGACACTAACATTTTAAAGTCTCGCAGCTCGGTGGATTCAATACCCTCATGTATTATTCAGCAACCCTCTTCTCTCTTGTCGGGTTCAATAATGCTACGGCAGTCGCTATTGTGGTTGGAGCCACCAACTTTATCTTTAGCATTGTCAACCTCGTCATTATCGACAAAGTAGGCAGACGCAGGATTCTCCTGGTTACTGTCCTTGGCATGGTAAGTACCTCATTTATTGTATCATGTAACTGCAATGCTGACTTGTGACCAAGTCTTTGACTCTTGCATTGGTTGCTATTGCATTCCATTTCATCCCAATCTCAAAGGATCTCGTGCTAGAAGCCGACTCTGTCAACTGGGCCGGCATCGTTGTCTTGGTGGCCATTATCATCTACATTGCCTTTTTCTCTGGAGGCGTGGCGACCATTGCTTGGGTGGGCACTGAACTCTTGCCCCTCGAAGTTCGTGCCCTCGGCACCATGATGAACACGGTGACATGCTGGGGTTGCAACATCATTATTGCCTCGACCTTCTTGTCCATGATGAAGGGTATTACGCCAAGCGGCGCCTTTGGCTTTTACTCGGGCATATGCTTTGTTGGTTGGCTGTTTGTCATATTTTGTTATCCCGAAGTGAGCCGGCTCCCACTGGAGGAAGTGCGACAGGTATTTGATGATGGCTTTGGGGTCAAGCTGGCGAGCCGAATGCAGCGGGAACGCAAGTTGATAGAGGCATCAGCATTAGCATAACTGTTGAAATCCGAGGGGAGAATTCGAGGGGCCTGGTGGCTGGCTCGGACGAAGAACTGTCGATTAGATGAAAAGTCGGAGCAAATTAAAAATGCGTACGGATACTGCACAGTTTTGTCACGGCGTTGAATGGGAGCATTTATAGTCAGGATATTTTCGCGATTATAGAATGTCTTGTGTGTAGCAGACCTTTTTGTTTTACAGCGTCATATCTCACCTCTTCCATAGTAACCTTTGAAATGTGCTATCATCAACCCCGCAAATGCGTCAGGTAGGATATTGCACTCAAGTATGTTTGCGCAGACTTCCGTGTGATAAGATAGGACGAATGAGTAAAGTAGATCTGATTCGACAGGACGCTTCCGTTGTGCGCAGAAATAAGTGGGCTGCATCGGGTCTCCGACCTCTGATAGGAAGTCTCCATGATGACTGACCTACTTGTACTTAATTTCTAATACTCAAACATGGATTTTCTAACCCACGTTCTGAATTGAGAACAGTTTTAAAATATCCAAGTCACAAAACGACGGTAGCAAAGATGCACAAGACAAATTGGTTGGCGCTTCTTGGCGGAATCGCGTCTTGCACCGCGGCCAGTCCCAACGTGGGTCCGAATTACGAGCATCCGCTTGAAGGTGTGCACATCCGGCATTACCCGCTATTGCCGAAGATTTCTTGTACTGACAATTTTGGTCTAGATCTTGACAAAGATCTCCCATTCTCTCAGCCTGTCACGTTTGCTCATCTCGAGTGGCAGCGCTGCTTGGCCGCTTCACATGATCAGGTAATCCTGTTAGGAGCATGCAATGCCTTTATTCCGTGTACTAAGCAAGTCCTAGCCATTGGACATTGCCATTCTAGGTTTTCCCTATGATACCTCGACATCGTATCGCCCAGGAGCACGCTTTGGGCCTCGCGGCATCCGGGCTGGTTCGTCGAGAGAAAAGAAGGGGAGGAGTTACAACACTGTCTGGGGTGTTGATCCTTATGAACAAGGCCTGCAAATAGTGAGTACTGATAAAACTTTTATTTCGCTCATCTCTGACTAGTTTATAGATTGACTGCGGCGATGTGCCCATTACCCCTTTCGATGCCAATCATGCATTCAAACAAATGGAACAAGCATATCGGCAGGTGCTGTATCATCCGACTACCGAACAGAGTACGTTCGAACGTATGCCTTGTTTGAGTTATCGTACTAAGAGTCACTTGTAGATACTTGGGAGCACCCACGCATTCTTAGTCTTGGTGGCGATCATTCCATCGTATTGCCTATACTCAGGTCGCTCAAGACTGTATACGGGCCCGTCTCTGTCATTCATCTCGACTCTCATTTAGACACGTAAGTTGCATTGACTATGCATATTGAAGCCGTGGTTTGTTCACAATCTTCTAGGTGGGATCCGTATGAAGGCTATACTGGCATAGTTTCAAACCAATCGGCTATTACACACGGTACCTTCTTTTGGCATGCAAGTCGAGAGGGATGCATCAGCAAGGGAACTAGTGTACATGGTGGCCTACGGACGAAACTATTTGTGAGTAAAGCAATCTTGATCCATGAGACATGATACTAAACACATGATACCAGAGCCCTAAAGATTACGAGATTGATCGAGATGTCGTCGGCTTTACAATCATCGAGGCCCATGAGATTGATGACATAGGCATGAATGGCATCATTGACAAGGTCAGAGCAGCGGTCGGAGATACACCGGTATATCTCTCGATTGACATTGACGGTGAGTAAATTGTGCCACTATTCGAAAAGAAGGATACTAATTCAACCAAGTCCTGGATCCTAGTATTGCACCGGCAACGGGCACACCAGAATCGGGTGGTTGGACATCCAGAGAGCTGAAGAGGTTTCTGAAGGGATTAGAGGGGCTTCATCTTGTGGGTGCTGATGTAGTAGAAGTCAGCCCCCCGTATGACACTGTGGCAGAGACGACATCTGTTGTGGCTGCAGATTTGCTTGTTGATATTCTTGCCGGTATGACTAAAACTAATGGTGGTAGATCAACTTTACCAGTCGAAAAGGACGAGCTGTAAATAGACTAGTGCCATGATACATATTTGATGGCCCCGTTACTACATTCCAACCAGTGTAGACCTTACGCATGAGAGGCGCCTGCCAGAATCTGCTCCAACATCTTGGTGCTCTCAAAAGTGTCGACAAACTCCAGAATCTGTGAGATGCGTGTTCCATCCTCTGTAAAAGTCAAGTCCCATATCACCTCGACCGTGCGCTTGGTTCCATCGACTGTGGTAACATTCTGAGTCGTCCAGATCGTAGCTGTGCGTTGGACCTCGTCAATGGAAGTCTTTGTAAGATCCTGCACAACCTCTTGCATTGTCTGGAGTTCAACCTTCATTTGAGCTTCGTAATCTGCATTGGTAATCTCCTTTTTGAAGAACTGGGGGTATCTGTTGATGAAGGCGAATGGTCGGTATTGACGGATGCAATTCTCTGCAAGTACCGAAGAGAATAGCGATGTATCCTTGGTCTTGACGCCGAGTGTATTGTTTTCGCCAAACGTCTTGATCGTATTTTCTATAGTTTCTCTCAAGTTGGACATGGTGGCTGTATTGTGTGGATTTCTTTTGGAATATATGATGTGGTAGCTATCGCTTTTGGCTCGATGATTGCTGTAATGTGGTATATAGTAATAGTTGTGATGGAACGCAAGTAGGTGCCTCTTTCACAAGGAACTGGGGATTTATATATGCTTATAGTCGTAAAATTGCGCGGCAACAGTTTCTCAATCAAGGTTTCCGAGGGGCTGTTGGTGATGGATTTCGACACCATTTACGCCATCCATCATATGATGGTAGGCATCGAGGGATGTTGACCCTCGCATCTCGAGGGTCGAAGCGAGGGACGGCCCACATTGGCGCAACGGCTCTGCATGTCCATCTGCCAGAATGGGACCAATTTGCATTGCCGGCGTGCAAGTATGCGTTATGATCCAATGCCACCCCAATTTCTTTGCTGGGTACACGTTTGCTTGGAGGATTGAACCCCTCCAGGTACCCACAGTGCGCACGATTAGTTGTAGTCGCCACATCTTGGATTTAGCGCCAACGGTCCCCTAAAAGTACACGGTTCCCACTGAAATCGCACTACAATATCTAGATCAAGCCAACGGTGTTTTGGAGCAATCTTCGACTTGATACCCATGGGATTGATATATTTAGGTATACGTAACTACTGCTTTCCATGTTATTGATTCCGTGGGTAATCACTGACAAACTTGTGACAGTACCAGAGCGTTGGCTTGCATTTTCATATGTTTGAACACATGGTAAGCCCTTATGCAAGCATGTTAGTGCTTGCGGATTCATGTTGCGCTCCACAGTGTGTACGGGTAAAGTCAAGAAGAATGTAGCTGCCATCAACCAAAGATTTGGTAGAGGCAATCGACAAAGTCTGGACTAGTCTCAAGTCTGATTAAATCTTGAAGAGGATGGGGAGATCTCGTCAGCTATGACACGGCATCACCAGTCTTGAACATATCCTGCTTGCTGACAGTGAGACCTTGCCTTTACATCGGAGATATTAAAAATCCATTTGGGAAATATGGGAAACATTTCACGGTATTTATGGTTCCATTGAATTGGCATTATGTTCAAGTACGGTCTAACTTCACAGAGTACTGCAGCAATTACTCTTTATGAAATTTTACCCAATCACCGCACATGAGCAATTCTCTTCTCTACAACTAATCAAATCATGGAAACACCACGTCTGTACCCGTGTCGCACTCTATTCTTGAAATGCTTGTTTGCCCGTTTGGACAGCTCTAAGAATACCCTTTTCCGCCAGTCGCCGCACAAAATTCCACATGACCTTGTCGCAGCCTCTTTTCGCAATCATGTTGATCGACACGGGCATGAATACCTCTTCATACGTGGCCTGGCTATAGTATGTTACCTGTCCGATTGGTAAAGTAAAGTCCACGAGGCCAAAGTATGATGCCACAATGGAGCCAGCTTCTCTTGTCCCACTGTCAGCGGGCAAGGCTGCACCAGTATCATGATTCAGGTCAAGTTCGCGAAACGATGGCAGTCCGCCTGTGCCAATGTCATAAATGATGACTGATTCTGAACACGAATCTGGAGTTGAAAAGAGTATGTTTGTCCCCCATTTGTCGGCATCTTCGCGTCTTCGAAGCATGGCTTCAGCGTACTCGGTGTCATTCCAGGTTGCATTACGAAAGTCGGTTCGATGGGGACGATCGAGTGGCGGGAATTCCGGATGGTACTTTTCCAGTAATGGGACCGCCACGTCTTTTAGTTGGTCATGGGTCCAAAGCGTACGCAAATCAGCCAAAATATCTTTCATGTCTCTCCCAGTAGTGGACTCGATAGTCTGGGTGAGATTGATCGTTGCAATGCTCATGTTGAAAGCGTGAATGATTTGACCAAGAAAGCTTTGTAGTACTTTTTCCGCCTCTGGGTTCTGGAGTGGCAGGTGGTCCAAAGGGTACAAAATTTGCACCGGGTAAGCATCAGTATCCGGTACGTCCAACTCGCTGAGACCGTTGAGTGCAGAGTCTTGTTGGAGAGATGCATCGTACCAGTATTTCGCCGCCTCTGCCCACTTGATGGGATCGCGGCAAAAGAACCCCGCAGTGTCAGTGCCATATGAAATGGGCATAACGTGCTCAAGTGACATGAGTCCTTGCGACGGGCGATTGCCAAATGTACCCGAAAAGGCTGCTGGCTGTCGAACTGATTGGCCTGTATCGGTGCCAATGGCATAGTCGAGCCAGTCATAGGCTGCGATGGAGCAGCCACCACCTGATGAGGATGCAGAGCAGCTCAATAGGCCGTCACCGCGACGGTTTTGCGGAAAATAGGCATCAGTCCATTCCCAACCACGTGCTGCAGAGGCAAACTGTGCAGTCTTTTGCTTTCCTACAATGACTGCACCGAGATCAATCAAACGCTGTATAGATGGCGCCGTGGTATTAGATGGTGGCGTAACCGCTGTGTATGCTCGACTTCCACAGGTTGTAACGAGACCCTCGATATCGTAAATATCCTTTACGCCAACACGCTGTCCTGCCAATGGTCGAGGGTCGAATTTGCTGTATAATCGTGATGGCACAGGGACTAAAGGATTCGACCACGCAGGGTCAAAGAAACCAAGAGGCTTAAAGGTTCCGTTGGAAATGTAAATGCCGTCCACAAAATCCCTGTAGATATCTTGATAGAGTCGAAAGACCTTGGAAACATGGATTAAAGAGCCATCAGCCACAACCAAAACAGGTCCCGGTACCAAAGACCCAGGGCTGTCCGAGTCTGTCGGCACAAACAGTAGCTGTGCATCAATTGAAGAAATATATGTTTCGGCAGAGTTATCCATACGAAAGCTCAAACTTGATTCCATGAGAATCATTGCAGAAAACCCATCTGTGAGAACATCATCTTCTGAAAAATAGGCCGCAAGCTCATCTTGGAGAAAGTCGCCAGTGATTACTGTCTCGTTTGTAATAATGTGGATTGCTGGTGTGACAAAAGGCACTGAGAATTGGTTCCACGAAACCTCTGGTGCACTGGTGGTAGCAAGAAAGGTCATGTCACCCAGGCCGAAGATCTGATCGCCATGAGGGTTGACGGTTTGTGGTTGATACCACGCTGCCAAGGGGACAGAGGCAGGGAGCCAAGTCAGAGGCAGTTGATCGTCCAACATTGTGATTGCCTAGTAGGGACTTGGACCAGACGTCGATGTGTCAATCACGCTGGATTAGTATGGTTATCGATTTGAATCATTCAGGAGAAAAAGTCGTCAACACTCAGTGCACTTCATCCGACATCAAGATGCGGGGATGGGCCCTGTCTGCGACCCGCTTGCAGTCTAATGTTGATCTCTTGGCCAGCGAAATGCTGTTCCCAGGAGTTTGACAAAGCCGAGTTTGGGTTTCGACAAATGTTGAGCGATTTGCATCTTACTTCGTTAGCTCAATAATTGTAGAAAATGAGATCAGCGACAATGATTACCAAACATTTAGATGAATATAGGAGCCGTATATGTACAGTCGCGTGATTGGGCGCGACCCCGGCTAAAGTCCGGTAACCCCACGCATCTATCTGTACGCTATAATGCTGATCAGTGCCGTACTGTGTACAGCGCAGACAAGTAATAGAGACCTTTCATCCGTCATCTCACAATCAGGCATGTATACTACGAGCATGGTCCGTGTCCATTCCGTGTCCATAATGAATGTGGCAGATAGATAATACTGCTCGTTTACACGATTCATATACACCGTGCTCCTCAAGTAAATGTAAAGATCAAGGCTCGGGGATTTCATCCTCTACCCATGGTTCGATCCCCTTTCCGTACAGACAGAGGCAGCACCACTGCATCATGTGTCGACAACGCTCAGCAGCAGCAGAAACATCTGCATCATCGTTGGATTTTAATTCTAGGAGCCGCCGGTCCCAGGTTAAAACTCTTGCCCTGGTGAGAACATTTATTCTCGCATCATCATCCTCAGCTTCAGTCACGGAGGCCCCAGTCTCAGTCCCGTCCCAGCGCGTACCAAAAGTATGATGCTCACTAGTGAGAGTAAAGAGCTTGTCCCCCGCGTAGCGTAACCAGACTTCGACCATGGCAAGGAGCTGAAGAGGAGTGAATGGCCCGGATGGCTCCTTTTCTAGTGATCGTTCGATTATGTCCAGCCCGCAAGCTGTGAATGCATCGTTGCGAAGCCCAAGCCCGGCAAGGCGAGCGATACCTGCGGCTAGGTTGCGGGCCTTGGCTGCAGCCCCGTCCTCTGTCGAAATCATCGCCTTCTCCCAGGCAGTGCGGACGTCGTCGACGAGAAAGGGTAGATCCACCCAGATCCGTCCATCAGAGGTGGTGATCGCTTCCGTCGCAGCACCTTTGGTAGCAGTCAAGACGCCAGTCTCCCGTGCCCAGAGGATGGTCCTGGTGAGGCGGTCCTGTGCCGGATGATCTGCGTCGATATTGGAGGCAGCCAGAGTGAACATGAACCAGATGTTATGCAACTCCGCCACGGTGGCTTCCATGGGCCTGTCGTCACCTCCTGACCGGGAAGCAAATCGGCGGGTCAGTCCTCGGATACAGGCTCCCATTGTGTCCCACAGTGTATTGTCGTCGCCGCGAGTAGCTTCATTCATAAACATTTGCCTGCCTAGCTCCAGCACGCGGATGGCGCCGGCTGTGTGCTGGTTGCTGTCCATAATATGTAATTGAAGGGTGAGAGTGATAAGGACAACGATCTTGGTGCTATGAAAGGCATGACTTGGACAAGAATTTTGGGCGGCGAGTGGCTGCTTTTATATTCGAGAAAACATATCAGTGTAGTGAGCCCGAGTACCTAGGGCTGCTGATGCTGCTAATGATTCCCTGCAACGCGCTATGACTGGAGTCCAGCAGTCCTGGGCGGTCAATATGTCCATCTAGATCATGTATTGGCAAAATCGCTTTCCAAGGGTACCCAGGTCCCTGGGAAGATCGAAGATCTCCAAGATGTGCATACGCTGTGGGGACCCAAGGTCAGTTTGGGGGTGGGACAAGGGTGAGGGGGCCCCTGACCTGGCCCCGCCACATCCCTCTTGGGGACTGGACAGCATATTATGCGGCGTGCGCAAGGAGCGTTGCAAGGTAGGACATGTTATCTGTAATAGGTGAACGGGAAGGTGCTATACTTTTAGGTTCATTGCCACCTACATTACTACAGGCCGTGGCAGTAGGCTGCTGAATGTAACCGTTGGTGGGGTTGTCCACAGTCGGGGAGCGCTTGGAAGAATGGCGTTGACCACGACGTTTCTTTTGGCGCCGACTATGCTTAAAGGGTGGGTTCCTGGTATCAAACAACGAGAAACACTATCGCTAGGTCCGTCTAACCGTGAAAATTCGGGCTAGTACGGATGATAGGAGCTGCTGCGAGAGCTCTCGATAGTCTGCTTTTGTTCGTGGACCAGGTTCTTGAGATCGTTGACCTGCTTTGGTCGGAGAGCTGCTGACGGAGCCGGTCGATGCACTTGCGTTGACTGCTTCTGGCGTCTGATAGCTTGCTCGAGTCCATATCGATAGTGCCAAATTCCTTCTCAATCAATTTGATCTGCTGTTGGCTGGCGGGAGGCTGAAAATGGGAGGCCATCATGGTGATTGTAACATTGGCTATTTGCAAGCAACATGTAGGAGTATAAAGCTTGGTGGTGTAGAGGTTGGGGGCCAGGGAGCCAGCGAAGCTGATGTAGGTGAGAGCCCAAAGCTGTCTTATAAACAGGTGATGGGCGGCAAGTGGTGATGGTATGGTGGTCTGCGGGTATTCTTACTGCTGCCACGGGCTCAGAAACAGTTCAGAAGTGTGCTGGTACTGGTGATCGAATGGATCTTGCAGTACTATCGTCACCCGCTGTACGGTTCAAAAAACCGCTGGGGCAATAATAGTTTCTCTAGGGCTGAATGAATAAAGTCATTGTAATCTAATGTGCCACCAGCTGGTCCATAAATGAGAGGCTACTGGGACAATAAATGGCTCGGTGATCCTGAATGAAACCAGTGGTACTTTGGTGGTAGATGGGAAACATTGCTTAGTAGTGCTACCATTTAACAGTTATGATGTAGGATTTCAGAAGACTGGCGCAAAAGAATGGTATTCCAAGCCTCCTCTGGTAAATGGCTGTAGCTAATGCACGTTAACACCTTGAATAGGGCTCTGGGTTGAGCTAATAAATAATGCATAAAAGGTTTTACAGTCTGTTCTAGTCATTAATTTGGCTGCAAGGTTTGATTCTTAGTCATTATGTGAAGATTGAGAAGAGACTTTTAATAATGAACCCCGACTTGGTGTAGTGGTAGCATATCTGTAGGCACCAGGAAAGGCTATAGGTCCGGAACTGGCCTTTCGGGGATGGAAGACCTGGGTTCGAATCCCAGAGTTTGGGAATTTCTTTTTGTTTTTCTTTTGGTTTTTATCTAATCCTTTCAAAGGACAGCAGCCATATAAGTAAGCTGCTGACAATATGTGCAGCTCTCCTTACCAACACACTGCTGGCCCCATAATACAGCCACTCACATACCTGGACATGTAATATAATTCAAAGCCAACAACCATTGAGAGATCAGGCTGTCGACCAGCGGATCAGTACAACCTAGCCACATCAGGTCATCAAGTGCTCGCGCTGTTTAAAAATTCAGTTTCAAGAAGATACTTTTTTTTCAGATTGTGTATATTCTAATGGGGTTCTGTCCGCGGTCGTTCAAGATCATCGTCATGACGTTTATTTGTTATTAGAATGAAACTTTGGTTCCAGCATATACAACCATAGATTCATGATTTGCCAGAGTGCAATGACGTTGGGCACGAATCTTTGGTGGCATTCCGTGTGGATCGAGGTGTACAAGAGATCTCGCCCTTTCGCCATTGAGATGGCCTTTCCAAGCTCCAAGGATTAGTCAGCGGAGTCTAGTCACTTGGCCGAGTTGTGCGGGATCTGCAGATAAGCAAATCTCCAACAACCCAAGTTTTAGCCTTTGATTGGGGTTTAGGGGCCTATACGCATTGCACAAGTATATCGACAGGGAGTCAAGTATACATGTCGTCCATCCTTGTTCGCCGGTCCCAACTTGTCCGAATTGTCCGGCCCGTCTGTGCGCACTACTGACACGCTTGTGCCGTAAGGCAATCATTGACGAGATGCGACATCATTATAGCCGGTCTTGATGGTCTTGAGCCCTAGTTTATATTTAATGAAAAGCCTGACTTTTGTCACTAGGATTGTCGAATAAAGAACAAGAAATTGACAACGAATAGTAGAATGCAAGCTGCAATGATGAATCTTGATGATGGTCTACTGCAAAGGCTTGTACTGCCTATAGCGTTGTGCGGATTGATTGCTTGTATCTGGACTAATCTACACTCGTGGTATCGTCTCCGTCATATTCCAGGTCCCTCTCAAGCAGCTCTATCATCTTTTTGGCTTGCCTTTACCTCTCTCAAAGGACAAAATAACGACTTGTGGATCCATCTCGACGAGAAATATGGGCAATTGGTACGGGTTGCACCCAACCTGGTTACGACTAGCGATCCAAAGACGATTCGACGAATGGCGAGCGCCCGCAGCACATGTTGGAAAGACGAGTGGTATCGCCGAGCGAGATTCGAAGCTGGCATAGACACCCTGTTTACGCTGTTGCATCCAAGAGCCCACGATGAGTACAAGTCCAAGGCAGCCGCCGGGTACAGCGGACGTGAAGCCCCGTCCATCGAAACCAGCATCAATGAACAGATCCAGGCCGCTATTGACCTTTTACGCCATAAATACCTTTCTACTTCAACCGGGGGCAACACGGGGGATCAAGTCAATGATCAGCAGAAGAGCTTGTTTCGACCATTGGACATGGCCAATTTCTCGACTTACTTTACGTTGGACGTCATTACCAAAGTGGCATTCGGCGAAGCGTTTGGCTGTCTGCAACACGATGCAGATGTGTCGGGATTCATCACCGAGTTGCAAGGTTTTCTACCTTTTGGATCATTCTTGTCTTATATTCCTTCGTGGCTATATGATGCGATTTCTCTCACATTGAGTTACACGACCCGTTTAGATGATAGCCAGGGCGTAGGGCTGCTTAGGCGGTACGTCTACCCAAGCATGAGTCTCTGATTGCATATTCATCACGTTGGGAAGCTGATCCGTGTTCATACTTGCAGAATCGCTCGAGAATCGGTTACGAAGCGGTTCGAGCAAAGTGCCGACGCGCAAAAGGATATGCTTGGCGCTTTTATGCGACACGGGATGAGCTTTGAAGAATGTCGCGATGAGGCAACGTTCATGATTGCTACCGGGTCCGACACCACATCCAGTGTCATCCACTACACCATGCTCCACCTGATGACGAATCCAAGAGTCTATCAGACACTCAAGAACACTGTACGACAAGCAGTCTTGCAGGGCAGCGCGTCTTGTCCAATTACACAAAAGGAAGCCATGGTCTTGCCTTATTTACGAGTGAGCTTGATTTTCTCCACGGTCATGACAAGATAGAAAGTTTACTAAACACATTGATGAAACAACAGGCAGTGATTTTCGAAGGCCTACGCATGCGCGCCCCAGCTCCCGGCATCCACGCTCGCGTTACCTCGAAAGAAGGCGAGCACATTTGCGGCAAGTTTATCCCACCCGGCACAGGCGTCGGTACCAACGTCTCGGCCATGCTACTCAACCCGGATCTCTTTGGTGCCGATGCAGCCAGTTTCCGGCCCGAGAGATTCTTGGACGCGGAAAACTTGGGAGACGCGGCAATCAGACTGCGGATGGAGCGAGATGTCGAGCTTGTCTTTGGCTATGGTCGTTGGCAGTGTGCAGGAAAGACGGTTGCCTTTATGGAATTGTCCAAGATATACTTTGAGGTAAGAAGGCCCGGTGACGCTAGAAAAAAGTTTGAACCTACCTGCCTCCCACTCCGGGGTGGTCAAGTTCAAGTTTACTGACGTGTCTTCAAAGCTTTTCCGTCACTTTGATTTCGAGCTCATCAACCCGATAAACCCGATACAGCGAACAAACAGTTATGGGCTATGGATCGAAGAAGGCATGATGGTAAAAGTTACAGATGCGCCAGTTATTTAGGTCGAAAGGTTTGTCTAGAGTACCTATAAGCGTGGCAGCCTTGGACTCTTGGGATATAATCTATTCTGCTTAACAGTACAAGCACATACGACCATACGCACTAGAATATACGGCATCCCGTCCGCTCTGCCCTAGTCAAACTGGTGACGGCCGAATCAGTACTCAGGTCGGTGACGACTGGGGAATCCTCGGTGTTGTATGTTTTTTTGCTCTGCTTTCTTTCTAATTTTGCCAGTTGTTATATATGAGATCTACCGCCCAAATAGAGATTGATTCTTACCCACAAAGTGGTTTTTTGAATGTAGAGTGTGGGTCTTTGGACAGAACTGCGATACACGCCATCTCCCTTCTTGCTAGTATTACTATCGCAACTTGGCCCCTGTGCAAAGTGTGAAGCTACAAGACGCGTGACTCGCGAGCTGGCCAGACCACATCCGTGTGATCTGGCGAAGCTGTACATCTTTGGTGCGGTGCCTGGCGGCCTACATGAACCCAAGTCCGGGAAGTCTTGGGTTTTCTCAGCTCGAATCTGCGATGAGGCTTTACGCTTCAGGACCAAAACTCGGCAAGCTCGTACTGCCGACCGGAGCCTTGGAAGGTGATGGATCGGTCCGTAATCGATCCTGCTTGAATACATATCGGAGGGGGTTGTGTCAGGGCTTAACCATTGAGCTTGAAGTCATTACTGGATGCGTTATCAACTTCTTGCTAAATTCGTGGTGATTTTCACCATTGCCGGAATCATACTCCTGAACGATGCAGTGCCGTGTTGCTTACTCGAGGGTCGTAGCCTCCGGAACTGGGAATCATTGACTGACATTAAGCTGTCTCTCAATGATGTTGCAACAAAAATCACGTCATCCGTTTAATCGGCACCATACCCAAATCCAATCTCAAGAGGGAGACTAAAATTTGTGCTACCGTCAGCGGAGAACTGAAACGAGCATAAGCTGAGTGTCTCAAAGCATCGCCTACAATAGTAACACTCCTGTGCCACTCATGGCTCACCAAGCTTTTGCTTTCTGGTACGCATGAAAGGCAACATGTCTGCGAGTCTTGGTGGTTTTCGCGTCGGATATACTTCTGGAATAGTACATTGAGCACTTCGAGGCGGGAGAAATATACAAAATTCAAGTGTACGAGCTCAGAAAAGAATGGACACAGCAAAGTTGTGAAGTTTTAGAGCAAGTGACACATATTTGATGCAGATAATCTAGGTACGACTTGAGAACGTTGAAGTAAAGAAAGAACTCCCGGACGGGTGTCTTAAAAGTAAGCTGATCGGACGGGTGGGTGTCTTTCAAGTAAGCTGATCGGCAGAAAAGTGCGCACAATTCAATCCACCATGGAGGACTTTTGGCCTGAGCTGATGATCCAAAAGTTCTTCCTATCCTCTTTGCTGTTCTGTGTGACCTGAAAAAAAAAAAGGATGATATATAAATGGAATGTATTCGTGTCAAGAGTATTGGTCGTTTGAATTTCAATTCATCACATCGAGACAGAGCATATTGAGCACTCTCGATAATACACTGCGAAACTCAATAAAGAATACTCGACGTTTACACCAAATAGCAAATCAAGATGTATTTTCCTTCCATCACTTTCGTTACGCTCTTATCCGCAACCGTCTCTGCGGCCCCAAATATCAAACCTCAGCACGAGCCTCGTGACCATTACGTCAACGTTCAGATGTTTGGTGATCATTCCTGCCATGCTTACGTTGACCCTGACCCGCGACCTCCGGGCCATGCCCACGGGGATTGCACCACGAGGAAGAAAGCCACACATTCCATCAAGGCCACGGGGTACAACTGTCGCGTCAGCACGTGGTCGCAGGTCAATTGTGACGGCTCACATGCCAACATCCCGGTGGACGGAAAATGTCACGACATCCCTTACGCTTCGTTCAGAGTTGACTGCGATTAGGTATGGATGTACTATGAAATGTCTACTATCAAGGCTTTGGGGGCAAGAATGGTGTTTTCGGTCAATGTGATGATTTTTAATGGGATTATAAGGACCATGTTACAGGACCGTGGATGCGGAAAGAATCGGACTTGTTGCTAGTATCACCACTTCTCTCATTATTGCAGAGTCGTCATATCATAACTTATCAGCTCATTTGCGGGCTCTTACTCTGGTGAAATGAATCATCTCTGCATCCGTTCGTGCATAGTACTATAACCTATGGTCAGGTGGCATTGAATTGGCGAGTCTTTGGCAACGCTAGGATCACCCATAACCCCCTGAACAACTTGCAACCTCGAGTATGCCAGCCTCCAGGACAGCACTCGTTTGGTTGCGCCCTCATTGTGCCGTTGTCGCTTTGGCGAGCTCGATGCGTCGAAGATGCTAGGGAGAGTGTTGAAATAGGAGCCCAGCCTCCTTCATTTCGGGCTTCATGCTCCACTATATACTACATACATATACCTTTCTTTACTCCCATAGACACGTACAGATACTCAACCAACTAATCTATCACTTCACTCACCATAACCTCGTTCATCTAAACAGAGACGTTCGGTCCTAAAATCTCCACGACATATATATATTAAATAACCTCCCCTTCTCCCAAAGATTCTGGCTCGCAGAAAATCATGGGAGTGTTGGAGTAGCTTTAGGTTTGAATTGTGATCTTGATATATTTACCTCTCGCGTCGAAGGCTAGCGGAGATTGACTACCTAGGTAGGTAGCATGCCACTAGGGTCATGTATTAGCAGTCATTAAAAAGAGTAGAGGTTTTACTAAGATTCAGTGGCAAAGCCTAAGCTTTCATGGAAAGCGAACAGCAATTATAGTGTGTTTACATTCATGGTTGCGCGTGAAATCAATTTAATCAATGTAAATCAATCAATCTCAGTAGAGCAATTTCGACAGGAAATATGTGACTTGAGCACACTACCTAATCAATCTCATCTAGTTTACTGAACCAAATATCCGGTCCCCTTTGCACCTTTCGTCTAGGGCTATGATCCCACACCACTCCTAGGTTGATAGCTCCTTCAATCTCCTCTTTGGTCAGGGCCCTTGCGTCAAGAATTTTCCAGACCTCTTCAATTCTAACTTTCCAAATTGACATCCAGAAGCCAAGATACGAATGTCCCTCTGGTATAGAACGGAAGTGATCCTCAAACTCTAATACAAGCTCATCGAACAAGCCGAGCATAAATGAATCTTCTTCCTCCTCCGCCTCATCGATATCACTCAAATCCCAATTCTGATCACAACAGCTATGGGTGAGCTCCAACGCGTCAAAGGTGAAGAATCTGATGGCTCTCATATGATCCTCTAAGCTCCAAGGCCTATCAAACATCTCTATATATGGCTGAAATTCCAGAAGTAAGTAGTCTTTCGACGAAGGATAATTCGCGAAAGACTTCAGCATAGATGTCTGAGGTGTACATCCTCCAGGCGAACAAGGGCACCGACAGCTGTCAGCAATGTTGGCTTCGTTGCATCGGCGCAGCAATTTTTCAATATCAGAACGCTCCGATCCGTTTGGATACCCCGTCTCCCAGCGATGGAGGTATTGTCCAACATTAGCCAAAATACAATGAGCGTTGCAAATCTCGTTTGACTGTCGCTTCAATCTCCTGGACATGTCAACCCCATGGTCGATGAGCCACAGTAAATAGTCCAGCCTTAGTGCGTGCCTCCAAATGGGTAAATCTTGTGGTGGTTGTGGGTCTGTATCAATGAATCCGATCCGGTAGGAATAATTGGCGTCCCTTGGACTCAGTGCGCCTGCATACAAGGATTCTGGTGAGTATGCATACCGAAATTCATTTGAGTATGTACCGGGGTTGCCTTTTCCTGTTTCCAGGGCGCGGGGTACATATACCCCTCGATCTCGTAGCAAAAGCTAGTCCAAAACTTCTTGACTTTGAAGGTTATACTGTGCGACACAGTTTGGTACATTCTTCACGGCCAGCTTCATGAGATTTTCGCGTCTTTGTTTCGCTTGTCGAAGGACCCTGCTCCCGCATCTTATCGTTCCATTCAAGAGTTCAGTTATGGTAGAATTTCGAACGGAACATCCAGCATTTAGGAGCATAATGACGCAATCCGCACAATTGCATCTAGAGCACCTTCGCTCAGGATCTGTAGAACGACAGAGTGTTCTGCTTAGAATCACGGCATAATCCAGCGTGGATTGTCCAGTGGTGCATACTGCATTCAATTGATCGATGTTTGCGACCTTGAGTAAATACCTGAGTATCTTTGGTCTGGCTCCAGCGAAATGCAACGGGCTTCTGCCGTAGAGATCTCGCTCCTCCAATGCCCGTGCATTGTTTTCGAGTATTCGTTGTACTTCACTTAGATTGTCTGCAAGTGTAGCTTGAGTCAGAGGCCCACAGCCGAATGCTGTCATTCTGTTAGAACACTCATATTGAGGATGTGGGTTTTTCAAACCTTCAGCAAGTAATGGCGATTGAGTCAAAAGGTCTACATGGTCGATCTCACAGAAAGCCCAGCTATACAATTGATTTCCTGTTGCGTAATTGGGCACATACATGTGTCGGACGTCTGTGGCAGACGTTAACAACGTTTCCACGGTTCTCGTCGATAGTGACCCCGTCCAGTTAGCGACATAACCTAAAGGTGTGCTTTTTACCTATAAGCACTTCGAATCGTCGATCTCCTTGGTAAATAATGACTTACCGGCCATTTATATCGTACTCCATCAAAGGGACTTGATGATACTTGAAGAACTCTAAAAGATCACAAAGGTAATCATCGCAGTGCTCGGACATATTTCGATCATCGAACGTAAGCTATAGTCGTAAATGTACCTAATTAGATATATACCTCTAGTCTTCGTGGTTTGTTCAAAGGGTTGAGAGTAACAGTGATTATAAAGAAGGGAAACTTACAACTGCCAGCAAAGCGTGAATCAGGTTGCGGTTTTGGGAGTTGACGACTAAAAAACTCGATTTGCCGTTTCTGAACAGCTCCTTCAACTTAACTTTAGCCCTATTCATGAAATCTTTGTATTGACCAACATGTTCCAACACTCCCAAAGAGTCGAAATCCAATGATACGGTCCTCATTAGCGAGAGGATTCGGAAAGCTGGTTCATTGCGCTCATCAACGGTCGGGTAATAAGTGAAGCCTGGGCTTATACTGAAGCCGCCTGCACCCGAGCTCAACTTGAATGACAATGTGATTGCGCCTCCTAGAAGGTTCCGAAGCCCTAGAAGGCGGACACCAACTTCATTGGGGGCACCTATTGCTGGAAACTCAGCCACAGGACAATCGGGTAGATGCGCCATGGACTCTGTTCTGTGAAAGAAACCAAATGGCCCTAGCCATGTCCCCTGCTGTTGGTGTCTGATTCGTGCATTGCAATTGCATTTATAGCGGTTACTTAGGTCATCAATCGAGCGCGCTGAGTCCGTGGTAGCGTAACCTGCTGATAATGCCAAAGTCCGGTGTGTGTCATGAGCTTCGTTGTTCGCTTCCAGCTCGAATGCATCACAAACGTCTCTGAGGCTTTGAGGCTTTGCAACGATCCTCCGCATTATCTGCTTGTGTGACTTGGAATTTTGAAAGTTTCCAACAGATTGGTTCTCAGGAGTTTCAGCTCCCCCAAAGGCACTCTCAAGTAGAAGTTTCTCGATACGATTGAGTCTCTGGTTGAGATTTGTTTGGTAAGACTGGTTAGCTCGTTGTATCGCATCAAGCGTTGACTGATGGAGGCACTGATTGACATCAAGCTGGTGGACACCTGTGACGATTGGCCGAATCGAAGTCTCTAGGGACCCTTGAATAGCCACGGCATCCTGACGCAGCGAGCCAGCGCTTTGGGTGAATGTTGCAGATAGTCTCAAGGTCTGGGACTCGGTCTGGAGGCCCAGTTCCTTGATGATATTTTGAATCTGAGAACATTATTAGGAGTGCTCAAAAGCATGGAAATTGTCAGAATTACATCATTGTGGCCTGACCGCACTGCGGCCGACGTGGTCAGCAGGTCCGTTTGCAAGGTATTCAGCTTGTCATTGTTTTGTTGAGACACGTCCCTAGTCGCATGTGAGCAGATATAATCTAAGTTGATAAGAAATTGACTCACAATTCTAGGCCTTGCACAGCGAGCTGCAGAGTTGCAATGGCTTGATCAAGGGTGGATGTTAATGCTTTGACCTGCTCCCGTCTAAACGGGTACTTGACTTTTCGACCCAAATCCCTCACTTTGGTATGGGTACTGGGGTTCAGACTCCCGTTGGTTAATCCTGCTAGAAGGCTATCCAGAGCCTTGAGTTGCGTATCGCACAACTGGAATGTTTGTGTCACAGCGGCAGTTGATTGAGGATATTGAGTCCTTGAGCTTGAACAAGACCGCTGAATCGCCTCAATGACACTTAGGAGAATATCATTCTTCTTTCGAATGTGAGTGAGTTCCTCATCCCGGGACTTGACCGCATCAATATACTTGATGATGCCACTGGAAACTTGCAGTCCGAGGGACACCAGCCCAGCCACGGATGCCGCCGCCGATAGAGGGTCAGCCATGGCGGGGAGCGGCCAGAAATATTTCGGATATTACTATCAAAGTCATTCTTCCCTCGAGAAACTAGATCCGGTGGGAGGAGCTCATGCTGCGGATCTGAACGCTGTGACTAGGCTGACATTGAATAGAAGAGAGGGAAAAGGCAATCGAGGCGGGGATATGTAGATAGATTTGACACGAGGCTTGCCTTGGGCATTTTGCTCGTTGGGGTGGGGAAGGGAATTTCGGTGAAGTCAGCTGCATAGACGTCTATGCACGTCTGCCCAATCAACCCCTTGCCTCGGTGGCTGGGTGGTCATCTCCAATTGCGTTTCACAACCGAGTTGGGCTGAGCAGGTACTTACATTTTTCTGAGCTAGGGCTTATTCGAGGGGCCGCTGGCTAAGCCATTGTAATCAACGAAATAGGCAATGTAGACATGTACAACATCAAGTATTGAAAGAATTGTTAGTCATCACGTACAATTTTGTGTCTCGACAACCCGTCCTTTGACTGGAGTAGCTTGTGAACTTCAGGCAGCGAAGCTGCCATAGTGCCTGCTTACTTTCAGCAGGTCAGAGCTCAGAGCAGTTGAGTTCGCCCCTCTGCTGTCCTATTCTTCAATCTCCACTCTATGGCAAAACTGCCTGATGTCGAAACACAGTGGAGAAAGCTTTCCGAGATTCAGGAGTCCTTAAAGATCCTCGGCGTTTCTCGCAGATCGGATAAGAACTATTCGGCCTGATAGATATAATTCCCCGACCAAGTCAACCTTTTGGTGGGAAAAGGCCCGGCCCAGGATGAAGATGAAAGGCATGCTACGTTTCTTAAAACAGAAGCGTACCGGTTATTCTAAGTATTTCTTGACATATCCTTTCATTCGAAACCCCCAGAGGTTATGCCGTCGAATTGCATCCAACGTAAAGACACGGGAGTATTTAAACAGAGCCTCGGCATCTGCGCCGTGTGCCACCAGTTCCCGAGCAAGCTAGCCGACATTGCCATCACCAAGGCGGTCAGGCAGGCAGTGCGGCGGCGACCTGTTGAAATAGGAGCCCAGCCTCCTTCTTTTCGGGCTTCATGCTCCACTATAGACAGTAGATACATATACCTTTCTCTACTCCCATAGATACGTACAGATACTCAACCAACTAATCAATCACTTCACTCACCATAACCTCGTTCATCTCAACACGACCATCCTTCTACGGTGCGTACATTGGCCGCAGCCCCTCGAAGGAGAAGAATGCCGGCAACGAGTATGGCTTCGTCCATCGTCTTCCTGCGCGTAGGCTTGAGGGCGCACACGATGTGTCCAGCCGTCTATAGTATGGCACTGTACATGAGTTCTTTTTTGTAGACATCATGTCCAACTGTCGTTCAAGGACGGGAAGCGCTTATTTGAATGCAGAAAATAACACAGTAGATGATTGACCTGATGACGCAGTGTTTGTAATTCAGACCTCAGATGAGACCGATACAAGATAATACACGATATATATGCTCCAATTTATTAACTCATGACTGCTCCTGTCTCGTCTCGAATGACGTTGTCTGGATCGCATGTTCGCTGCTGCTGTTGTGTTATTCCTCTTTGCAGTCCCATTTACAGTCTTCTTTGCAGTAATCTGGATATTGGAAACAGTAGTACCTACCTCTTTCATCCTACTGCATTTTACCATTGTGCTCAAAAACGCAACATGCGTACAAGACAACAAAAGACCAAACTAAGCACAAGTAGCAGTAATCTGAACTCAATTGGCTCACTGACAGTAGGCGCTCAGTTTCAGGTAATAACGGATCCAACACTCAAACCCGACAACATCTAGATTATTCTAAATTCTTTCTCAGAGGACTCTTGAAAAAGATCAGTACAGTCACCATGAAAGAAAACGAAACCAAGCCGACAGAAGGATCCACCTTCCTCCTCTGAAGGTCCCAGGATCAACCCGTATCGCGTTCTTATGTCCAACTCATTGCGAAGCGTTGACACACCCAAGTACAGGCAGAGAGCCTCCACTTTGAACTTGGACACATCTTGGCCATTTCGCGCTCGAGAAAGTATTGAATCACCAGACGGATCCAAAGTGGCCTGAAGCACACAGTCAGGTAGGAAGGCACACTTATCTTCCTTGTCGTCAAGTCGGCTAATGGTGTAGCCCTGCGTCTGAAAAGGGTTGTCACATCCAAGCTCAACATAGGCGCATCTTCCCCGGACCAGAACATGTCCCTTAGACACCCTCCCAAAGGGGTTTAATCCGTCGACCTCTGTGTGAGTTTCCAGGACAGTGAATTGGGATTCGAATATCACGCGGGTTTGTGATATTTCAGCATATGCGGCTTGTGTAATTGATGCCCAGGACCATGACGGTGCCACATATGTTGGTGGTACATATTGAAGAGGCTGGAAATGTATACTCCAGCAAAGATCATAGATGAGGTTATCTTCCCACAAGCCGGCAACATAGCGACTATTCGTCATTTTCTGGATTCTGGACGCAACGCCACTCAGGGCTGGCAGTTTATCGGTTGGGACAGTTAGGCGACGCGATGAGTAGGCGCTTACTAGCGTGCCTACTAAATCCCACAGGTGAGATATGTTATCTCCATCAAACGTCATGGTCTCGATCATTGATAATCGTTTAGAAAACTCGAGCTTTTCAGATATATCCAGGTCAGGTAGGTATCGTTGAGGCAACACATGCTCTCGGCATTCCCAGATAAGCTCTGAAGGAGTGAAGTAGATAGTTCGACTCGATAGAGCAGCTTCTTGCCATGCCCATGCGCGCGTGAACAAAATTCCTTGTTCTTTAGGAGTGTAAGGTGATCGTTGAGCATTGATGGTCTCTCCATTTTTCTCTTTTCCACCAAGGGCAAACTTAACGGGCCGCCATTTCTCCTCCTTGGGACGTAGAAACGGGACATCGCAATTCGGCGAGGCGGCTGTGGCAATCGTGAGGTAGGAGTTCTCGTAATAGTCGCACATTTTGGATGATTCCAACTCCCAATCCTGCTTGTTATCTTGGACGATACAAAGAGAGTCGATCCAAATATATTGGACTCTTAGCTTTCGCGCAATCGAAATGGCTTGTTGAAATACAGCTGGCAAGGCCTGGGCATCAACGGCTGTCATCATCTCCGTAATGGTGGACTGGGTGGTTTTAAATGGTTGCTTCCCGCCCCAGCAATGGCTCAAAGTGACGTATCGTCCCCTAATGTTTCCAAAGAGTTAGCGAGTGCCTCTCGACAGCGATAGATGGGCTGATTTTCAGGCTGGGCTCTCTGTAAAGTGACATTCACTAATGGGGCAAGACTGAATTGAAATCACTGACCACATTCCTTTGGACTCAACTAATCTGATGCTGTCATCATCGTCGGTTCCGATATGGAGCACTCTGGTCGGAAGTGATGTAACTTCCTCTCCCGGACAGCCGTCATGTTTTTCCAAGCAATCCTTCAAACGTTCATTAACGAACGCGACAGCCGTTTCTATAGTAATAGCTTTCGCGTACGGTTGGCAAGTACCAAGTGACGGCAGAGCAGATGACTGGATATGCAATTTAATCTCAATTTATGGGTCTATACTGGATTTTGGTCCTTACCCTTTGATCAGAATAGAAGAAGAAACATGTTTCATCAAACCAGGCTTCTCCCTGGTCTGTTGGGGAGGTAGGTGAGGATGGAGATGAGTCCTGTTCATCAGGGACACAGATAACTCTTGTAGGCCTCCCTTCTTGCAAGAAGATCATCATATATTTTACTCCATAGTTTGCGAAATGGACAATCATCGACCTCAATAATTGACAGTAATCGCAGTCGTCCTTGAGGGAAGAGAATTCGATCTCCAATTGTAGGGAAGCTTTCCTACTGCACTCATGACCTCGACTGTCGAGATCATTACAGACTTTGCACCTAGATCGGGTTCGGTGGATAAGCGGTACGTCCTCGGCAGTGAACGTGGCCATGGCTTGCGAATGCGTTAGAGTGGGAGTGAGTAGAATACAAACAACGCACAAGAGTCTCAAGGTAGTCCAAGAGTTTATACAGGTATACAACGATGTTGTGAAAAGATATGATATGTATGGGTCATAGTTGATGTATTAGTTGAGTTGTTCACATCCAACAGAGGCTGGATGGTCAAAGATATATACATGTGTGGAAAAGCGCTCCACTTATTACTACATTTTGACAGATGTTACGAGGACAGCTTTAATCAAGCCATATGTTAAAAGTGATGTTCACGTCTCAAGCTGTGTAAAGGCTTGCTGAACTCAGAAACAAAGTACCAAGCTGCTTCAAAGTCGGCTTGATGTCGAGGCGTTACAGTTTTTCGTAGTACGAAGCTTGAGACTTACCCGGCTATGTTACGTGATACGTCTTGCAGTCGGTCCTTCTTATTACAACTGGGCTTTTTTTTTTTTAGAAGGTTTAAGCACGAAATAAAGGCACTTTAAGCGGACGTCTTTTCTGCAGCTGCAAATGCCGACGCCAACGATCAACCTCCGTGGCGCATCTTTACATGTCACTCTTACTGGTAACTGTTAGGCTATAATTGCTTGGCACGAGGCTTCTTCACATGAAAATGATGGCTAAAGTTAATAAAGAAATCCAACGCTATTATGCATTCAGCTTCATATAGTCTAGCGCGAGCCTTATTAAATTGCAAAGTAGCAATGAATGGAGAATCGGAATAATTTAATGCGTACTTGAAATATAAGAAAGGCTTGTCTTACTGAGGCACGAGCATGACTTGGTGAGCTTGTGCAGGTAACGCTGCTTTGGAAAAAAACGTGGACCTGGTCAGGCCATGATCATATTGCTGAAGCAGTATACATTCGCTTCCCTCAGCTCTTCCCTGCATCAGAGCTATCTTATTTATGGTACCTGCCACGCCAGGCTAAGTTAGCGTAAAGTGTTCGTTAGTCATATTGCAAGTTTGAAGTATCGCGGAGGACTTCTGCAGCATGTGATCACGTGGATTATGTTTGAGTCCATGAAGACTGAAAAGCCATTAAAGAACTTAAGTCCTTAATGTTTGAATAATCACAGACAATCTTGAGCTGCGAAGCGCAAATAACTATTACATAAGGCAGGGTAATGATCAACATGTCGTGGTACGCACCGCATGTGATGTGAATTCTGTGTGAGAGCTGGAATCCGTGCTGGCGTAATTAGACCTCAGTCTTCTCGAACTTTCTTGTGCGGCTATCTCGTCCGGTCGACCAACTTGGATGATGGTTTCCGAGACTAGTCCAGCTTACTAGTCCTATGAGCCCAAGTGTTGTAACTGCATCCTTAATGGAGGAAGTCATGCAAGCATAAGGACCATCCCCAAGTCCGAACAAATGGTTTGTCTAAAGTATGTAATTCAGCCAAAAGCAAGACTTTACAAATTATTAGTCATCCTACGAGGCCCTCAGCACATCGTGCGGTGGTCTTTTGCAATTCTCCCCTGATATAATAGCGATAAAGAGCGACGGGATTCTCAATGCTTCAGAAAACTAATTTCAAAAAATGGCGCAAAACTGCGATGGCATCTGCTGCTAACCTGACACCAAATCATACCTGTGATAGGCTGCATAATTCACTCGCGCAATGGCTTTGAAATGTTTGTCAGTAGATAGCTGGAAAGTCTCCTGGCATGGCAACTTCCGCTCCTGCATCTACCTACATACTTTGGTTATAAGCTCCCGCCGGTGCCATGAATTAGTAATCAGGATGATACATTAGTGAACGAGCACATTTGGTCCGCGCACAAGGCGCAAAGCTTATTCAGTGAAGGGCGAAAGAATTTTAGTTTTAATTCAATGGTTATCCATAGGATAATAGCACTAAATATTTCCGCCTTGGCCACCTTGTCTTCCTCCGTTTTCTTGACCGTCCCTTTCCTTGACCATGTCCCCTCCCTTTTTTGGCTACTAGAACAGTACTTACGTCGGTAATGTTTGGGAATCCCCAGTGTTGTATGTTGTTGCATCTTTGATCCATTCTTTATGTGTCTGGTCGGCAATGAGTGATGTGAGCGGGATTGGGAATATACCTAAATATCAACGCAGATAGTGGAGTTCAGCGACGACAAGACAAATCGAGTTGCACGCACTTCAAAGCACAGCAGAGCCGTGGCGACTAATTATTCAGGTATATGAGATTGCGATCTGTTGCCAGAACATCCTTGGATAGAAATCGCAACAATAGATCTTTGCCATGGTGTACATCTTTGGGGTCGTCAATCCCAGTCGTCCGACATTGATAACTCAAAGCTATAATGACTTCCCTTCCTTCAGCATCGAAACAATTTCATGGCCTAGCAGCTGATGAATTGGATAAGTTGGATGAAGGTTGTTCAACCAAAAGTATTGATTGACAGCATAAGTACAGCTATCATAGTGATCGTCAATGTTTTGCGTTCCCCTGAGCACCCAGTAGGGGCATTGTCAGCAAATCAAGTGTCTCGAATCAAACGTTGAAAGCAATAACTCACCCTGCGTACGAGGTACAGTAATTCTTTGTATCTCGGAGTAGAGCAGTCTCTTGACTCGACCCGGGATTGTCAATGACTTTGTCGAAAGTGGCGTATGAGTCATGGAGGAATACGGTCGCATCCGATAGCTCAGTTTGAAGCGTTTGAGTCATGTTGTAGATGCGGGAATTGAACTCTCGGACAGCTGTTTCCATCAAGGGGATGTTGGTACTTGCATTACTTCCAGATGCAATGACCGGAGCCCTCTGTAGTGGAGGCACATAGAGAAAGAGAAAGTTGCGAGCCCCAATGCCATACAGCTGAAGCACCAACTCGTGGTACGACGCCATAATCTCCGCATACGTATCGCGACCTCTGCTATTGTATGAAATGTTCACGTCGTTGATACCAAACCAAAATGCAAATATGCTGCGCTCAGGGTTGAAAAGGCCAGAGGCATTGCCATAGGCTCCCACAAAATTGACTTTGAACTCGTTGACCAGATCAGGTCTGGTATTGGATGATACGATCGAATTGTTGACCACTGCGCCACTCAACGCGAAATCATAGGTCAATATCAAGGACTCGTTGTATGTACCAGTGATATAGTTGACCCAATTGGGACCGTTGGCACTTGTGCTTCCGTTGTTTCCATAGGGATTGGACACTGACGGCTGCGGACCTGTCGCATTGAATGAAATTCTAGAATAGGAATCACCACTATAATTGTCAATAGATGTTCGCTGAATACGTTTATAAAGCTGATCATAGGCTGAAGAAAATCTTGACATGCAAACTTACAAAACAAAAAGTTTCTGGAGTTTGTTGAAACAAGCAAACTCTGCATGGACTTGCGTAACTTCTGCCAGCAAAAGCAGAGTCAAAGCGTAAGCAGTGAATCTGCAAACTTGCAAATGAAGCTGCATGATGCTCAAAGTTTGTATTTCAAGGAATGATCAACTGAGTATACTATGGTGTTGTCTTGATTGCACAATAGGTTTTCAAAACAAACAAAGCTACGCCGATATATACCTTTGCAATATGGAAAATTATACATGTAATAACAAAACATAATTGGCTGAGCGTATACGATGATCAACCTACCTAGTAGCCAACTAAAAGAAACGGATTGCAGTATATTCAGACTTGGGAGTCCTGCCAATGTGACATTACTGGAAGGTTATAGAGATTTAGCCTAAATTAGAAAGGCTTATTATGGTTAGCATAGTATTGGTATGGTTGTGGCTTGCTTGGCAAGATTTATCTTGGCACCGTCTTGTCCTTCAAGAAGCACGAGATTGTTGAACACCTCGGTACGCAGGGTATTGGTGAACTCACCCCTGCCAACAACTTTCCGTGTACCCGTAGGCCTTTGGCACTGACCTTGTCAAATAATGAAACAATCAGTTTGTCCCTGTCAAAGCGGGGATATTGGAGAACCGAACCTATAATTAATCCACCAATTACAACTGTGTTTTTCTTGCAAAGTCAAGGGACAGTACATCCTTCCGGGGCAATGCACATTTTCGCAGAAATGGATGTCGATCGTACTACCGTCATGATTATCCGGCATGAGAAGGCTGAGGCTTGTGGGCAGCGCCACATTCTTCAATCTGCTGTAACCATGTATCTATACAACATAAAGTCATAGCCGTTGCTAGCTAGGTATGTTAGTAATACTAATGCAGTAGTGCATAGTCATCACTACTCACAAAGTTCGTGTGACGGCTATTATACACTATTACCGCTTATCGTGTATGAAGTAGGATTGGCTCTACGTATGAGATCTGCGGAACTTTGGTGCTATAGAGTCGTATGCCGGCTCATACTGGACAAGAAGTCAGCATCTATCTAGTCTGTGATTACATTAACCTAATTAGCCTGAATTCGCCTCGTCATAACTTTTGGACGACGGAGAAATCATTGGCGCCAGACCTAGTTGACGGAGTATTTGTGAAAAGATATGATAGGTATGGTATAGTCACTGTTGTATTAGTTGAACTTGATCCTACCCTTTGATCGAATTGCGCGTCCTATAGCGTTCATCTTATTCATTGAACTCGAAAATCTTTCCTACCAGGAGTAATCAAAAAAGAAAAGCTTTTGGTCATGGCGCTTCTCCACGTATTTTTGACGATCATCGTCGGTCTTTGCAGTTGCCCTACACTTGCCGACCTTCTGACTTTCACGGAGAGTGCAAACACCGAGAAACTTGCTGGCAACGGCCTTGCACCGGAGATATGGATCGCGTCCAATGACTACAATGGAGTCTCGAGAACCGCTTACGACATTGCAATAGACTTTGGCCGCGTTACCGGAACGAACGGAACCGTCAAGCTTCTGGAGACTTTACCAAGCAATGTTGATGCGTCGAGGCCTGTCATTATCGCTGGTTCTGTAGGCAATTCAACCCTGATAGACGGCCTCGTTTCCTCTGGCAAGCTTGACGCCTCTCAAATTGATGGATTGTGGGAGTCATATACCTCCACCCTGATAAGGGACCCTGTTGCCGGATTGCCTTGGGCATTGGTCGTTGCCGGGAGTGACCAACGAGGCGCGATTTTTGGACTTTACGACATATCCGAGACTATTGGTGTTTCCCCTTGGTACTGGTGGGCCGATGTCTCGATCAAGACCAAGACTGGCATCTGGGTGACGGAAACGCCTAAAGTTCAAGGCCCACCCTCTGTCAAATATCGAGGCGTTTTCATCAATGACGAAGCACCAGCATTGACTGCATGGGTAAACGCCCGTTTCAAGAAAAGCGCCAGTGGGTATGGTTTCACAAACGAGTTCTACAAGCTCTTCTTTGAGCTCTGTCTACGCTTGAAGGCCAATTACATCTGGCCTGCAATGTGGAGTGCTTCATTTTATGTCGATGATCTCGCGAATGGACCAACTGCAAACGACTGGGGTCTTGTCATGGGTACGAGTCATCACGAACCCATGGCAAGGCCGTATGCTGAGCAGCATACAAATCTTAGCGGTACATGGGATTGGGGCACGAACAAGGACAACATTACCGACTTCTTCAAAGGCGGTGTTGAGCGGGCAAAGGGGTGGGAAACCATATACACGATGGGTATGCGGGGCGACGGTGATGCTGCATCACCAGATCTGACATCCAGCGCTCTTGAAGAAGTAATTGGTGTTCAGCAATCTGTGTTGGAAGACGTATTGGGTGTGAGCAATCTGGAGGACGTCCCGCAAACTTGGGTCCTTTACAAGGTATTGATGTCCCCTGGAATCTTGGTTCCTGTATTTTGATTACTTTCTAACTCCCGCTGCAGGAAGTAGGCGGTTACTATCAAGCCGGCATGGCGGTACCAGAGAGCATCAGCCTACTTTGGACAGATGACAACGTCGGGAACCTGCTGAGGGTCCCTTTGGCCAACGAGACGGGTCGTGCGGGAGGCGCCGGGGTGTACTATCATTTCGATTATGTCGGATCCCCGCGGAGTTACAAATGGATCAATTCGATTCAGCTTGTCAAGACTTGGGAACAAATGCATCTGGCCTACGAGAGAGGTGCGAATCAAGTCTGGATTGCAAATATTGGTGACATCAAAGCTCTGGTACGTTATTGACCTGAATAGCATAGATTTGTCATTTCACTAACGAAACTCAGGAGGTTCCAACGACTCACTTCCTGGACATGGCATACGACATGTCCAACTTTGCGACACCGGAAGCCACAAATGACTGGATAGTTCGATGGGCTACTCGCGAATTCGGTCCCGAGGTAGCTGCTAGCACGGCACAGATATTTACAACTTACGGAAGATTAATAGTTCGTAGGAAATACGAACTTCTAAGCCAAACCCCCTTTGCATTCAGTACTGCCCACTATGACGAGGCAGAGCGAGTTTTGGAGGAGTGGACAGAGCTCCTAGCATTGGCGCAAAGTGTATATGACGGCTTTGATCAAGCTCGCCGTACTCCATTCTTCCAAATGGTATTGCATCCGGTGTTGGCAGGCAAGACTGTTGTCGAGCTCTACATCAAGGCGAACCTAAACGCCTGGACCTTGCAACAACGACGAACCAGCACCAATCAGCTTGCGCTTGATGTGCAAGATCTGTTCCGGCAAGACCAGGTAATTACTAAACGCTACAACCAATTGAACGGCGGCAAGTGGAATCATTTCGCCGACCAAGTACATATTGGTTACACGAGCTGGAATGATCCCGTGGCCAATACCATGCCAAACGTGAGTTTTCATGGTCAATCCAACGTTCCAAAGTCGGGGCCAATGGGCGTTTCCGTACAGGGAAGCGCCCTCAGTGCGCCCGGTGATCCCGAGCGTTACCTCTTGTCGATGGATCCATACATGGGCCCCACCGAGATCCGATACTTGGACGTTTATACTCGGGACAACCAGACCTTTTCCTACAAAGTGACTGCGAATGAATCATTTGTTCGGGTTGACAACTCCAGTGGCGTATTATCTTCACCTGGAGGCATGTCTGATGTGCGATGCCTCATCTCTGTCGATTGGAATGCCGCACCGGACGGGCTGACTTGGGTTGGGCTTCGAGTCCAAGCGACAAATGCTACCAGGACTTGGGCAACCACAGCGCATTTGCCAGTGAACAAGACAATTGTGCCGACTGGTTTCAATGGCTTTATCGAGTCGAACGGAGTTGTTTCCATTGAAGCAGAGCATTACCAGAATTCCGAGACCAAGAACGGGCTATCCTATGTGACGATTCCAGGCTACGGACGGACACTGTCAGGAGTGAAGCTCTGGCCAGTGACGGCAGATTCGCAAACAACATCATCCGGACCCAAGCTTACATATTCCTTTTACTCCTTCAGCTCCCCAAAAACAGCAAGGTTGATCGTTTCGCTCGGGTCATCCCTCAATCACGATCCCAGTCGTCCCTTGAGATATGCTTTTTCTATTGATAATGGAAGCATAATGTCGGTTCAGCCCGTGCCCAATACGCCAATGGGAACCTTGCCAAGTGGATGGACAGACGCCGTTATCTCGGGAGGGTGGCAATCGATTTCCTCGATCAGTCTACCTGCTGGCGCTCACAAATTGTCACTTTGGCTACTGGAGCCCGGCATCGTAGTACAAAAGGTCGTCCTCGATCTTTCAGGCTACAAGTCGTCCTCTCTTGGGCCTCCAGAAAGCAGGCAAATTGAATAATGCCAAAGAAATCAGCCCCTCTGTTCGTGACAGTGGATGGTCTGTGCAGCCCGACCAACATGGTCAAATTTGCTTCTGCTGGATAGGTCACCAAGGTACTTTCCTTCATTATTTCTATTCACATATATGGAAATAGCCACATTCATTGATCCCCAGGTACGTTACAGAGTGACCAAGTAGTATAGCTTATTTTCGGATGACACAAAGGGAAGCAACAGGAAGGGATATTTAGCCAGTTGGCCACAAATCTTTTCTGCTAGCTGGAGACTATCTTTGATTCTACTCTTAAGTCCACTCTTTGTTTTGGATATTGGTTGTTCCATGATTACATACATAATAATACATTACGTGTCTGTCACGAGATCGAGAATGGACAGCATTTATGTCACGTGAAACAATGTCAGCACCGCCGCCCAAGGCTACGCGAGTTCTGACCAGATCCCCGTCAGCAATGACCGCGTGGAGCTCCTGGTTCAAGTCCATAAGTACTGATGGTCGATGGTCAAGATAATGGAAAAGGTGCAAGGCGCATAATATCCGTCCAGAACTAACGATCGCTACAGCGGCAGCGGTCAGCAGGGGTTGCTTTTTTGTTTGCATGCAAAAAGCAGGGTAGGTGCACACTATGAGGCATAACCAAATAGTGCAAATTCAAGCCAGTCATCATCGCTTGTGGAAAGTATGTCCGTTGGGATTGACAAAGCATAATACCACGACTACCGCAATGTATCAAGATATGGGATCGAATCCCAAGATGTCTAGCAGTCCTTTCTCACGTAGCTTGAGCTCATCATTCACCTTGATCCACAAACTCTGCCGAGAATCCGAATCATGGGCTTGTGGCATGGGAATTTCATCGGAAAATCTGGAAAAATATCTCCCGCCTCCCTTTCCACCGTCCTCGCCAACACTTTGCACCTGGGGGTCGGGCCCTGCTTCAATACATGTTGCTGCTTTCAACAATGCCAAGGATCCTTGCTCCTCGCTTATGCCGTAAAAGTAGGCGTTGAGTTTGACCCAAATGCGCTTTGCTGTTGTGAGCCAGCTTTCAGTGTTATTCAAATTCCAGATCCCCGAGTTGACGAACCCTGGATGAACGCCATTGATGGTAATGTGTTGATATTCAGGTCGATGTAGCATTCGGGATTGAAGTTCCGTCAGCCATACCTGAAACCAAAGCTTGTTGTTCTTGTAATAATTGACACCTTCATGACCGGGGGAACCAAGCTCCCCATTGCAATTTTGCAGGTTGAAATCTCCAAGATAATGATAGGACGAGGTCGTACAAACTATACGGGGAGCCCTGCTCTTGGCCAATGACGGAAGGAGTCGTAGAGTGAGCAAAACGTGCGAGAGAAAATTGACTTGGTGAATGATCTCGAAGCCATCTTTTGTCTTGAAGACCGATGACCCTCCTGGACTTGACCCGATACCTGCATTGTTGAGGAGTAGATCTAGCGCTCTTCCAGTCTGCAGCCATTTTTGGGCAAACTCTTCTACACTCTTCAGTTCAGTGTAGTCCACTTGCCACCATTCAATGACACTATTCGCATGGCCTTGCTGCAAGGCGGCTTCTCGACATTCCGCAACAACCTCTGTGGGATGCACTTCTTTGGCCGGGGCATCTCTACACTGCAACATGCTGTAATTAGCAAACGTCCCTCTGATTTGCAGTTTTTCGCCTTTGGATGCCAATATTTACTCACCGCCAGCACCATATTCGCGCCCCATGCAGCGAACTTGATAGCTGCATGTCTCCCTATGCCATTATTGGCTCCACTTATCACTACCCATTTATTGCTAAGATCTGCGTCTGGAAGTGTGAGCCGAGTTCTGTCGTTGCCTTTCTGGACTTGAGCTTTCATCCAAGCAGTTGCTGGCTGCGTCATGGTGATCGAATGAGAAACGAGTCACAATTGCTAAATCTGTTGTGGGGGTATTTTTGGTATATGTTTGCTCTTCGATACCGGGGTTTGATAAAGTTATTGAAGTGCTTAAGGACAACACAACCTGGATATATAGATCAGTGCTATCGAGCAAACACGTAGACATGTACAACTTTCAGTAATGGTAGGACATGACGTGGATATTCGGGTCTCGGTTCTCTGTGCTTCGATTGGGGTCAGCTTGTGAACATGGAGGCTGTGAATCTGTTCCTGTTGACCTACACTTGCTCGGTCGGGGTCGAGGCCTCTTGTTTTCCCGGACACCCTTTCGTGAACAAGTCGCGACTGGTCTTCAAGACTGTTGAGAGAGATTGGAACATTCCTAGAAGCAGATAAATATGATGTGGCTTGCGAGATCAGGGGACTTGGGATATTGGACATGGTAAAGTGCGGGGAAGCAACTCAAGTAATATGTTACAATGGTTGCCTAGACTAGCTTATTCCTGCAGTTATTCGGCACAGCATGCTTGTTTGAGACTGCAGAAGGAACTCGTGTCTTTTGTGCTAATAATTCTGTAATCCTTCTGTAGAAAGTCCAAAGGAGCTGTCGCAGTGCGTTTTATATCTCTATATTAGCCCGGGTTTAGTACAACGCTTGTCCTCTTGCAATATGGCGTAGCGAGTATATGGAATGATAGCATATAAACGGTTTGAATGGTAACACGAAAGCCAATAAGTATTGACTGTAATAGAGTAGTCACAAATGCTGACTCTATTTCCAATAAGCAAAACGGACTCGCAATAGGGCATCAACTTAAATAACTCGTTTCTCTGCGTTTGACTGCAGACTTGATGCCTCAGCCGAATACATACTCAATAAGCATGTAAATATTATCCAAACGATCCACTTTATCCCCAAGCGGCACGCCACTCGCCTTCAGAGTCCAGCCGTCCAAGTTATCCACCGAAAGCTCTCCGAAAGTCCTCAGCATGACAGAAGTACTGCCAGTCCCTATCCGAGTCTCATCGACAGTGGGCTGTTCGCCCACCACATCAGGTATAGTCATGCCGCGCACAAGTTTGGCATTCCTACAAGCCAGCATCACCGTTTTGACCACAAGCCGAGGCTGACTCCTCGACCAGTGCGGCAAGCGACTCTTCAAGCCCCCCTTAACACCGCCGCCACCACCATCCAATTGCAAAGTTCCACTAGCCTTTCCCCCCACCCTGCTCGAAGCAAGCATGCCCGTCTGAAAGCTATGCCAAGCATTCACAAAGTCATTCCTTAGATCAAACATGGCAAAGAACCCACGCGTCCGGCCCTCACTCTCTACCCCAGCGATCATCGATTTCACAGCACTTTCAGCCGCCGACTTCAACAACTCCCCACCATCAAGCGAAGTGTACTGAACGTGCAACAACACATCGCTAATGGACTCATAATCAAACCTCCGCATTTGACTAGGAAGCCTCAGCCTCCAAGATGAAATGGCACCCGCTCCCTCAAAGGGCATATACTTCCCCGTACTAGTGTAGTCAAGCTCAAAGACACCAGCATCATTAGTCCCCGAGCTAATAGCCACCGAAGACACAGGCACCGCATCGCTCCGGAACGCATCAGCCGTGGTGGAAAGGTAGTCCTTCGCCGTTCCTCCACCCGCCAAAGGGCTGACGCGATACTGATGTTGCGTCAGCGTAAGCGTCGCGTTCAAACCAGTAGTAGGCCCAATAACCGCGGGAATGGAGACGGCGACGGACCGGATCCGGCGCATGTAGTGTCCGGGAAAGTCCATGTCGTACTGCACCTCTGGGATCGAGAATTCCGCCACGCCCGTGATGCGCAAGCGCAGCAGGGCAAGGGGGTCGAGCTGGCGCAGCGAGATGGTTTTGGTGACCTCGTAGTCTGATCTCCTGCCCTCGAGATGAATCGCCTCGAGACGTTTGAGGTCCATGTAAAGGTTATCAGCGGCGAGTAAGCCGTCTCTAGAGGCGTTCCAGTATCCAGCTGGCCGCAACATTCCAACGGGTCGGCCTTGCTCGAAACTGAGTGCTGCGACGGCTTGTTGGGCCGCTGCGGCGGCGAGAGTGTAGGCTTGGAAGTAGAGACCGCGGAGTTCCTTTTCCATCCAGGCGTAGAGTTGTTGGCTGGTGTATTTTGTGCGGTAGTATGCTTCGGCCTGCGCGGCATCTTGCATCGAAGCGAGTTGGGTGTTTATGTCTTGTTCCGCTGCAGCGATGCGTGTGCGCTGGATGAGCATCTGCTGGTCTGTGGACCGAATCTCGCGGCCGCGGATGTTGGCTTGTAATCGTCGTTCCTGGAGCTGCTTGACCATGCGGCCCTTGCGGGCTGCCTCGTTGCTGGCCTCGCTCACGATCATCGCGTCTGCCTTCATGGACATGGCATCAATTTGGATCGCGCCAGAGATGGTGGATCCGCCGGCTGAGACACTACAGCCGATACCCAAAGGTGCCACGTTGCCAGAGATGCTGGGCAGCCATGCGAACATGGAGGCGGTGTGGTCTATACCCGCAGCGATAATGTTTAGTCCTGCCGCTGCGCCAGAAAGGTCCATTTCGGTCTTCTCGTACACTGACATGCGCAGGTCGTCTTGTGTAACGGGGCCAATATCCTGCTCAATGTCGATCCAATCTTCGTATGCTTTGGGACCAGTCGATGTTGTTTCTCCCATAGTAGCGAGGTAGAACGACAGCTGTGCGGCCTGGGAGTCTCTTGAGAGCTGCAGTGAGTCCATCGTTTGCTTCGCTTCGCTCAATGATGTCCGCTTCATGTCGAGCATCAGGGACTGGATGACGGACGCATTGCGTGCACGCATGGCGCTGAACTCGTCGGCTTCCTTCTTTTCCACTGCCGTCATGATTCGTTCTGCCATGGAGCGCAGCTCGCTGCAGAGCTCAAGGGCTTTTTGCAATCGCATCTCGAAACGGTATCGTGGGAGTGGTCCGTTCTGGTTGCCCAAGGCGGCACTAGCCGTATCACTGATTGAGCCGCCGAGCCCAGCACCAAGAGCTACAAGGGCAGCTGGGTCAATCGGTGGTTCTCGGAGCGCGTATGTGACAGGATTTCCGTTGATGTCGAGCGAGTTGCGGATGTTGTAGAGACGCTCATGGACCAGACTCCGCAACTTTTTGAACTTGGGATTCAAGGGCACGGAGAAGTAGGGGGTCATGATGAAGGACCGCAGGGCTTCTTTCCGGGCATCAAGCTCGGCCGACGTGGCCGAGCCTTTACCAGAATCTTTGATCCTCTTCAGCTGCGCTGAGAATGGCAAGGAGAGATTGATCCGGACCTCGTCGTCGATAATGTCCTCGAAGCACTTGGGCGCCTTTCGTCCCAGCTTGAGGCCCTTGATCGGCTCAGGACCGAGGACATGCGCGGCCTCGGTGTAGCGCTGGATAGCCAGGGGCAGTTTCTCCAGTGTGCCTTGTCGGAAGCAGTCATCTCCAGCTGCCAAAAGGATCTCGGCGTACTTCATGACAATCCACTTCATGTACGCCTGTGGTCGACCGCGGGCGGCGGCGTGAACGAGTTGGCCGAATGAGCGACGCTCCTTGATCGCGAGCTCGATCTCTTCTGCCAGCTTCTTCAGATTAGGGCTCGTGTCGCCGGCCTTGCCAATCCTCTCACTGATGTCCTGGAAAGGTGGGAATCGCCAGGCTGATTTCGTCACATCATTGCCCGTTTTTCCTGTTTTGGGGTCGCTCTGATCTCGTTGCACCTTGGTGTCAACAGTCGGATCGAAGAGGAGGCGGGCAATCTGCAGCGCATCGTCGTATTGCTGCGTTGCGAGGAAACGATCGGTCGCGAGCATGACAGCGTGGACGCCAAGCTCCCAGTTGTAGAGTGCAGACGGGGTCGCAAGCTCGTGGTAGAAGGTGTCACCACCGACCAAGCCGAAGCTGGTACCTAACTGCCCGGCTGGAATGGCTGCCATGGTATCGTAGATGCTCTTGAGGGGATCAGCACGATTCACGGCAGCCTGCATGAGGCTTTGGGAGAAAGGATGGTCCATGGGAGTAAGTGCCATGTTGCTGGAAATCATTTCCTGCGTCCAGGACGTGGACAAGAGGTCTTTCTCTGGCACATTGAAGTAGCTGACACTGGACCCGTCTGCTTGCTTCACGTTCATGACCAGTCCAGTGACCCGTTCGGCAGACTTGGACAGTGTCCACTTGATGTCTGACTGGGACTGCTTGATCTTGCTAGGAAGCCAGACGAGCGGCGCGTTTTTCTTGTCCTCTACGCCTGGTACAAACAAGGAGGACTTGTCCCCAGTCACCTTACCGAAATGCGTGCAGAATTCATGGGATGAGACTTTGATGTCTGTGGTTTGGCAAGCGGTGACCTGATCTGTCGAAAAGTCAAAGGAGCCAACCACCTGTCCTGCGTGTGCCTCTTTGGGTGCATGGCTGAGAGCAATCCTGACACGATTGGTCTCGAAGATCGGGTCCAGGCGAAATTGCCAAGCAGATGGCAGGCGACCTTGTGGAGGTAGTTCCACAGGCTTATCCTTCGGCGCCGCCGATGTTGGCGCGTCGACCAAGAGACTACCAGGTGAGACTCGCTTCGGGGTCCATGTTCCTCTAACAAGCTCGCTCCATGCCATGGTGACCTCCCACTGCTGTTTGGGCTCCTGAACGGCCACACCAGCGTCTCCCATCTGTGTCCATGTTTGTGACTGAGGCCCAGCGGCCAGCTGGCTTGTGTTGACAGTCTTGAGGATGACCTGAGGGAAGAATATGTACAGCCTGCCTTCTTGGAAGATCGGAACCAGATATGCCCCGCTGTCCTGCAGACGCGTTGAGTCCCAATCATTCTCGACAGAGGGTATGTCGATCTCCATCTTGATCCACGGCTTCCAGAACACAGCACTGTCGGAGTGATAGATCGTTAGAGTCCTGTAGTAAAAAGTGTGCGGAGCTACGCGGGTGCGTCCGAACAAATGGAAGATGTCCTCTGCCCCCGGATGCGGTTCATGAAGATACGAGACAATGTCCAGACTGGAGATGCCGTTCAGATCGTATGAGTAGTCCTGCACCGCCCTCACAAATGTGCTGACGCTCAGATCCTTTTGCATGAGAATCGTCTCCAGCTTCTCAAACAGCTGACTCTTGTCATCGCGCAGCGACGGCTCGAGCCAGTTCTCAGGGTACAGGAACATCTTACGATGCGCCTCCCACAGAGTGTAATGTTGCATCCAAGTCCACTTCTCGCGTGGAAGCATGTCTTTGGCGATGTCGGCTTCGATGCCTAGGAAACACCGCTGCACAAAGAGCTGGACCACTGAGATGGCTTGTTTGATCCGCGACGTGCGTAGCTGGGGTCCCATCTGCACGTCGATGAGGAAGAGTTCGAACAGGCCATCGGCGTTGACGATTTTGAGCTCATCGCGAACCTTCTCTTGCTGTAAGAGGTACTCAACCAGGACTTTTCGACGTGTTTGGGTCAAGACGACATCAATGTCCGTCTTTTGAGAGGGGGTAAGGCCGTCCTGAAGTGCAATGGCTCTGTCGTAGTCGCTCTTGCTAGAGGACAGGGTGGTCTTGGGCTTAGCTAGATCGAACAAAACAGACATCTTTGGTAGTACTCCCCCAGAGCTCGCGTTCTGCAACTCGTCATTGAATAACATGATGTCGGCAAAGCCCAAGAACCCCTCAAAGCTTTTCAAGCTCGACAGCACGTCTGCGGCTGGCAAGCCAGAGCACTGGGCTTCCAAAGCTTCGAGAGTGGAGGCCTTTTTCCAGCCAGTGGCATCCGCGAACCTGGTAGCGATGTCATCCAGCGTAGGAGACATGACCGAGCCCAGCCAGCCCACTAATGAAGCGAGGCTGCCGATGTTGCCCGTGACTGATTGACGGAGTTGGCGGAATTTCACCAGGCGTGTCAAGTCAGCCAATCTGACATCATCGAAATTGACAACTAGTGTCTGGCCGGCCTTGTGGCGGTTGAGGATCATGTACTGCAGTTCCTCGGGCTTCAGCTGTTCAATCGTGCACAGACTTGCGATACGCTTGATGGCATCGATGATTGTCGCTGCGCGGCGTGCGATGCTGACTGACTTGAGGACATCATCGGAGAATGCTGTCGAGCTGGACTTGGGGGTTGACCATGTGACTGCCTTTGCCCCGAAGCTTGCCTTGAGACGGTAGTATTTGCCACCAGTCAAGCGGAATGGCGTGAATGATTTGGCATCGGGGTCATAAGGGACATCTATGCCATCCACGGACAATGTTGGCGGTGCTTGACCCTTGTCAATAGGACCGGTGTATTTCAATGTGAAATTGTCGCTCGTGGGTGCTGCAAAGTAGGCATCCAACCTGTCGGCTGTCGATACGTCGTTGCGAGCGTGTTTGAGATCCTGCAAGGCAGAAATGGCCGCCTGTTCAGATTTGCCGTCTATTGTTTGCACCTTGACAATATCCGCCAGAAGAGGAAGGATGATGACCGGATCCGTGTCTGGCAGCAATACCTTGACCGTATCGACGAGGAAGGTCTTCTGCAGCGCTTCAGTGATGGCTGGGGAGGCTACTTTGATGAATTCTGCTCTTCTGCGGTGAAGCTGTATTGTTGCGTTGAGACTGGCTTGCTCTGCCAGTCTGGCGTCCTCGGTTGCTTTGGCATCAGCAATCGCATCGTCATCAACTGTTGACATGCCCTCGTTGCTCCCGCCCGAGGCTGGTGTTACGGTCTCTATAGTTGAGCTGGAAGGTGTCGTTTGATCTAGGAGCGCAATGGCATCAGAGACCTTCTGTGCCAATGGGAACTTTTGACAGATGGCGTCGGGTACTGCCACGGAACCTGAAGGTAGAGGGGAAGTTAGTCTCCAGCAATCTCAAAAGTGACAAGGGTTAGGACGTTTTGCTTACTCTCGACTAAATCTACCACAGACTTTGCCGTGGACGCATCAAAAACACGGGATGCACAGTCCACCACATCCGAGGCGCTCAGGACAGCGCCAGGCAGGGTGTAAGGAATCGATTGTTCAATTTTCTGAGCCCCCGTCGAAATGTCGAGCGCCAGACGAAGTCCCGCGAACCAGGCCTCTTTTGTTTCCCTTGTCTCGGTAACTGTATTCGTCTGACCTTTCTGGCCGAGTATGCTCACCAACGACTCGACAGTCCAGCCAGAGTTGAGAAGCAATTTCCAATCTTCAATGACATCGACAGTGTACATTGGATCTGCCAGAACAGCCGGGCTGCTATGAGCATAGAAGACTTTGAAGAATGCCTCACAACTGTTGGGCGGTACAGAGAGGATACGACAGATGATGGCGTGTCGATACAGTGCAGTGAATACGCCAATATCGAGGTTCTGGTCTCGACAGCTAGATGCAGCTACGAGCTTATCGAAATGCTCCATGGGCCATTGCAAGGCCGCACAAATACCGATCGCGTGGTTTCCGACAGCTTCTTGAACACCCTTGGTAGTCAAGTACTTTGCCGATGGTGGTGTCGTTTGGGTGTCAATGAACGGGGAGTATATGTCGTCAATCTGCTGAAGGCGTTTCGTCATGAATTTGCGATGAAACAAGGACTTATCCCCAAAGGTGTTGATCGGCGTCCAGATTGGGAGAAGCTCCGTGGTCGAGATACCGGAAAGCTTGCTCAGTCTTGAAAGGGCCGCGATGCCGCTCACCACAAATGGAGTGATGCTGACGATTTCTGCCGAATTGAAGACAGGTGCCTCGTTGGGATCAAACAATGGAGGTGGTTCTTTTTGGAGTTTACTCTTCTCATCGGAGTCCTTAGAAGCATCCTCAGACTTCTTGACAACGGCCGGGGCGATGGGCTGTGGAAGGACGGACTTTTCAGTCCTACGGGTGTTGACCACCATCGATAGCTCAAGGTCACGGAACCCGACGATTGCAGCATCCGTATCGACAATTGACCAGGATAGTTTATTCCGAAGCCGCAGGAATGCCTGTAGGGAAAAGGAAAGCTTAGCAGTGAGAGGCTGGTAGGGAGGAGCAGCTGCATTTGACAGAAGCAAGAGACCCTCAACCAGTGGGCCGAACTGCGATGACCCCGATGCGTTGGTGATGATGAGATGTTGGCTGAAACAACGGGTCTTGACGAGTTCAAGAATCTCGTCGAATTCAAGACCTGATCTGAACATGAGCTGGTTCTTGATGAGTGAGAGACCCTTGAAAGGGTCCAGCATGGTCGCCTCGTCGTCAAAGCCCCAGAGAGAAGCGACATCATTGGGGCATTCCTTATCAATGCTCAGAGGTACTTGGGACAGACCGTTCGCAAGATCAGCAAACGTGGCTGGGAAGAACGTTTCTGAGGTTATGGTGCTGTACTCGGCTTGCTGGAGTCCCAGTGTTTCTGCTGCGAGGCGACGCTTGAGCGTCGCTTTAGCACCGCTGAGGAGAGCTCGATCGAGTCGATCGCCACGGGGGCCTCGCCGACTGCGAGGAACAAGGTCAAGGAGGCGCTGAGGGGACTGGAAGATGCGCAGAAAATGGACGAAATCGAGCTGGTAGGTCCCGAAGACGGCGCCCTCAATGTTGCTTGCCAGATCGTAGGGGAAGCACGTGAATGGGTATGTGGCCTTGGAGACTAGCTTCTGGTAGACGGGGTAATCGGTGTTGGCCGGGCGATATTGCGTCGCAGGACCAGCACCGGTAGGTCCTTGACCCTCTTCGAAGCCAGTCGGAGTTTGATATGCACGAATGGAGTCTTCAAACCTGTCGGACGGCGCAATGGGTTTCGGGGCGACGGACCGGATGTAGGACTCCAGCACCTCGTTGACCAAGGAGATGTACGGCAGCAGAGTTTGTGAGTTGGCGCAAGTCAGCTCGAGCTTTCGAATATCCGGTCTGCGCTCGAAAAGGACGTCAAGTAAGTTGTCCGCGGGTGTTTCGTCGGAAAGTAATTTGGGGGTTCGGTTGATGAAGGTCGTGTTGCGGAGCAGGAGGAGGAGATCGCTCAGGTAAGCCGACAGGCCCGTCACAGAGCAACACTCTTCGCAGTCGGTCTCCTCCAGTTTGAAGATATCCGTCAGGTTGCTCAACGATCGACCTGTTGGCTGTCCACCGGAGAGAGCGCTTGGTCTCTCTGTAGAAATTGGCAAGCAATCATCTCTGCTTGACTGCATGATTGAAAGCCAAAGCTGCTCGTTCCAGCAGTCCACACGCTCAGCAGAGTCGTGAACCTTGAGCGCGTTACCCATTTCCATTCCCTTTGCCACCATCTGCTCCGCAAATTTGCCCTTGAGCTGCTGCGTAATCTGCCGGACCGACGCAATGCCCGCTTCGTGTAGGAAGGGCAGGTCTTCTGGGTCATCCACGACTCGGCTTAGGAGAATCATCGATTTGGTGAACGCCAAAGCCGCATAGAGGTCTGTCTCTGATGGCTGGATCCCTGCCTCCCCTTTCATGAGAGCAAATCTGGTCTCTTCCATGAGCTGTGCATCATCGTTGCCCATATTTCCTCGCTCGAGGCATGAAATCATTGACTCGGCCACTTTCTGCACAGTCTCGGACAAGGAAGAAAACTGCCCGGAGCGTAGCACGACTTGAACAGCCAAGGTGGGATGATCGTCAAAGAATCTCGAGCAGATCTCTTGAAGTGTCTGCAGCCCTGAGCGCTCTATTATACGACTTGCTCCATCTCTCTGGACAAACTTTGAACGTGGATACAACACATCTGCGAGCTCCAAGGGAGTGGTGACTTTCAAGTCGTTCAAAAGCCAGCCAGAAATGTCCAGGTCGCTGTTGGTGTAGTCGAGCACCGACTGTGCGAATTGCAGGGTCGAGATGCCATTGATGGATATATCGCCCTCTTTGAGCACCAGATCAAGGGCGTAACGACGATCTTCGCACTTTTCTGCTGTGGCTTTATTGAGACGCGGGCGTATGAGAGGTAGTTCCTCCCCCAGTCGTCTTTCGAAGAAACTGAGTAAAGCTGCCATGGCGATTATGGGGTTACGTCCAGATGGCAGAAGATGTGGTGCGACTTGAAACTCGATGTCGTTGGCAACGGCAGCTGTACTGCTCTCGTCGGTATTCGTGGTTGTGGTTTGTTTTTCTTCTCTCATAAGTGGATAAATGATACTGAAGCCATGATCCACCACCACAAGACCGTGTCTAGTCCCACGGGCCGCACGCCAACCTGACTCTAGACGTGCGGACCCCGGCCACGGGCTACTCTAGGCCTACAGTGTGAGCCGACAATCAAGAGGGGCCTCGGGTCTTGTGGAATTCCGGGCAATAGTGCGATGTATTGATGCATGTTCCTGTGTACCGGTATCCCTTAAGGGAAAGAAATACAGGTATCAACTAATTTGGGTGGCTAGCGTACGGTTCAGCCGCCGATGTATAGACGATCCTTGTCCAATTCAGTCTCTGAGAAGTCTCGACGCTCCACATGGGTCACCAAGTAATATTAGTTGATTCTCAGTGCATGCGGGGAAGGGCGTGTTCTATCCATCCATACTGCACCCACACCCCTATTCACCTTTACTCCGTAGTGGCATCGTGGTATTACCCCTGCTTTCGCGGCCTCGCCTGCCCGATGGCGTGAAGACTCTCTGGCTGGAGAGCTTTCATGGGGGCCCTGAGATCGGCATTTGGTACCAGCGTTCTTGATCGCGCATTGTGGCTCAACAAGCAGAGGAGCTGGCTGTGGGAGAGCCCAACTTCTTAAGTACCTCGGATGCTCCATCGTGTAAGTGGTGGACGCGAAATTCAAGATCAAAGTCCTACACCCAACCTTATTGTCCTCTGCACAATTTTCTAGATCATTCCATCATGTCTGCCTACAATCGCAATCGTATCTCACTCAACATCCAGGGTACCAAGGGTGCTGAGTACTATGACCAGATCTGCGCACTGAGCCAGAAGACAATTAATGAAAATTTCAAGACCCTTTTCAAGCAACGCCGGGACCTTGTCGAGTTATGGTACAAAGATAAACGTGGAAGCAATGGAGTCTTGGATGCTATCCTGGACCCGCCTCAGGTCAAGCTTCAGCTTGGAAGTTCCGACACGCCAGAGCTGTATTTTGAGATCCAGTAAGCTTTTATTCTTTAATGCATCAATGATGAATGATGGAAACGAACCAACACCCTTGCAGCATCAAGTCGGGCAAAATAAAATTCGCCGCGGATCAGATCCAGACTATCAACAACTGGGTCATTACTGTTCGCTCGCAGCTCTTCGATGCACAGGTGAGCCCGAATTCATCCTTGGGCGATGAGGCTACGGCTGTGGCTGCCGCCCAATTGGAAGAGATCAAGAAATCTCATGACGTTCACAAACTCGAGCTCGCCATCAAAAAGGCGCAGGAGGAGGCTCTTGCTGCAGCGGAGAAGGAGGCTTCCGCAACGGGCGCTCCGAAGCCGACCCCTCTCAAGGCCGGCGACTACTCTATTCAACGTCTTTTTTGTGCCATTGCTCGTATGTCTCAATGTCTGTCGGTTTCGGCCCAGTGATTAGGCGCTAATACTCACTCACTAGAGGGTCAATGGAGCACGCCCGTCGAGTCCCACTCCTACTTGCCCGATCCCGAGGACGGCACCAAGAGGATCAGTTTGGCAGACTGGAGAGCGTCAAACCGGGACAGCAAGACTAGACTCATGGCAAATGCCGTGTCCAAGCTCTTGGGCAATTGGGCGGAAGACAACCAAGAGTCGGCTTTCTGGAATCTCGGCGTTCAGATCCGCCTTCCTGTGGCCAAACTTGTGAGGGAGCAGGCTCTGGCTACATGTGGTCAGTCCCCGGACGCAGCACTCGATCCAAAGAGAACATTGAAACTGACAATACTTAGCCCCAACCGCTGTTCGTCTTCAAAATTACGCTTACATTAGCAACGCGGCTCAGCTCGCCCATCTGCAAGCAGTCCAGAAAGGCGCCGTCTCCTCCTTGGCCAATGCGGGCGAACTTGGCCATCCACAAAACTGTTTGGTCTTTTGCGAAGTTGTCAAACGCAAACTACCCAGCGGTGCTCGACTCGAATATGGTGGAAACTTGGCTGAGCCTGCAGAGGGCACAGCAGAGCCTGAGATCCCTGGTACATTCGTCCTAGACCACCGTTTGTACTTTGAGCAGAAGATCCTCTCAAGTCTCCGAGACCTCTGTGTCAAAACCTCTGTCATTCCCGTCTATCCCGACATGTTCACAGACAAATCCAGTGGTGAGCAACAATTCAAGAGTCGGTATATTGTCGGTGCAAACCCGAACCCAGCCTCGCTCTACCCTGGTCTTCCCGATCAGGTCGCCACGAACCCGACATTCGATTTCAAGTTGGAGGACAAGGGCAGATACGCGTGGCGTCGAACATGGCCTGCACCTGGGTCTGGTACCGAGGTCAAGCCGTACACGGATTGTAACGCTGCACCCGTCTACCGGAAATGGTCGATAGAGGCTGCGAATAATGTTGAGGTTACCTGGACTCCAGGTCAGGATACCATTCGCGTCGCTGGGTCTGTTGTATACGATCATTGGGAGGCATATAATGCCAGAGGAAACATGAACTTCCCTTGGAAGGCCTGGCATGACTGCTATTGGGGGGAGTAAGTTTGCACGCATTTCTCTGACTTCCCAATCCTAGAACCTCATGTGCTGATCAACTGCCGCAGCTTTGTGATCACGATCAGCTGGTCCTTCGAGATCGACCTTTGCGATAAGGAGATGTCATTTGAGGACCACAAGGAGGCTATGAAGAAACGGAGTCGCTATCTAGTGGAGCTGGATGAAGCCCTGAAGAACGGCAAGCCAGCGCCGATCGAAGTGCCCGAGGTACCAAACGGCGTGATCAATCCAGTGATTAAGGGCCTTGATCCGAATACCAGCTTGCCAAAAAACCTTTCCGTTACTCGTACTGGGGGTCAGTACGTCAGAGATGATACGCACACCAAAATGCGCGACGCTGTCGAGGCTTCATTGAAAAGCGGCTTCAAGACAGCTTGCGACAACTTGCTCAACAGCGTGGCAGACGCAGGCAACTTCATCTATCCCGGCACACGCACCCTCGTTTTCGGAGACCCGAAGCTCAACGACTTTGGAGACGTCCTCGCCACGATTGCCTATATTGATCTTGAAGACGGTCTCGTTGATGTCAATGTCGCCGTGCCCAAAGAGATCGAGCCATCCCAGGGCAAGAAGGTAGATCCAATCATCCATGATTCCACTGTCACCGGTAACCCAACACACATCACGTGGAGTCCAACAATCACGTGGAACTCTCACGCTGGAACCGCCAAACTTGTGCTGCAGGGGCGCAACATTCTGCCAGATCCCATGGCCTTCGAGGAGGTAGTAGTCCAGCTGCTCCCAACGGGAGGGCAGAACTGTCTGTTCAGCGGCAGTGCCTACGCCTGGGAGTCCCGCACCGAGCTCGACGAGAAGAAACGCATCAAGGACCAGAGTGAAGCAGCGAAGAAAGCTGAACGGATCGCCAAAGGAGACACACAAAGCGAGGGCACGAGCAGCGTGGACATGGTCAGCGCTGGTGCTGATAGCGTCAACGGCACAGTAACACCATCAATCACGACGACCCCTTCAGTCTGGGAGTTCAGCCAGTCGCTAATCAAGGAAGAGCTGCAAGTGACGCTTGAATCGGAAAAGAACTCGACCATCTTTCGCATTGAGGCAGTTCCCCCGGCCAAGAAGTCGAGCAAGACACCACGCTTCACCATTCCGCCTGATGGCTGGTTCAGTCTCACGCTCGAGGGCCCTGCATCTGGTCCTGGCAACTATATTGCGCAACTTGACGAGCTATGGAACCATACTGATTACCTTCAGAACATGAAGGGCAAGCGGGCTGCGTCCTCCTTCCTCAAGTGTTGCCTAATTGAGGGCACCTCGGGCGTTGCATACCTTTCTTCTCAGGCTGACGCGGATAAGACACGTGGAGTTTTGAACAGAAGGGAGTAGGTACCTGGAGAGGGTGACTCCATATAACTGTTGACTAGATACATGTAAATGAAGCGGTATCTCCATAGTTTGGCTCACTTGGTCTCTTACGCCGTTACGTTTCCCACGTGAACCTCCAGTATTATTGTGTCCGTCATGCTTCAAACGAACAGCTACCATATTAGCCGAAATGCCTGGTGAGTAGCTGTTAATGAGGCCAACCTACTCTGAGCTGAGCTCAAACTGGACTTATTGTGGTGCTTCGTGCAGTCGTCCTTCGCTACGGAACTCTCGGCAATCCCACACCACCCGTATGTCTATCAGATGATAGTGGACATGGCACACGGGCTGCATGATCCGTCGCTAGTCCCATGCACGTGGGAGTGGAGAATCTGCAAGGGTCTCAGCTTTCAGGTCCCAGCTTTCAGGTCTCAGCTTGCAGGTCTCAGCTGGACTTGTCACCCAGAAGCCTAGCCAATACTTCGCTGCTGTCAACCCTTGGCTAGCGTGCTACTGGGCGCTTGAGGACGCATCAAGTACCTCTCGAGGCACAAGCTGGCCTTTCAACGTCTTGGGAATCCATACTTGTAAAGTCCTCCTTTTCCGGCGTTTTGTGGCGAGCTGAATAGCAGGGATACTCTGCCCGATCTAGTATTGAATATCGACCACATGACAGCTTGTCTCGATTGGATTTGTTACGTGGCTGGAATACTGCTGCTGCCGAGCGCCTATTGCTTGGGTTCGATGGCCCAGTCATCGCCTCACAGTGTCACTGTCACTGTGGAGGTATGCCCGTAGCTGTGGAACCAAAGATTGGGCGCCGGGGCCTTGCCTGTGGTATGACACGAGGAGGAGCTGAAGTGTAGAAGATGCAGTAGACTGACTAAGCCAAGTGACGATAGCTTCAATTGAAACAAGGCCAGATCCCAAACCGGCTCGTAGCAGATTCCTCACCCCTAGCCGATCAAAATAAACACAATTCATGTGTGTCTCATACTTCAACAGCAACAAGTTCAAGGTGCAGCATGGACGAATCTGTCAGATCTCGGGTGCAGCCAGCCGCCCCAACAAAGCGCTCAGGGCTGAATGGAAATCCAGCTGCTGAACCACGCGATAAAGCCACCAACAATGGCTCGGCAAAGCCTTCATCCAGAGTTCCGAGCATTGAGAAAGTTGACGTCGCCGCAGCCTCGACCGGCAAAGGGGGTGGCGCGTTGAGGTCAATCGACCAAAAGTTTGAAGTGAATCCATGCAACGGAACCCTGGCGTTGAGTCTCACGCTTCCTGTGACGTCGGGTCGAGACGAATGTCAGCCAACCTTGAGCCTGTCATACAACTCGGGCAGCGGCAATGGCCCCTTTGGCATCGGCTGGAGCCTCTCACTGGGCAGCATCACGCGCAAGACGACGCAGGGGATCCCCCAGTACGAGAATTCCGACACGTTCTTGCTCTCTGGCCTTGATGATCTAGTTGAAGATGGTTGCGCATTCGCCTACTCGGGGTCGCTTGGGAAATACACGGTACAGAGATACCGCTCGAGGGTGGAAATCGGCGGAGCCGCGATGCGCATCGAAAAGTTCACGCATCATCTCGACCAGCACGACGTCTTTTGGAGAACCATCTCTCCTGCCAACGTCACGAGTCTCTACGGCCGCCAGGACCAATCACGAATCATGGACGTCGCAGGCGATGGTGGCCCACCACGCATCTTCACCTGGCTTCTTTGCGAAGTCTACGATCCCAACGGCAATGCGATGCTACTCACGTACCTGGAGGAGAATGACGAGGGCGTGCGCGGTACCGATGGCTGCCTACCCGTCCATGAGATCTCCAGAAACCCATCTGCCCGCACACGCGCGCGATACATCAAGTCCATCAAATATGGCAACATTTCTGTCGCCAGAGATCTAACAACGTGGCAGATCACTCCACTCCCTGCTGACCACAAGTGGATGTTCGAGGTGGTATTCGACTATGGCGACCACGACAGCGAAATCCCGACATCCGAGCCTGCCATGCCGTGGCCTGTGCGGAAAGACGCATTCTCCCACTACTCGAGTGGCTTTGAGATTCGAACTTACCGCCTTTGCAAGCGAATTCTGCTGTTCCACCATTTCGAAGACAAGTTGCCACGAAAGGATTATTTGGTTTCCTCGTACAGCCTGCAATACGATGAGAATGCCGCGGGATCACTCCTCAGATCCTTGATGACTGCAGGCCACGTGTGGGATGAGGAAAGAGATATCTACCAGCAACAAGACCTCGCGCCTCACACTTTTGCATATTCCAACGCGGCATCGCTCGACTCACTACACTTGCAAACGATGAAGCCGGACTGTCTGCAGGGTCTGCTCACCAGCAACGAAAAGTTCCAGACTCGATGGGTTGATTTGAATGGCGAAGGTGCGCCAGGCCTGCTGGTTCAGCGTGATGGGGCTTGGTATTACCAGCGGAACGAGAATGCACTCGACATGGGCGGCCTCAGCGATGGTGGAGGCGAGACTGAAAGCAGCGAGGACAGCGATGATGGGGAACCAGCAGAAAGTCCAAAAGCGGACAGAGACTTTGGATCCGTTCGGGTCGTCAACGCTTTCCCTGCTGTGGGAGACTACTCAACCTCGTACCTGGAGGACCTCGACGGCAATGGGCAACAAGACCTTGTCATATGCGATCTGAAGGGTCGTGCTGCTGGTTATTTCGAGTGTGATTCGACCGACGAGTGGCAGAGCTTCAGGGAGTTCCCAACTTGTTTAACCTTTAACATCAATGGCGATTCCGTGCATCGGCTAGATCTTACAGGAAATGGCCTCAGTGACGTGCTTTACCGAGCGGAGGATGGGTTCATCTGGTTTCCATCACTGGGCAAAGAGGGATATGATCTAGAGCGTCGTTGCCAAGGGATAGACGCCATCGACATGTTCGTCTCCCACGACAAGAGGAGTGCTGTCTTCCTCACCGATGTCACTGGTGATGGATTGACCGACATTGTCAAGGTCTCGAATGGGAGTATCTCATACTGTCCCAACTTGGGCCACGGGCGTTTTGGATCAGAGTTGAGCATGAGCAACCCACCATTGTTTGACTCGGACGACCAATTTTCCTTTGAAAGGCTTAATCTCCTCGACATTGACGGCAGTGGGACGACGGACCTGCTGTATCTCACGGCCGATGGTGGTATTAACATTTATTTCAACCAGTGCGGCAATGAATGGTCTGATAAGCTCTCCCTCGATTGCTTCGTGAGAACTGATAACCTATCCTCCGTCTTTACACTTGATCTTTTGGGTAATGGAACCTCATGCCTGTGTTGGGCCGGACCTGATGCTGCTGCACCCGACGAGCTCGTCATATCCTACCTCGACTTGACTGGCGGTGTCAAGCCACATCTCCTGAAATTCTGGTCAACCGGAACTGGCTTGACCACGTCGATCAAATACACTCCATCCACGCGTTTCTACCTTCAAGACGAGAGACAAGGTAGGCCATGGAAAACTAAACTCCCATTTCCAGTACATACGGTCAGTCGCATTGTCGAGAGAGACGAGATCGCGTCATCAACCCACACCACAAGGTTTCGCTACCACGATGGCTATTACGACGGAGCCGAACGGGAATTCCGAGGCTTTGGCGCCGTCGAGAAGTGGGAAACTGACAATTTCACCGTGACGCGGGGAAAGAAGAGCCTACAGACACCAACGACCTACACCAAGATGTTCTATCATACCGGGGCGGTGGAAATGGGTCTTGCTCCCTCCGGACCCGACATGTGGAGCGAGGCCCGCTTGGCCTCTGTCATTGTTCCGAGCCTCAAGAGTGACCAGTGGTACGAGGCATATCGAGCTCTCAAGGGAAGCCTGTTGCGTTCCGAGGTTTATGGAGCTGACGGATCTGACGCGGCCGATGTCCCTTACATCATCCGCGAGACCTCTTTCGACGTCAAACTTGTCATTCCGGACGCAGAGCGGAGAGCCGAGACTTCATCTCCCCTTGTCTATCGAGTAGAGCCAAGGGAATCGCTCACTGAACATCTAGAAAGACTTCGAGATGAGTCACGGCTCGTGCACGAGCTTGCGCTGGAGACAAACACATATGGAGATACAACCAAATCCCTCATAGTTCAATACGGCAGGCAACAGAGCTCCCTGACAACGCCTCAATCCTGTGCTGCTCAGAAGAAATCCCACATCACCTACACCGAGAAGACCTTTACCAACGCAATCGACGACAACGTCGACGTTGACAACTACTACAAACCCATGCCCTCTTCCACGGGTATTTTCCATCTAGAAGATAGCCCCGTGGCGAATCGCTTCCTGGACATTGAAGAAATCCGATACCGCGGCATCGCCGTTCTCGGAGGCAGCAAGCACATGGGCCACATGACGAGGACTTACTATCGAAGCGCAGACCTAAAACGCCCTCTGCGCCTTCACGCTGTGGAAACCTTTTCCCGCTTAGACCGGGAGTGTGTCTTTGCCATGGACCAGACTATAATCGACTCTCTCTCTGCGCAGAAAGATGTCACTTTCCGCAAGGTTTCTCCTCGCAACCTTTTATACAAAAGCGGTGGGTACGTTCAGCTGGATCGCGATAAGTGTGCTTGGATTCCCTCGGCTGAGGCGCTGTGGGATATCAAGGGAAAGTCGGACAGTGGAAACGATTACGACGCAGATGAGACCCTACGGGCCGCACGCAAGTCATTCTTCATTCCCAAAAGGTCTCGCGATGCCTTTGGCCACGTGTCTGAGGTCATCATGGACGAATTTCAAAGGTTGCCAATCGAGACTATCGATCCTGCAGGGAATCGCATGAGGGCTGTCTACGACTATAGGGTCATGCAGCCGACTATCTTGACGGATGTGAATGGAAATCGAGTCTCGGTCGTCTATGACGGTCTGGGTGATACTGCTGCGGTTGCACAAATGGGGAAGAGTGGAGAGGCACTTGGCGATTCTGTCGAGGATATTCCCAGCGTGCTTTCCGACGAGGACTTGCTGGCTTTCATGAAAGGAGCGTCTCGTGAGATGGCGATGCGACTTGTTGGGAAGGCTGGGAGTCGGACGATCTCGTCGAGGAAAAGACTGAAGTTATCGGTGTCTGGATCCTCGCCGGTCGAGTTGCCAACTTTTCGATTGAACCTCTCCCGAACCAGCCATGCCATCTCGCCTGATGCAGGCACTGGGGACGTCACGGTGGAAGTCTTTTACTACGATGGTCGGGGATCGGTCAGCCAGAAGTTGAATCTGACGCACTGGCCCACTAGCGACAACAAGGAGCACGAGTGGTGTTTGAGCAAGAGCGTCGTCAACGACTCCTCTGGCAAAGCGGTGATAGTGTCGAAACCTTTCTTCTCCAGCGATCATGTATGGAAGCCCCTGCTGGACCACACTGGGCACCTCACCTTCTCGTTCAGGGATGCATTGGGCCGCAATGTTGGGATACTCCAACCAGACCACACATGGACCAAGCAATGCTTTACCCCGTGGTCCAGCACCTCATACGATGCTGGGGACACCTGTCTTGTAACAGACGCCCGGACAGACCCAGATGTTGGCTTCCATTTCCAAAGAATGTCTACTGAGCTCTTCATGCCATCTTGGTATGAGCTTCGCGTTCAGTCCGAGGACAAGCGGTTGCAGCAGAGTGCTCACAAATCAGCCCAGTACGCCAACAAGCCTTCCACCACCCATCACGACAGCCGCGGGAAGGTCATCGAAGCAGTGGAGATGGGCGATGCCTACACACGTACCCTTTGCTCAGCCTACGACGTTTTCGGATACAAGACAGCCCAATATGATGCCCTGAATCGACTGGTGGAGTCTTACGATTTGTATTTACTGGATCAACCCCTGGTTCGGCGCAATATGGAGTCTGGCGCCATAGTAACCATCATCACTAGCGCCGGACAGCCTCTGCTCACAAGCGATAGCGCAGGCAGACAGACTCGTTTTGTCTACGATTCTCTGGGGAGGAAGACAGACACCTGGGTCATGCAAAATTGCGAGGCTGCCCAGGAGGTGCTTTGGAGCCAATACGTGTACGGCGAGGCCACGTTGGATCCGGAGCCAAACAACCTTCGTGGTCAGGTCTTTGAGATCCGCGATCAGTCTGGTATCCGCAGAAATACCTCGTTTGACTTCAAGGGTAATTGTCTGTCTTTTGATAATCATTTGGCTGTCGAATACCAGACCATGTTGAATTGGCGAGGTCATGTCCCGGTGGAGGAAAAGGCTTATACGACGAGGAATGTATTTGACGCTCTCAATCGCAACACAATGATGTGCGACGCCACTGGTCGGGTTCATGTACGCACCTTTGATCTTGTCGGAAATACTCAAACGCTCTCCTCTTTCGTGGCACCAAGCGACGACAACTCGCAATCACCTTTTGTTCCGATGCCGCCGAAAAGTGGCACTGACTACCATATCGCCAAAGCCATGTACGCCGCAGATGGACAACCCTTACGAGTCGACTTTGGTAACAAATCTCACTCCACCTACACGTACGATGAGTCGACAGGTCAGGTGGTGCGGCGACGGACATGGAGGGACGACCGTGCAGTTCTTGAAGACTTGACCACAACATACGATTGCTTGTGCCGCATTTCATGCAGTCAAGATCGTGCTCAACAGACACTCTTCTTCAGAAACAAAATGGTTGAGCCTTTGAAAGAGTTCTTCTACGATACATTTGGGCGACTCAGTAGAGCGACGGGGCGGGAGACGCTTGATGCAGGGGGCAACACTACACGCAGCTTGCGCCAGGTCTCGGCTTCTAGTGCCCTCGTCACACAATCTCTAGGCCCAGGACAGTCCAGCGATGTTTGCGACTACGTCGAACACTACGTCTACGATGATGCGGACAATTTGAGGCTTGTGCGACATGAAGTTCTGGACAAGTCGCTGCAAGGCTGGACTCGGTTTTACACCTATAAAGAACCCTCTCTGCTCGAATCGTCCCAGTACAGCAACCGTCTGAGCCAGACACGCATTGGCAGTCTCATTGAGCGGTACGGCTATGATGGTGCCAACGGTCAAGTCGGATGTATGACGCACATGACAGGCTTTTCGAGGCTGCAGTGGGATCACCGCAACAAATTGCAATGTACAGCACGGCAGAAAGTGAACGCTGGAGTTCCCGAGATGACATGGTATGTCTACGACGACAGCGGGAAGCGCGTGCGCAAAGTCACGACGCGTGCTTCCGGGGGATCAGGTGACAACACGAAAAGCACGAAACGCAAGGAGACGATCTATCTTGACTCTTTGGAAATCTACCATGTCTACAAACAAGATGGTTCCACAATCAAGACAACCACCAACACCTCGACGGTGGGCTCGAGTACCGATCCCGAGGTCCCGGCCGTCGTGAGCATCGAGGACGTCAAGGTTGCTACCGACTCTGTTGAGATTGACAGTGATGATTGCGGTGATTCCGACGATGACGACAGCAAACGAAAACCACGCCCCGAGCCAAATAAACCATTACTTCGATATCATGTCAACACGAATCTAGAAACAGATGACAAGGGCCAGATCATCTCTTACGAAGAGTACACGCCGTTCGGAGTTTCAGTGCTACTCATGTGCAGAGCTCAAATTGAAGCGCCCCGCCGTTACCGATTCGCATCCTATCACCGCGACCACGAGACCGGATTGTACGCCTGCGGCGCTAGGTACTATGCCTCGTGGCTTGGTCGTTGGACATCCCCTGATCCGCTGGGCATGGTGGACGGACCCAACCTGTACGCCTACGTCAGCAACGAGCCAGTCAACTACTTTGATCCTGGCGGCACAATGAGAAGAGCCTCTGGAGGGGCGCCACTGCCAACGGCACCGACGTCGGCACCGAACGGGATCAACGGCAGAGTCGCGGGCCCCCCGAACAACAACCAAGTGACCATAAGTCCTGAAGAGCGCGCACGTATACACCAGCAGTACCAGAGGAACCAGCAAGCGCAGAAATCCTATATAAGACAGGGCATGGAGAACATCTGGAAGAATAAGAAGGAATACGCCATTAAAGGCGCTGGCGCTGGTGCGGGTTATTACTTTGGCGGCCCTTTGGGCGGGTACCTCGGGACCGCTGTCAAGACTGCATTCAGTTGGGGTGCGGGCCACATTGCAGGGCGCGTGACGCAGGGTAGGCAGGATGTTGAGAATATGAATAATGGGGCCGATTTATACAGGAGCGCTCTGGCGGACGGGCCCAACCGGTCAGCGGACTACACTGTGCTGGAAATTCCCGATCCCGTCGAGCAGGACGACCAGGCAAATTCAAACTTGGAGGTCGGGCCCCGAGAGGATCAATATCCTGGGGCCAATGTCAGGGCTGAGGGAGCGAATGCTCCTGAGCAACTACGTGCACACACAATCTTGGACATTCCTTCAGATGCTAACGCGAACAATGCCGCTCAAAGAAATGTCGCCGAAAGTCATAGGATCAATAACGCTGTTCGCCAAGACAAGCCTGACCCCTAGAGGATTACTTTCGATATCTGGCTTCGAGGTGGGAGTTTGGGGCGGTTGGGATCTTGTACTTGTGTCGAGTATCAAATCGATGCGTGTCATCACGAACGGAAATCAAGTAGTGGCTGACCTTGAGGGCTGAGTGAACACATTTGGGTTTGGTGCCTTTCCTTTGTGTCAGTCTGGAGAACACATAAGAAATACTATCGTATCTTGTCGGATCTCACTTTGAATACACGATTTTCCCTTTCATCATTGTTGTAGATCTTTATTTCTCTCGTCAGTCTTCACTTGTCTTCAAGCCCGAAATTCAATCTCAGACCCTTGTGCATCAAGGGGAAATTGCGTACCGACTTGGAACGAACTTTGTTGTTCCATTCTTCTCTCTATAATGGCTTCCAAGAAATGGCTGTGATACGTATACTTGTTTGTATACTTTCAAGAAAGTAACAGAATGGGATCGAACAGTCTTAGTCCCTCTGCATTCATCAAACCCTTCTGGAAGGTTTGTAATCGTCATTCCCAGCCGGCGTTAGGGGGGTTCATAATACATCATATTCACCTATATTTCGTGTTACTTTTAGTTTAAACCCCTTTTTATTTTTATTTTACTTTGTAGGATATAAATCAACTAAACTGAAGCTAGGTTTTGTTTAATTTTGCAGGAACCGGTTTATTTAAATTATATAAAAGGATTAAATTTGCAATATACAGCAATATTTCACAACTGTTTGTGCATCCTTTATGAATCTTTGCCAAACTCCGTATAATGCGTCATGATAAGAAAACCGGAAATTCATGAGTCATTGGATGACTTACACCCTTTTTGCACAGCACAAAAAATACAACAAGAACCCGCTGGGGCACCCGAGCTTGTAAAAGCAATGTTCATCTGTTGCTGAACACATTCTACTTATAGGCTGGCCCGCCTTGAAAGTGAATTTCAGCCACCGAGTGTTCTTCTCCCACTAGACTATATTCTCATCTCAATAGCTGGGTCGAGGGCGAACTTCCATGTTGACCACGTGAAGAGCCGTTGCCGCTAGAGCTCTGGGCATTTTCTTTTTGAGAGCGGCGTGATAGTCCGTCTCGGAGCCATCGTTTACTGAATCCAGGGTAGCAAGCGTAGTGACGCCAAGGTCAGTTCGATTATTTCTGCGAATAAAACTTCGGATACCAGTGAAGATGGGAGATGGTAACTTGGGAAACTTAATGGTGGGCCGAGTTTGGTTCAGTGAGGGTTTCTCCTCTGGCTGCGCCCGAGCAAGTGATTGGAAGCGCATATAGAGCCTGTGGAAGATATTTCCTAACGGACTGTGATCCGCGACCTCGTCGTTATGTGTTTGTTTGACAAACAGTGTACGGAAAGCCGTAATAGATGCCATCATGACGGCTACGGCACCTTCGACTTGTTGCCAGAAGAACTCCCAGGTGTCGTCCTCGAGTCCTTTGTAGTGAAATCCAGCAATCCTGATAATTGCGCAGATTGCCATGAATATAGATAAGCAAAGGAAGACTGCTAGGCCAAACTTGGTTGAACGGCTCAGGAACGATCCCCTGAGTATAATGATAGGAATACTCACGACTGATGCGAGATGTCAGCTTCCAGTGGCAACGTGCTTGGCAGCATGCAAGAGACTGTGCAACATACCCATGATATCGGACAATATGTCAAGGACTGTCACAAGCGCAGTAAGTCCGAGTGTCTTTCTTCCATCCACGGTGGAGGTGAAGCACTGCACTTGAAGGAGCCTAGTAAGGACGTGAAATGAGCTTGGTTCAGCTTTACTCACCCGCGTCTACACTGAAATACGGGCAAATTATGAATGGGTCCGCCACGACAAATGCCCAGGATATCACGCAGAAGATCATTATGAACCAGTAATACCAATTCACACGGCGTGATATATGCCAAACAAGTGGACGCATAAACGCCAGGAAACATCCTTTGACGGCGAACGTTGTTGTCCATATTAAGGCGAGAAACGGATATACCTTCTTCTGGAGCTGGAGAAGTTCTTGGAAGTTGATCAAGACGTACGGTAGGACTTCGGCACGAGCAAAGCCGCTGAATGGAGATAGAGGAAGTAGCAGATATGATACAGAATACCAGTGGCGGCGCAAAGACACGCGGCTGCAAGAATCAGGAACGCATCATCCAGACGTAGTTGTTTCTGGTAGGTTAGCCGAATGGCCATCCGCGCGACGAAACAGCAAAGTGCCAACCCTGTCAAGACTCCGATTGCCACCTGTATACGACTCAGTCGTATTCCGACTATGCGGGGATCTATTGATTCACTCAACTTGAAAAGGATGCATATGAATCTGGCCTGATGACTCGATAAGCCTCCTGGCCTCTTCAGGGTCCAAAATAGTAGTCATGTTTTTTTTTTTTTTGTTTTAATCTGGTGTATCAGTTGCTTGTAGCCTTGGATGAAGACCAAGTCTGTGAGTCCAGGTCCAGGAAGCAGCGTATTTGTGTAATTGTTCTTTGATCTGTGCATGGCAAGCCGATGCACGCCATTGGGACATCGTCGGCGTGTAATGTGGCGGCTTATGGGCACGATCTGTGTTGGTTCATTTCCGTCGCTAATGGCCCAACACAAACTATCATTATAATAGTGACTGATTATATTGACCGTGGGAGCCATGCAATCGCGACCTGCACATGCATCACCACCCACTGGGTTGTCACTGCGTCAGCACTGCCGAACTTGATTTTAAACACGTTTCTTTGATCCTCACTCTCCCCACCTGTAAACGCAGTCCCGAAATTGAGGTCCTCGTGGGGGCCGCCCACTACCCATGCCGATTACCAACGGTAGGCTTGCCAATTATGAACACGAGGAAGCCTTCTTGTGGCGGTAGAATGTTGTACAGAGTAAGCTACATATGTAAGTATGCGGGGTACTCGAACAGGCCAGGTCTGCCACGTATGCGTCAACTATTTTACCCCAAAAGTAGATGTTGCGCACAAGATTTATCGAGTGCTGATAATTTGAGCAACGGCAGCGGTGGCTAACCAGGTGGTGTCAAATCGTATGTTCACTACTGGTTGCATTGACCAGCAAAAGCCACCCGCCTACAATAGGACGGGGAAAGCTCATAGTATACCTACTAGGTATACAGCCAGAGTGTGGGTCGCACCCCAGCCATTCTATTCCAACAGGTGGTCTTGCAGCAGACAGCAGACAGGGTAGGTGCCAACTGTAAGCCGTGGCTCACAGCGCACTCGGCCGTCCTTGTTCCAATGGCCATTGAAATCAGCTTTTCTTGTGACAAGATCGAATATCTTCTCACAGCACGCCTTCTGGTTCGATTACAAACAAGCGTATTTGCAGTGGTCTGGCGGCTAGGACGCAGACGGCATGTTCGAGACAATGCTTGACGATATTACTCCCCTGGCCCCAGCCCACCTAGGGGCTGTTTGCCTGCTCCTCGCGGTTATGCTCTGGCGTCGCTATGCTGCCATGCGTAGCGACTTCATTGCAAGCAGCAAGCGAAGACATAATCCGGGCTCCCCTTTGACCTTCCCTTACGTCTTACCGATCCTGGGGAGTCTTCCAATAATGTATCTATGGGGACCAAGAGCCTTTGTTTTGAGCAAGAGGTACTTCAAACAGAGCTCCTGTCAATTGGCTGTGTTCGCACGTCACTGACCTGTCACAGCAACTTTTTCCAGAGTGTCCACCCAGTTCGAGTCAAGATTATCACCCAGGAGTTCTATGTGCTCTGCGGACCGGAAAATATCAAGGCCCTGTTCAAGGGGTCATGGGCGTGTACATCCATTCCGTTTGTCAAATTCGCCCTCGGATATGCCTTTGGCCTACCAGCCAAGGCGTTGAGTCTCTACGACAAGGATGACTCTGGCGGTGGTCCAGTGCCTCACCCAGGAAGCTCTGTGGAAGCCCATAATCGTATCGACTACCGAGTGCATCACTCCTTGACCAAGTTTCTAGAAGGCAAAGGGCTTTTACCATTCTGGAACAGATTTACGGACAATATCACGGAGCAATTACACAGTTTTCACGACCGCCTTGATCCTGACTGGAATTATTATAGCGATTTGATGAAAGTCGTCGGAGATGAGACAACCGTCTCAATCATCAATGCGCTTTGCGGACCTTATCTCTTGAGTCTAAATCCAGGCTTCCTACAGGACTATTGGGATTTTGACCGTAACCTCCAGACTTATCTTCAAGGTGCGGCGTATGAAGTGTATTGCTGGGCACTTTTCTAATCTCATTCACAGGTATCCCTTGGTACATTGCACCAAAGGCGTATGCAGTTCGCAAGAGGGCATTGAATGCCGTCAAGGTTTGGCAGCAGCATGCGAGAGACCATTATCATGACTCGGCCGTTAGTGCTGATGGCGATGATCCTTACTGGGGAAGCAGTTTCTTCCGAGAGAGGCAAAAGATGTTTCTTGAGATGGACGGTTTCGACCATGACGCCATCGCATCCGAGGACTTTGGAGCAATTTGGGCGTAAGCTTTGGTGCCTGCAAATCATGATTGTGGTGACTTGGAGCTCATTTCTCATAGGGTGCGAAATTCCATTACTGCCGCGTCCTGGGCAATCTTTGAAATATATCGCGACCCAGAACTACTTGCCAGCGTGAGGGCCGAGGTTGACCAATGTGCGCGCAAAAGCCAAGACGGCCGTATTCGATTTGACGTTGACCCACTGCTTCGCCTGCCAGTCCTCCAAGCCGTTTATGCCGAGACTTTGCGCCTCAGAATGCATTTCTACATCATCAGGATGTCAGACAAGACTGATATGAATGTTCGAGATTGTATCATACCCAGGCAAAAGGTCATTGTCACCCCGACGACAGTTGCACACATGAATTCTGAAGTTTGGAGCACCGGCTTGCGGAACGAACACCCCGTTGATCAATTCTGGCATGGAAGGTTCCTCAAGACCCCGTACGAAAACTCTCTCAATGATGCAGAATCACGTGGATCTGCTACTCCTCTAAGATTCTCGACGAAAGAGTTGGAAGGATCGTGGATCCCTTACGGCGGTGGGCCAAGGCAATGCCCTGGCCGACACTTTGCGAAACGCCAGATCCTACTCACGACCGCCTTGATGGTAAGCCTTTTTGACTGCGAGATCTTAGGGGAGGGCAAGAGTGTGCAGGAGGACTTTACGCTCAAGGGGTTCGGAAGTGGTGTATCCCATCCAGCTGGCAAAGTGCCCGCGAGATTGAGGCGAAGAAATAGGGACAATATGTAAATCACCGGATTCCGTCTGCCCGCCGGACATTCCCGCAGGTTCATTGTTTCATTAATGAGATCAAGTTCTCGGGCCGACGTTGGTTGAGCTCGCCCAGTGCCAGCAGAACACGCCCCCTCGTTTTGAATGAAGCCGGGGAAGCAAGGGATGTAGAGTCACGCGAAGATGCCCCTCTTTACCGGGTTCTCTTTATTCAATTTAGCATTAGGTTGAGCTATACGACTGAAATGACTAACCAATCGGAGGATCATGTCTTTACTCGCGACCTATGACGTATCATTTCAAATGGTTGTAAAGGCATGGGTTGACCATTACCGCCCTCATTGTGCGCTGCACTACTTACCCGCCAAGGCCCTTCCTAATTTTCAACGGTACTTTGGGATTCCAGCCCTCACAATTTTGAGGTCGGCTTCTCTCAGGATTACCCAGATTGTCTAGCCAGGCAAGGACTGATTGATTCGAGCTGCCTGTCAGGGACAATGCTGACAGGGACCAAACCTGCATTACCGATTACCCGAATCCTGCGCCACGCAGGTCCAATCACAAGTTGATCGGATACGACCAGACCTGCATAACCGATTATCCGAATACTCTATATCAGATTGGCTTTGTCCGCTTCTCTGTTGTCTGGGCACGGTCTACATGATACCAGTTTTTGAAACATACACGACACAGTCACAGATTCTTTCCTCGTCTTCCCAATCACTACATATATTATCACACTTCACGTACTCGAAACCATGTCTACCTCGACTGTTACGGAAACCGAAACACCACAGCCTAAACCAGGAGACTCTATAGTCTGGCGCTTCAACGATGACCCAATGCCCAAGGTCCCGCAGACAGGCGGTTGTCGCTGCGGTACCGTCCGCTTCCACATCCAGCACGAGGTCTTGACCAAGCAGCCGGGCTTTCATATCCCGGTAAAAATGTGTAATTGTAGCATCTGTGGGCGCAACGGCTATCTCATGATCTTTCCAGAACGTGACGAAATCGAATGGATCTCTGGAAAAGACACCCTATCCGAGTATAGGTTTGCAACCGAAAAGAATGCCCACAAGTTTTGTGGCCGCTGTGGAAGCAGTGTCCTGATGGATCCTGAAGGGACATGGAAATCGTGGGCTGGTGATGTGGTCGGCCTCAATGTGAGTTTCTTTTCCCTCCATGTTCCATCGTACTGTATTCACATTAGGATGAAACGCCTCGTGCCATGCTACATACTCATCATTGTCAGGTTCGCATGCTCGATGATTGGGATTTTGAGGATTTACATTTGCACAAGAAGAATAGAAAAGATTGTGATCCTTCCAAGTACGCGACGCAAATAAAGGCTGAATGAGCGACGTGAGCATCGACATACATGTAGACAGTAGTATGGATAGCTAGATCTAGCTACATAATGGATTGGTCTGTATTATGAAAGCGTTCATTTGTGTTCCCACGTCTCTGACTCGGTCGGTGTCTACTGGCGCAAGTAAAATTGTACATTGCTTGCAAGTTTAGCAATCACTCTTTCTTTGATAGCTCAATGACCTGTTGAGCCACGCGCAAAAGGCAGGTGGCAGAGGTGAACAAGGTCTCGTTTGCTGGGGCGAGCTTGGCAAAGAAACCGCACGCTATTCCAATGTATGGTAAATTCTCTTGAGCGTTTCCATAAGGGTCGCAAAGAACTTCGAGGAAGCACAGGTACGTTGCCAAAGAAACCAGCTCGCAGATTTTCCTGAATCAAATCAAGTTAGAAAGTCAATTGGTATATCCATGGTGTAGGATGAGGAAATTTACCGCTGAGAATACACCACATTTGGTGGTAGAATACTAGCAGCTTCTAGTACGGTTTTGGCGGAACGTGTGCTTAAAGTATGGTCGATTGCGGTATGGTTCATGTCATTACTCTGATGTTGTAAGTAAATGTACAGACTGGCTTCGTGATATTGGCAAAAGAGCCAAAGTTTCCTCGAATCGGTGGCAAGGTTTTGTGGGTAAGACTGATTGATATCACGGTATTGTGGGTCGAGACTTTCTCGCCATGAATGCAACTCGTTTAACAATCTCTGCGTGTTGACCTTGTTTCGAGGCAATCTTGTAAGCCGAGAACAAAGATTGCCGAAATTTGTTTGGATATCCATCCAAGCTGACCGAAAATCCCCCGACTTTGTAATTCGAGGTAGTTCAAGTCTGGTACCGAGACTAGACATTATCATATGGTCATGAAATGGTGGCTAGTATGTCATAGGTAAGCAGTAAATCAACTTGTTGGAAAGGTGTCAAGCTGCATACCTTGGCAGCCATACTGATATCCAGTTCAAAGCGGGTAGTGATACAGTATGCGGAGCCCAACGCCAGGTTTACATCGTGTCGATCATGCAGCGGCTGCCCTTTTGGTGCATACATGTAGCTGGTATACAAGGTACGCGCACAGGCTCCTACACTTGATATCAGATCCAAAGTGATTGGCTCTCTACTTTGCATTGACATGATTGCCTATAGGCCATAAGTCCTATCTTCCGTCAAGCTTTTCTGTGGTGACTCACGAGTGCGGTCAAGGCCTGTGAAAATTTGACTTGATCAGGAGATAGATTCGACTAATTGTATAGGAGTCCTTACTTGTAGCTTGAGTAATGAATTGTGGCCAAGCAGAAACGGAGTGACCCGATTACAAGCTTCGGTGAATATTTGTCGAGAATGGCTCGAACCGTCTTGAACAGAGACATTCCGAGTTTCCAGGGCATGTCTTCCTGTGGCAATCACACCAAGCACGAGGACAACAGACAGCGAGTCTGGGATTGCATCGACCAAGACATTGTCAGCAAGCCGAGTGATTTCTGGCTCCAACAGAAAATCATCGAGACCAGTATGAGTATCAAAAGCAGCTGCAATACACAGGGTCAGTAACAAGACACGCTAGACTCCTCGTTCCTGTATATTTACCTCTAATGCTCGCATTCCTCCACAAAGTGTCCAGGAGCAGACCCTGAATATTCAATGAAAGAGTTCTAGAGCATAAGGCCCAGCCTTGTATGGAGGTGTCGTCACGCCAGAAATAACGCAGTTTGGTTATGGCAATCTTTACCGCGCCACGTTCTTCCTCGGGTATCTTGTGTTTGTTTATCAGATTTTCTGTTTCAACCTCGCGAACGTCTGTATCAAGTTTATGATCATTGTTTTGTACAGAAATAGCAATTCTTGTCTCGGAGCCCGCAGACCAAGTCGATGAGGGCGATGGTAGGTCATGGATTTCTTGGAAATCAATTGAACATGACAGTGAATCAGTTGGATCATTTCCAGCAGCCAAATGGCCAAGGTTAGATGTGATTTCCATGTCCCAAGAAAGGCTCCAAGGGTCAAGGTGCTATCAGATGACCAATGATTAGCATGTAGCTGGGAACGATTGGCAAGGTAATGCAGGCCTACCTCTACTGTCCCACTCCCCTGGTCATCAGCTGGTGCTAAAAAGTCCTGCAAGATCTCCATCCCTTCAATTGAGCTCGGGCTGGGGAGCCCATGCTGACCGGAATCACAATTCGTGTCGAGCGGGCTCCCAAGGAGGTCTAGCGATTGAGTATGTGCATTTTGAGATATCCGTTTATGAACTATGGGCACAGATGATGAATTTTTGCGACGTTCTCGGGCAGTGTTGGTATAATGGCACGTTCGAGAGTACCTCTTTGATGAGAGTCAGCTTACAAAGGAGACTCATCAGAACCAGCATCGAACACATACCTCACAATACGCGCATGGTGTTTCTCCAGTGCCTTTGCCGTAGACATGTCTTTAGTAATCCAAATATTGACATTTCAGGCGTTTATAATGGTTTTGGCTTGATGTAGGAGTGAAAACCTACAGCGTACTTTTGATTGTCTACACCCATCACAAGCCCCCCTTCGGCGTTTTCTGGGGGTTGTTTGGTTGGTCTTGAGCGGATACATCTCCATTCAATGCGCAAACGAGTCGAAGGAGTAGAGCTTCAGCCCAGGAATGAGCCCACGACAGGGAGAAATATACTGCCATTTATCGCGACTTGAAGGTGTCCCTGTTCTGATGCTCCCTGGTCGGCAATCCCTTGGCAACACATTACCGACTGGATCGATACAAGCGCCAAGACGGCGAGCATAGGCACGGGATCGCAGCCAAAGTGCTGGGCTACCCTTTGTAGTTTAGCAAACCACTCAAGCATCTCAGGCACTGCTACCTAGGGCATAACGGACTATTCCAACACGGCCAAGATGACGTTGTCAGTGTTGTAGAGCTCTTCAAGGATGGGAACGGCGCAAATGGTAAGCCCAAGACATTGTCTTTACTTTCAATTGCTGATTAAGCCAAGTCAGTCCTTGGGGAGCGTATTCAAGGGTTGAAAGGGGACATTGAAAAGACGTGCAAAGGAATTGAGGATGGTGGAACAGGTGCATGTTCAATGTTTGAGTGATCATATCCAGTAGACGGATGGGCAGTCCAGTCCGGCTCGAGAACTCCAGCTTTCGGGGGAGTGCTACACTGGGCTTAGCCTACATGTCACCTCTAGCCACTGCGGTAGCACACCAGATTGAAGCCCGCTCCACTAGAAAAGCGCTCCTAGAAAAGTCCAACTACCCCGGTGATTAGCGCTATTATTAGGAATGGAATCGAGCATCCCATATGCACCCTTCTGGTGTTGCGTTCACCACCACCATGGAGTTGAAGACATCATGGACACCCGCAGCCTGTGTAGCCGCGTTATGGCGGCCGTGTGTGGTAGGTACCGGTAGGCTCTCTTTGCGGAATTAGTGTACTTAGATGCTAGGTATGTATCTAACACTGTTATGAGATGGGCTGTTGCTTATTTCTTTGGCGGGCCCTTTTGCTCTATAATTCTTTGACATGAACTCAACTTGACGCGCAGTTACATGGAGGTGCCGGTTCTGCTCCAACGAGACGTCTCCAGCAAACAAATTAATTTCAAGATCATGCCACTACGTCCTATCGCGTAGAAGAAAAAAGGTTCAATCTAAGGTCTGCCACCATGCACAAACACCCTTCTGGGCTCCAAGAGTGCACCCATAAGGTTATTCATGTCCGTATGATGGGCAGAAATGGTTTTCTTTCGGAGAAATATTTAATAGGGCTGACATTTCTACTTTTTCAGCACTGCTCTGCTTCGCCATTTAAGTTCTCGTTTGTTCAGTAGTACCCAGGTTGAGAACTTCTCTAGATAACAAACGCCATGCCCTACCACGAGGTCGTCAGCGATGGCTTCGCTTATAGATACGGCAGGTTTTACGCCCTAGTACCCAATCGCGTAGAACGCGTCCAAGGCTCACATCTTCGACAAATGTTCTTGCCAAAGCTTACACCTGAAGCAAACAAGCGCTTAAGAGACAGCCATGAAGATACGTTTGTTCGCGGTCAATTGAAACACTACGGTGTCCATTTCGAGGAAGGCGAGATTTCCGGCAACGGGACTCTGTTGATCAAGAAAGTCCTCCAAGCCGGGAAATGCGACAGAGTCCCGGACCACATAACCCAGTTGCAGGAGAGGATGCACGCAGAGTGGCTGGACAAACTAACTGCCGAGGAGCTCTCTTCCTACCCAGATTGGATAATGGAAAGGTTCTTCTTGTCTCGTGGTCAAGCAGATCCCACAAAGACGACCACGGTTGTGGGTATACCTGTTGCCCCTAGCAGCACTTATCGTGCCGGTCAAATACGCGAGGCCGCCGACAAGATTCCGGGTCTTCATCAAGTAACTGGATCGGGGCCAAAGACGCAGACCATCTTCCTGGGTTGGGATCGAGCGGCTGTCGCCAAGGCAGCAAGTGGACATGCGGCCACAGAGGCAAAGAAGGTTCGGGAAGCCGACGAGGAATGGGAAGTCGAGCGTGCAGAGATGCACACAGACTATCTCAACTCACTCAAGAAGAAGAAGAAGGGCTCCGATCCTCACTCCCCCATTGGAAGCTACATGGTCGACTGCCAAGAGATTGAAAGGGAATGACCTGATCTAGCAAACGATCTAAGCCTCGGCATCTACCCAACTGAAAATCTCAATGTTTTCAAAGCCAAATTTGACTTTGGGGTACTCGAAGGGGTCATGATCCTAAGTACAAATGAGAGCGCCTTGATCAAGTATTGCTCAGGACCCGACCACGAGGATGACAGTGAAGACGAAGACGAAGACGACGATGGCGATAAACCAACCAAGGGCGGCAAGAGAAAAGCCAGTGCTGTCCCTAAAGGCCGAGGACGACCACCAAAGAAAGCCAAAGCAGTTGCAGCCCAATCCCTAACCTACATGTTGAGGTCAAGGTGCCGTGAGACTGGAGAGGGCATGATTCATTACCAAGACGAAGAAGGAACCATTACATTCAAGGACAAGACCTTGGTCAGTTTTACAGCCGATGCTGCTCTCCCTTGCGTCGGTCGGAATGTCAAGTTTGTCGGGCGCAAAATTTCCGACGAACTGGCCAGTTCAAGCGAATCGTGGAACGACTATTCAGAGCGCGCATATGAGAGAGAACGAGTTGGTCGATGGCGTTAGCGCGATTCGTAAAGATTGGATTGTATACGGGCGAACAGCTGTGTGCCATAATCACACTTCAAGATCACCAGCCGTCCATTGATACCGAGGGCGAGGTTGAGCTTAACATTGAGGCTGTGAAGGGCTTTTTATCGCAATGTTTTGGGGGTTCTGTGGCATTGGGGCTCTGGAGGTTGATCATTTTTATAAATGCAACGGTCTCATGGCGACACTGTCTCCATCCAAGGGTGGTTATATGCTTGTTGCGGTTGATGGGCCTAGATTCCATCCAGGCAACGCTCACAGCCACAAAGGCAGACCAAGGGACCGCCAGATTAGGACGGAATGCTTATGAAAGCTGCATAGCCTTCTGGATGGCGCACTCGGTCAGGGAAGCTTGCAAGGTGTAAGTCATTGCAAAAGTAGTCTGGTATGTCAAGCCATGAATTGCTCACCCATTGACCTTTGAGACTAATTGTGAATCAATAAGCACTCCCCCCGATGGTTAACAACGCGTAGCCATCCGCGACCGTTTAGATTGTCTTGACACAACCAAGGCATTGGGTCTGTTTCCTGTCGACCCTAGATAGCATCACCAGCCAGGACATTTCAATCACTCCCCAGGGCAAATCCATGGAAGACTTGTAGGGCTAAAGTGAGCTGCAAGAATTCTCCAGGGGCGGCATGAAACTCTAAAAAAATTGTTAGCGTGCTGTGCACCCGCTTCTCTATCCTTGTCCTACCTCATTCACGATCAATTCAATACCCCATCCGCGGATACCGTAGTCATGTTTCTATCCAGATAATGACAGGCTTGGAAGCAGGCGGCATGTCTTTAGTTGAAGGTTTGACGCAATAGAGAACCAAGAGAACCTCTGGTGGCTGTATTACCATTGGGGAAAACATGAGACATGCAAACACGGCTGCAGCCAGGTCTCAGGGAACTCATCAACTTTGGTATTGCCAGCCCTCTGAATAAAACGAAACCCCACGTCAGCATAAGCCAGACACACAACAATGTAAAAAAGGTTCACATGTAATTCAAATCCTGATTCTCTTGGTATTATTGCTTTTTGTATTTGGATATCTTTGGCAAGGGTATTATTCCCCCTTCATAAAATCGTACATCTTGTCGGAAGTCCGCAGGGTCCGCCAGTCTTCTTGTCCGACTTTTTTGTCTCTTTTCCATTGGAAGCTGCTGCGGGGGTACTGCTGGTAGCAGCCTCGGGCTTGGATGCCGCGGGAGCAGCAGCGGGAGTAGCAGCAGTAGGTTCAGATGCGCCGCCATGTAGTCAACCAAAGTGCTTGGCAGCGATGGACCAAAAGTAGGCACCCTGGGCCTCGGCAATCTCGAGCTCGAGGGGAGAGGGCTGTCGCGAGCCGTCGGCGCCCGAGAAGGTGCCGGCGCCCCAGGGGCTGCCGCCGTGGACCTCGCTAATGTTCATGAGCTGGCCGGGGGCCTTGGCGTAGCCGAGGGGAATGTAGATGAAGCCGTGGTGGGCCAGGGTGCTCATGGCGGCAATGGCCGTCGACTCCTGGCCGCCGCCGAGGGTGCCGGTGGACACGAACAGACCGGCGAGCTTGCCGTGGTAGAGACCGTTGGCCCACTGTCCGCCGGTGCGGTCCCAAAAGGCCTTCCACTGGGCGGGAAAGTTGCCGTAACGGGTGGGGATACCCATCAGGACGGCATCGTACTCCTCTAGCTTCTTGGGGCCCTCGGATCCCTCGAGAAGGGGGACATCCTCGGGCTGGCCGGGGGCACCCATGGCAGCGAGAGCCTCCTTGGGAAGCGTCTCGGCGATTTGGAACAGGTCGGCCTTTCCGCCGGCCTTTTCAATACCCTTCTTTTCGGCCTCTGCCAGCTGGCGAATGTGGCCATACATGGAGTACTAGAGGCTTGTTAGATATAGCTTTCAACTGGATATAAATCAATGTGTGACAATGGGGTAGCGGGGGATGAGTGTAATTCATCCCCGCATAACACAATGAGGGGACATGACCATGCGCAGTGACGGCATCACTTTGTGTAGCTGGCCATTGATATATTCAAGGAAAGCAAAACTGGTCAAAACTTACATAGACAATAGCAACCTTGGGAGCCATTTTGAATGTTTTGTCAATGATGATGGGTATGAAAAAAGGTCAATCAAGGAAAGAGTGCGAGAGACAGAGTTTTTGGTTTTTGTGATTGGAATGTCGGGATGCTGCTTTACTGCCAAGTTGCGCCGAAAGGTCATAACCTTATATCTGCTTTCCTCACCACTCGGGTTTCCGCATGCACGCCAACATTTATCATCATGACTAACCGGCCCAGTAGCAGTGTATGTTGCATGGGGTTCCATAGGCCAAAATGTGGTGGGGAATCATAAAATCACCAGCCCCCACAATGAACGAATCAGATCAGCTTTGTAAAACCGCTCAAAGGCTGAGGTAATGGCTCACTAATGATTAGAGTTCGAGATCCAGCGCATAGACTCTACATAGTACACCCTTGTCCATGTCAGAGTCTCCCCGTCTGGCGGCGTTTGGATCCTCGTTTTTTGGCGGGGATGGACTCGGCTGGAAAGCAATAGAGATAAGCTCTGCATTCGCTTAGATGTTGCTGACTCTTGATTATGCACATGGTCAGCGCTCGCTGATGAGATTGACGCTATTACGCGCACCTTGGTAATTTGGAGTCGCTCCTCTTTAATGATTCAATGTAGCCGCTGATTTGCATACAGCCCAGGTTGTATTTTGCGAAAAAGAGTACATGGTTCTTTTGCTCCCGTCCCAAAGAATGTAAGCTCTGTCCTAGTTTCGCATTGCAAGGCAGTTTACGGAAAGAGTAGCGGCTCTTATTACAGTTGCATTATTTCCCCTTGCCAGTGTCCTAATCTCATATTGGATTCTCTACAGCCTCGTCGTATCGAATCCGGACCCTGTCTGCTTCATCTGTGCGTCCCATCTTGCGCAAAGCTTCCATCAGCCAGCCAAGAACCAAAAGCAGGCTGCTTTGCCGTATTTCCATGTACACCTTGTAGGAAAAAGTCAGCTGCATTTCATCATCATTTGCACTAGATGCGCTCAAGGAGTCGACCATTTCGTAAAGCACTCGGATCTGACCATCGTAGTTCTTCATGCTTCGAAAAATGTGCGTCAAGATGACGCCCGAGTAAAAGAATTGGTATGGGTTGGCTTGCCCCTCTTTGGATTGACGAAGCTCGAGTATTATTGCTAATGCTTCGTTCAAGAACTTGTTCCTCTGTAGCATGGCCGCTGTTTCAATCTGGAGATGCAGAGTAGAAAGGCCGCGCTCCCGGGCTTTGCGCGTCGCCACATCAAGCCTGGGTTTCGCCTCGTACAGGCCCAGCATGCCGGTGCCTTCCATCAGGCTAATGCCCAATCCGCGGGAGCCCGACAGCTCTCCAAGAGCCATTTCGGATTTCTCCAGAAAGGGCTCCAAGGCATCACTATAGTGGTCCATAAAGGGCCCAATGCAGAGGGCAAATTCGAAAATATCCATTCGAGCCAGGCCGTCGGCGATTACGGACAAGGGGTGGTGCACGCCCAGGAATACTTGACAAAGCTCTGCAACATGTTTGAGGAGAAACTTTGACATGTTCCGCCCTATCCTATCGTAATAGGCACAGCGTATTGCTTGGTGGCATACAAATATCATGGTGAATGGATACTCGGGTTTGATGATTTTTCGTGTGCCTTCGAAACACCTCTGAAATATGCGGAACGCCTCGGGCACCTTTTGTTTACCAAGAAGATCGAACCCCGGGTTGAAATCGTTGTACCACCTTTCGATTTCACAAATTTGCTTCTGGACTAGTGCGGGATTCTCAATGTCCGATGAAGCCAGCGAGCCGGGTTGAAATTTGCCTTGCATGAATGAACGGGTCACAAGAAGCAGCTTCTCGAGCGGCTGAGATGGTGTGGTAGTACTGAGGTAGCCAACGGTTCCCGAGGATAGGTCTAATGGAACGTATGCTAGAGCACTCGCTGGCTCAGGGAACATGGACACATTGACTATTGTCGGGGGAGTCTGCCAGCTTGAATTTGCCGACAGCCTCAGCGGTAATACGCCTGTCGCTCTAGTTGTTGTCGAGTGAGTGATGAGCCGTTTCCTATTCCCGGTGCCATGGTTGTAACTCTGTTCAGTAGGGAATTCCGAATATCTTGAAGATGAGGGCTTCTGACCGTCATCAAGTGGTTTAGAAAGTATGGAGCCTATTCCTGGTAAAGTGATGCGTGGAGCTGAAGACTGGAATCCATAATTTTGTGCATCACTGCCATATTGATTGTCTGGTCATGTTAGCCAGTCCGATGAACAGGAGTTGACAACTTACTAGGAATTGCTTTATATTCTAATATGGTTTCTGAATGCGCATTCGCAGGCAATGGTTTGTGTAATGCAGACTGTGGGCTAGCATCGGCTACCTGATGATTGCTAGCGGCTGCATACGGTTGCACCGAGTGTGGTGTAGATTTGAGAGTAGCTAGCACCTGCGCTGGTGCAATACTTCCATCTTGCACATCTGTTGCGCTTCCGCCAGCAATGTCTGCAGGTCTAGGTGGTGGTGTTTTGATCCGGATTCTTGGGTTCAAGGGATGGGACAGATCTGCAAGCGCGTCGGCACTAGTCAGTGCCGGTTATCAAGGTCATATGGGCGACACCTACTCGTCTTTGGCTGGTTATTACCAGTGGAAATAAACTGGCGAGTTCCTCTTTGGACTTTTTTGTTTGTTAATGCCTTGTTACCCAGATACACGACACTGGCTTTTCCCTTTTTCCTCCTCTCTTCAATTCGGTAAGCTATGGATTCCCAGTCTTTTTGCTCGAGATTTTTGCGAAAATGGAAATGCTCGCGAAAAACGGTTTCGTAATCCTTGAGGCTGTATTGTTGCGTCAGTCGACAAGTACGTCGACACTGGATTGTTTGCTATACACACCGATATAACGGAAACCCATGCTCAGCCTCCATCTTGTGTTTAATCGTCTTGAGGCTACAGCCTTCATCCAGGTATAAGCATCGCAGTGTATCGCGATGTTGATCCCAGGAAGAAAAGTCCCTTTCGTCGCCAGCATTCCAGACAGCTGGTCTTAATGAGTTGATAGGCTCCATTGTCCGGTAATGGAAATGTGAGGGCTTTGCGATGCTGGATGGAAGAGAGAATTGGAAAAGATTCGACGACGACGAGCCTCACACTAGCTTAAAGCTGGGTGGTGTCGTGGTGTCGGCCAACGCAGGGGTAAAGCGCTTCCAGACGACGCCGACAGGGCGCAAAATGAATCCTAATCGGATTCTAAACGGAAACTAGAGGCAGTCATGACCGCGACCGGGATCCGAGTGGATTTGCATTGAACAGGGCTACATCTATCAAGTACCAATCCAATCCTCAGTGGCCAACAATCAGCGCCAGTTACTGCAGAATTGGGGGGAACATGTTGGCCATCACACAACCGCCGGGGCATAAATCAGTTGCTCATGCAAGTATGTTAAGCCTATGCACTAGCTCCGCCATCGTTATTCTGTATCTATAGCAGCGCGGCAACAATTGCATTCCATAAGAACACCTTTTATTCAGGATTTTATAACCGAAAGAAGCAAAACAAAATGAATGGAATATGTGTTGGGACAAGTTATTGGAGAGAATGAGTGGCCGGAAGCCCGAGAGACGGGACAAGCCCTTTGTAATCTGGTACAGGTCCTCTAGTGTATAGTACCGTACATGATTACCAGGTACAGATTACACTAACCTTAGGGGACACATGCACATATGGACTGGGGCTGAGAACAGGCATCGGAGCGGAGGGGGTGGTTATCCTCAAACTCTGCAACTGTCCAGTCGGTCAGAAGAAAACGTACAAGTCTGACAGATTCTTTAGCACTTTGGTCAAGGAGATTCGACTGATGGTTGCCGCTAAGTGTAATACAGATTACCCACAACAGCTTTTTAAACGTGCCGACAAACTTGCGCGATATGGGTCTTGTAACGCCAACCTAGGCCAACTACAGGCTACAGATAGACTGCAACTTCATGGCACCCCAGTGACTAGCGCTATAAGGAATCACTCCATTCCATACACCCATTCAGTGTTGCGTTCACCATCAGCTACCGGATCGGGCCGCTTCATAATAGAAACCACACCCGCTACAGCTAATAAATGTTGACTGTTTCTTTTTGGATCCTCTTATGCAATGCATATAATCTGTCCAATCAGTCATTTCCGAGCCTGCCATGTGGAGCGCTTATTGTAAGATTCTCCCTTGCGTCGTCATCAGCAATGCCGAAAATCTGCCCAATCAGACATGTCCTAGCGCGCAGTATTACACAGTGAGTGCTTCTTGTACAAGCTGTCCCTATAGCTGAAAATCTGGCCAGTGAGAGAAAGGTCCACTATTCTAGGTCCCGTAGAAAGAGCACAGAATGGTCTTTAATGTCGATCCTCGCATCTACTCGTCGTGTTGGTTTATATTTGTTAGATGTGCTTTGGTGCGATCAGATGTCTTCCCATGGATGCTGTAGAATGGAAACCGAATAATAAACACTCGTGGTTTTCCGTCATATAGTAGATACCAGTTCAGCCTCAATCATTGTCTGTGGTAACGATTCATATATAGTCGTTTCGCTCGCCTTTCAACTCACATTTTCTTTTCAAGCCATTGATTCGAGCTTGGATTATCAATAGAAGAAAATGGGTCATGATTACCAGGAAGTGGTACAAGATTAAAAAGGGTCAGTTGGGGGCTCTGGAAGACGGCATATGTATGCCAGCACAACCAGCCGCCATTTTGCTGTATTGTGTGGCATTTCTATCAAACATCTGTTCGTCTTTACTATGCTTTTACCCTATTCTTTTCAAGTCTGTCCATGATAAACCCGTCAATATTCTCCTGCAACACGCGACGGTAGTTTGTCGCGGTATCCATCCCGATCCAAGCGGTATGCGGCGTCGTAACAAGATTCACATGTGCCGCCTCTGGTCCTAGAAGCGGGCTAGTCTCGGGACTCGCTGGCTCAGTGGCAAAGACATCAACAGCTGCACCTGCCAATTGGTTCTCCTGGAGCGCCTTGAGCAACGCGCTCTCATCCACGATGCCGCCACGAGCAACATTGACCAGCACAGCATCATCTCTGACCAGAGCCAGCTCGGGTCCAGACAGCAGGTTCAGTGTCTCGGGCGTGCGCGGGCAGCAGACAACCATGACAGTGGCTACTTTAAGTGACTCCTCAAAGGCGACCCTGCCGTCAGTCGGCGGCGTGCCTTTACGGGCAGCAATGAGGACAGTCATGCCGAGCGCCTCAAACAGTGCTTGAACTGCTCGGCCCACGGCACCATGACCGTAAATGACGGCCGTCTCGCTGCCGCACCCTCGAGGTGGTTTGCCGGCAGCATAGGTAGTTGTCATTAAAGTGCCGCGCTGTGGCCATTGTCCAGCACCGAGGTGTCGCATAGAAGGGACTATACTGCGTCTGGCGGCAAAGTACAAGCCCAAGGCATGTTCAGCCACGGCAGTGACATTACATTCTGGGCTATTCACCACTCGAATTCCACGCTCCTTGCATGCATCCAAATCAATAGAGTCTGTTCCCGAGGCCATTACGGCGATAAATTTGAGGTTTGGACATGTTGTGGATGAGAGTACCGAAGCGTCGAGTCGTAATGTAGTTGTTATGATAATGTCAGCATCCCGAATCCTTTCCGCTGTTTCGTGAGCCGCGGTTCTCGTGTACTCGGTCAATGTGAAAGTGTGTGGACTAGGCACTGTAAGCGGAGGCAGAGGGCAGAAGAAGGTTTCCAGGGCGACAATGTTGAAATGTCGAGGAGACGCCATTGTGAACGAGTAGCCAGTAACTGGACACGAGTAGAGAGCAATTGCAGCACAGTTGCGCGCAAAGCAGTATCATGATATGGAGCGCGTCCTGCCGGCGGCGGACATGTCCGTCGGCCATGCGTGGATGCACGGGAGCGCACCTCCGATCTCCATCGGGCCCACACCCAACATGTTCACAATCCCTTATCGTCTGCTGTCACAATTCGTGTTAACCTCTCCCTCCGGTGCCGATTAGCTCTTTGGTGACTCGTGCAAATAGGCGCTTGTAAATATGGAGAGTACCGCCAAATCCAGGCCACCTCTCACTACACCACGCCATCAAGACTAGACAGGTGCCAGCGACATCGATGAACTCGTTCCAGTCGAGATTATGCGTCTCGTCCTGCTGAGCTGCGTCCATTTCGCTCATTGGCCAAAGTACTCTTACCCTACCATCAAGCCCAATGAGCCCGTAAGCCAAGAGGGTACTGGTAGCAAGATAGATGTAGTGGGCACTCATAAAAGTCATGGGGTATGCTCCTCTTGATGAGTGCTCGGGTGCGCGGATGATTTTGTCGTAGATGCGTATCAAGTTGATTGCAGAAAGGAACGGATCGGACGCTACTGTTATTCCGTCTTCTGAATCACTCGTCTCTGATTCTGACGTCCATCGTAGCGCCTTTAATAAAAGTGGCTGGAACAGAAAACATATAGTGGCGTCGAAACCAACATCGCAGGTCAAGGTGGCTACACCCTCGAGGTCATCGCTGACTGCTAATTCCTGCCGCCACGCGTATAATGTTGCGTGCTTCTCCCTCAGCCAAGAGAGGCCGAGGTCCGGAGGTTTTGCTGGCAGATACATTTCTCGAAAGATTTCAGATCGCAAGTATACAAGCCGGTAGTGATGCGAAATGCTCATTGACTGAAAGGTGACCTGGTCTATTGACGTCGTGCTCGGGCAGCGTCCGTTGTTGCTTGCAGTATCCAGCAGCGTGCCGCCTGCGTGTACTCTGACTGGATACGGATACTCGGTTGTGATGATGGACTCGGGGAGATCACTGGCGCGACCAAATAACTGTCCGACGATGCGCTCTATTGCATATAGCCCCCAAAAGGTGGAGCGGCGCAGCTTGGCCCGTGTAGGCGGTGCTGGCGTGTTGTGAGTGTCTGCGGGGGACTGCCAGTCCATCTGCGGATCTTGCGCAGTCTCTGTATGGTATCCAAGCTCTATCGTGAGGCGACAGGCGTAGTCCAGGAGCTTCCAAATGTCGCCCTGACGTGGCTGAAAGAGGCAAAAGACGATCAAGTGCAACAATGCCCTAAGTGTGTCGGATGTCGCCTCGGATGTTACCTCTTCGACACACTGGCTGGCGTCACGGTAAAAGGCAAAGCATTGGGCCGTTTGCTGGGGTTGGTATCGAGCCTGACAGGCACATGCAATAGCGCACATCATGGTGATGCGGAAAAAGCAGTGAGCCTGATCGCCTCGTAGTAGTTGGGGAGAAAAGTCTGGCTGACGTCGAAGTGACAGATATGCCTCGAGCTCGGCACTCGTCTCATCATGATCGACAAATCCATATAGCGTGTCTATAGACTTTAGGTAGGACTGGACCAAGTAAGTAATAGTGGCATCAGGTGTATAGTAAAAGGCACCAGCTAATGATAAAGTGCTTTGGTAATCGCCTTGTCCCTCGATCATGGGCAAAGTATCGTCTTCCTCGCAGGGTATGGACACCAGTCCTTTAATTGCAGCATGTTGCAAAAGCTCTATGTTTAGTACAAAGGCAGAAGAGGAGCCCCAGTATCGTGACTTGCCAGAGGTGCTCGTCGACGGGATGACAACGTCAAAGGAGGGGGCCGATGGTGGTACTGGGTGACTTGACGGCGGCAAAGATTCCTCTAAAGCATTTGTCTCTGGCTCTGGTACAGCTTGTGTGACCAGTGATCTAGATTCTGTAATAGGGCTCTGCTGATAGCTTTGCTGAGCTGTCTGCAAGTCCTCTACCCGCTTCAAGAGCGAATCAATGTATCTAGAGAGGCAGGGAATCAGTACTGCCAAAATCAATTGTAGTCAATTGGAATACCAGGATGAAAAGATGTAGAGTAATGGCAGACATCCCGGAGAAGTCAAACAAACTCACGATCTGGGCAATGCATGCTGTAATGCATGGTCGTGAAAGGTGCATTCGGCACCAGCCTTTACACACGGTCGGCAGCTTGGAAGCTCCGTATCACACTTGCGCCGGAGACGGCGGCATCGTTGACATGTCGGTAACATCTGACGAGCCGCATTACGGCGGTCGTCGGCCGACGGCGTCGACGCTGCTGGTAAAGACATGATGTTTGTGAATGAGCGGATGTAGGTTGTTGCGGTTCTGATTATCAGTTGAGCTTCTAAAGCGGAGCCCTAGAGACCTGCGGCTAGCACAGTCAAGGCCTGAGACAAGGGACGCATTGGAGATACAGCGCTAATTCTAGGCCCATCACTGTGCTGGCATATATTCTCAATCATTTCATCAACAGGCTCGAACTTTTATATTCCTTGTATTTGCCATGGTGTATTCTACTCCTTGACCTCCCAGTCAACGTAGGACATGCCACAAATCCACTCGATTACAGCTTCATAAAGTACCAGCTTTGCCTTTTTGCCGCTCATGGCTCCACTCAAGGCCACCCAGTTTAGCACCTCGTGGCCGCCATGACCGGCCTCTTCCTCAACCTCTTCATAGGTAAGTCCCTTGAGCCAGGTCGTATCGCCGCCACAAATCTTGTCCATGAATAATTGATCCCATTCGGCATTTACCAGTGGGTGTTTGCTGTTGAGCGGGTATTCATTCTTCTTGGCCATTTCCACCTCGTAATCGTCAAACTGGACAAACAGGTCGGGCACTCGCTCCAGCACACTCTTGCCTACCGTTTGATACTCCTTCATGAGGGCCAGGAACTTGTCTTCGGGTGGATCGCCTGCCTGAGTAGGACTCCAATACGGTGGCCAGTGTGAGAGACCACCTGTGCAGAGAAATGCGACGCGCATATCGCCAGGCAGAGACTCGGCTGCTACGCGACAGGCCTCACCCAGCGCATAAGCACGGCTGTACTTCATCAACGGCGGCGTAAACACATTGAGAAAGATGGGCACAATGGCCACGTTGCTGGGGAGGTCGGCCTCCATCAGAATCCACGGCATGAGCAGGTTGTTGCCATACTCGACGGGGCCCGTACGCGAAACGTCAAACCCCTGGCCGACCAGAGACGTAATGAGATGTTCAGCAGTCTCGGGGCTGCCGGGAAACCTAGTCTTGGTCTTGATGCGTAGTGGTTCCATCCATTGATCTGCTGGGCCTTCGTGAAAGTCGGCAACGGAGACGGCAATCGTGGGCATGTGGTTTCGATAAAAGTTTTCAAAGTGATCGTCAAGAAAGGCAAAAATCACATCGGGCTTTGCGTCGCTCAGCGTCTTGCCGAGTGCCTTGCTGGCTTTCTCGGTGCGCTCGCGAGCGTCGGGCTGCGCAGTCTCTGGGAAGCCAATGGCTCCTGAGTATTGTCAGTACGACCATGTCAAGATCTCCCATGATCAAAGTATAATGTGGATTTCTTTAGTATTGTACATACCTGGCGCATGCGACATGCCAACTCCAGCTACAATCCGGCCCATTGTGCAGACTTTGGCAAAGACTGGTGATGGTGTTGTGAATACAGTATAGATGCCCAAGTAGACTGCTCAACCAGTCTCTTCAATGATTGTTCCAAGAATTACACGTCTTTGAATCATATACTCCAACCAGTAACACCATGACTATATACCCCGCGATTGTATGACTTGCAAGTCAAAGCCCAGCGCGCACATGTCCGAAGCTGTACGCGTCCCGTCTTCGGACTTCGGCGCTCCGGTATTTGCAGCCACATGTAGTAAACAATACATGTCTCCTACGAAAATTATCTTGGGACCCTGTAAAGTGGTCATATCTAGACTACCTGCTTCACAATGGCACCACAAAGCAAAAGGGTTCTCATTCTTGGGGTGACTGGTGTTATTGGTCAGGTCTTGACTTGTGCTATTCTTAATGCCCAAGATGTTTTTGATCGTGTTGGGGTCTTGACCTCGGCAGCCACTGCTGCATCCAAGTCGGAACTTTTGAATTCGTTCCGCGCACGCGGCGCAGATGTCATTATTGGCGACATTAATGATGAAGCGTTCATGTTCAACACTTTTCAAGGTACAAACGATTGAAAGGCGATGGACTATAGGCTAACAAATACCAGGCTTTGATACAATAGTGTCTGCTCTAGGACGATCCGCAATTGAATTACAGATCGATCTCATAAGAATCGCCAATGCCTCTCCCAGTATTACAAGATTCATACCCTCCGAGTACGGCACCGACATAGCCTTTGATGCCACCTCGGCTTCTGAAAAGCCGCATCGAGCAAAACTCAAGGTCCGCGCCTTTCTCGAATCCGATGCCGTCCAGCACCTAGCATACACATATCTCGTCACGGGACCATTCGCCGACTTGTACGCGGGTGACATGAGCTCCGAACCTCAACTCGGGAGCTTTAATGTAGCCCGGAAAGAGGCCACGCTCTTGGGGGATGGAAAAGGTCCTTTGGGTCTCACCACCATGGCCGACGTAGGACGCTTTCTCGTGGCTATTCTCAAAAATCCAAAAGTGTGCGACGGCAAAGCAATCAAAGTAAACTCGTTTACGTCGACTCCAGAAGAGATACTCGCAGAGATGGAGCGGCAAACTGACACCAAGTGGAATGTTCAATACACACCACTAGATGCGCTGCGTCGAAATGAAAAGGATGCATGGAATCAAGGAAACCCACTGGCCAGTCTGTACACGTTGAGGAGGATCTGGACCGAGGGCAAGACTCAATGCGAGAACACGGATAATGAGTCGATTGGTATATGCAAAACGGATACACTCGAAATGGTTGTGCAATCTATACTATCCAATCCGATTTCAGGTTTTCAAAGTGGCAAGCTGTAGAGCTACTCCTATAGGAAATAAGACGATTGCAAGACCATGATGCGCATTTTGCCAGTTGATGCAGTTTTGTTCATGTTTGAGTCACCTGTATTTTATCAATGGAGCCCGTAGCGAGCAAACCAAGTATACTTGCTAGGTAATGGGAGACACGGCGCATGAGCTTGATGAGATTTCCACCAAGTCAAGGCAGCATCACATGCCCCAAGCATACAATGTGTCCGGTTCCATGCAAAAGGAATAATGTGTAGCTTTTCCTGAATGCAGTGGTGGTACGCGTGTCTGCACGATCGGCCTCCTCCGATACGCCTATATCAATAACGGCCGGCCCACTTTGGACTTGTCTGTATAGTCACCAGGTATGCGGATTTGTCCGCTCGACATTGCAAATGCCTACCCCTCGCCGTCCTAGATATGACTGCCTTTGGCGACAGATCTCTAAGCATCGAGCCAACAGTCTTCTTTGTCGCTGGCCCTTTCACATTCTCACTGTAATACTGCCGACATGAGCATCTCCAACAAACGAATCGCCGTCGTGGGCGGCGGCCTCTGCGGCATGGCCCTCATGAACTCGGCCTTGCAAGCCGGCCTACCCAACATTCACCTCTATGAAGCCGCATCACAGTTCACCGAGGTTGGCGCTGGTGTCAACATTACCCGCAATGCGAATCGCATCCTCGACGCCTTTGGTATCGGGCCCGACATGCTCCTCAAGTCATCCCGCGACCCGCCATGCTACATGGAATACCACCATTACCGGACCGGAGAATACCTCGGCCACATTGATGAGTTTGGAGAGCCGGCATCGCGTCAGATTCATCGTGCGCACATGATTGAAGCCCTCCAAAAGAATGTTCCCGACTCGAACATTTCTCTAGGAAAGCGCCTGTCAGGAATCTCGTGGAGTACCAACAAGGCTTGCTACGAGCTTTCTTTCCAAGATGGGACTGTAGCCGAAGCCGACATCATCATTGGGTGTGACGGTATCAAAAGTGTTGTCCGCCAGCACCTCGGTCTCACGGATCATCCCGTCTTCTCTGGGCAAATGGTTTACCGTGGCTATGTGAGCTACGATGACCTGACTCCAGACACTGCCAAGTTACTGAGAAAGACGGTCACCTTTAGAGGTCATGGAAAACACGTGCTGACGCTGCCGATTGGCAATGATGAGACCAAGACTGCCCGAGTCGGCATTATTGGCTTCATGACGGAGCCTCTGGAAAGATGGACCTCGGAGGCCTGGTTGTCTACGGCTCCGATTGACGACTTGTATGAACATGTCAAGGATTGGACTGGGCCGGTACAAGAGATAATAGATGGATTGAGAAAGAGTTCCTCGGATGACAAGATGCTCAAGCAGGCTCTCTATGTCCGAGAACCAACACCCAAATGGTTCAGCATACAAGAGGACCATCCCGAGTCTGGCATTATTCTGATTGGAGATTCTGCACACTCTACACTTCCACATCAAGGTATGTTGCAATGTATTATCAAGGTATGTGAGTCTACTGACACTAGGTTGTACAGGCCAAGGAGCATGCCAAGCCATTGAATCGGGGTTCGCCCTAGCCCAGACTCTCAAGAACTGGGAGGGGAATTCTCTGGAAGCTGCGTTTCAATTCTTTCAAGATTTCCGCAAGCCGCGGACAGATCGCATCACACGGACGAGCGCAGAGACGGGAAAGATGGCTAGTGCAGACATTCCCGAGGAGCAATGGGCGGCGTCGTTTAGTCCAGATGTGGTGAGTGAGAGAATGAAGTGGGTGATGGAATATGACCTTCTCAGTGATCTCGCCTCGAAACTACCCATGTTTGCCCAATCTGTATCTAAATCCGAGGAACGGAAGGGTGCGACGGTGGTACAGGTTTGATGGAGGTATTGGCGCCATGGAAAGGGTCACTGTTGGAACCGGGACGCATTTGAAGTAGTATAAATCATGATCAATTTTTTGGCGAATCAACATGCGAATAGCTTCATTTACTACTGTTCAGTGTGGATGATTGCTTTGCAATGTATATACCACTCTACTTGATACAAACGAGACGCTCACCATGAGATCTCAGAGGCCAAACCTCCAGTCGGACGAGCGTCCGGGGACTGTAGATCGTCACATCTTTAGGTTTTTGCGAAAGTATTAAACTAGACTCCGTGGGTTTCCTTTTATTGCCGCATCACTCGAAGCTACCGACCAATTACACCCCCTTTGACTCGTTTGTCCTCTTTAAGTAATCATCATATCTCAAATAGGCTCCAAGGAGAACTTCGGCAGAAGCTGCGCAGCTATGCGACGAGTACGGGTTAGTTTGTAGATCATGTAATAGAGTAAGATAAGCAAGAGACTGTTGACTTACTCTTCTGGCCTGGTGTACTCGGCCGGGTTGTGGCTAACACCATCACGGCATCGTGAAAACACCATGGCTGTCGGTACCTTCCGGCTAGTATACACACTGTCATGTCCAGCACCGCTGACGAGCTCCATTTCACATCCAATGGCATTGGCAGAAGCACGAACGCACTGAATCATGGTCGGATCAAAGTGAATGGCGGGCGAGGTCCAAAAACGGTCAATCTCGACGGAGAGGCCGTGCTTTTGACAGATTTCGTCAAAAGATTGCCTGCACAGCTTTTCAACCGCCTCAACATCGGCGTCATCGGGCGCTCTGATATCGAGACCCATCCGGACCTTGCCGGCAATGGTATTGATGCTTTGTGGCCCCGAGTTGATGACGGCAATGGTGGCACGGGCTCCCCGGGCAGCGAGCTCGCCTTCCGTGACGAATCGGTTGGTCTCTACAATCATTTTTGCCGCACCTAGAAGGGCATCACTTCGACGATCCATTGGAGTTGTACCAGTGTGCGCCTCTCGGCCAACAACGTCAACGTGGTACCAGCGGATAGACTGGACGCCCTGGACAACGGCGGTAGACGATTCGGCCGCGTCTAGGATAGGTCCCTGCTCAATGTGCAGCTCAAAGTGTGCAGAGAGCGGGTTGGCATCATAGGAGCATGGAACGGTTCCAAGGAAGCCGATGCGCTCCAATTCTTGCTTGAGCGTGGTGGTGCCGGCAAGATCAGGGCGGTCGTGGCCATATTCAGTGGTAAAGGCACCTCCCCATACACCCGACGCCAGCATTGCCGGCGGAAACCGAGCGCCCTCCTCGTTGGTCCAGTCAATGATGGCCAGTGGTGCATACGTGGTGATATTATTGTCGTGAATCGTTCGCAGCACTTCCAGTCCAGACAGGACACCCAGAATGCCGTCGTATTTTCCGCCCGTCGGCTGTGTGTCCAAGTGAGAACCGATACCGATCGGCGGAAGGGCATTGTTGGAACCTGGACGAATGGCAAAAATATTGCCCATTTCGTCGACCCGAACCTCGCAGCCGCACTTCTTGGTCTCTTCAATGAACCATAATCTGACAGCCTTGTCGTCTTCGTTGAGAGTAAGACGGTCTATACAAACGTTAGTGATCCGTGGCAACTCGTAGCTCATGACGGGTTTTCCTACTCATGCCACCATCCGGAGTGCTACCCCAACTGCACGACTCCTGCAGTGTCGTCATCATTCTTTTGCCATTGGTCTTTAAATGCGAGTATTGAGCCGGCAGCTGAGAGCTGGGCTTTACTGGTGCTTCAATTGCCATGGTCTCGGAATACTTGCTTGACAATAGTGTGCGGCTCACAAAAGGTTACTGGATCAGCTCACAATGAAAGAAGAAACGTGATTTTCCTGCCAAGCACGTTTTGACGCCTTGGACAGAGAAATCACAAGACAGCTCGGCATTGGTCCGTATTGCCCGACTTACATGACGGAGATGCACGCTCAGTTGGGGAATCCTAGTTAAGCGCGACGCGAGTATATCGGCCTACTATCGCACTTCTCCGCCGGGTCAGTCCCGCCGATAAGCCAGTGGACCAGCAGCCAGCTTATAGTAAAGCCGCTGCTGGTCTTTTCTGTCGCTCTTGTCCATTTCCCCTCGCGACAGCTGCAGCCGTCGGAGCATATCCAGTCGCTATTCATCATGTCTGATGGCCTCTAGATGTCAGCGTAGGATCCTATCGTGTTCGCGGTGCCGCAAACGAAAGTTGAAATGCGATCGGCGACTTCCGGCGTGCTCCCAGTGCCTGGCTGCCAACACTACGTGCAATGGGATTGCGGCCGGTTCTCAGACCGAGGTACCACGGAGCATTGCACATCACCTCGAGTCCGAAATCGCCAGACTAGAAGCTGCATTATTTGAAAGCGGGCAGCTCGATGATGTCCAAGCTTCCGATATTCTACTGCAGATTCCCGTAGCGGGTGCATCCCGGAGCAGTCATGGCCAAGTCGGAGATCCGCTACACCTGCCGGCCCCCGAGCCGAGGCCTCCATCATCACATAACACGGACACTGGGAGGGTCCTCAAGATCCGAGAGTCAATTCTGACGTCGGCACCCCTGCACTCGATTGTTCATGCCACCATGCCTCCCGATTCCGGGGCCACGGAGCTGCTTTCAAGGGTACGCATGGGCATGACTCCGTCGACCGCCCGGATCGGCGACATCACCGGGACCCTGTCCACCGGCAGTTACCGGCCTGTCACGAGCAATGTTTTACCCGGTATTCATGTTCTTCAAAGTATGCCAGTCGACATTGTTCACAGGCTTATGATGAAGTATCTTGACACTATTCATCCAGAGAATCCTTTTCTCACCATTTCCGATATCCATGCCCACTTTGGTCATGTTGTTCAGATTCTACTTTCGCCGGATCCTGGTCCGGTGGAGGCGAGTTATGATCTACTCGTTGTCTATCTGATTCTCGCCATGTCACTCACCCTCGCCGCGTTTGGCAGTCGACATGAAGAGCGATGCACGGCCTTTTCCATGTCCGTCTTTAAAGAAGGCGTTCAAAATCTCTATGGCTTGTCCTCTTTCCCTTCAGAGATTGCCCGTTTGCAAGTCACCTTGTTGATTCTTCACTATGCCACCGTCTTTCCCCGTCTAGCCAATGTATGGGTACTTTCTGGAGCGGCTATGCGATCCTGTCTGGAATTGGGTTTACACCGCGAGTTGCCGGCATCGATAGGCTCGGTAGATTCGCAAACGCTGCATCTCCGCCGTCGCGTTTTCTGGGCTGCCTATTGCATGGACCGATCCATATGCTCGGCCCTGCAACGGCCAGTGTGTATCCCCGATGTTGCCATTGACGCAAAGCTACCATCGGCATTATCAGCCGACGACGACATTGACGACTCGTTCCTGGGCTCAATTTCGTATCACCGACTTCTTTCCGAGATGCTTCATGTTCACTACCAGGGCGAGAGCATTCCATCAGACCTTTCTTGGGATGACTGGCTAGCCGACATGGAGACCCGACTTCGAGATTGGCACAACATGTACAGGCCCAATGCCTCGCACCAAGCCATGACTGAATTCAACATGGCTCGTGGACTCATGATTTTGCATCGTCCATCTCCCCGTCTGCCGATGCCGTCGCCATCATCACTCCTCATTGCCTTTAAATCAGCATCTACCGTGGCTCGCACATACCGTGAGCATATGAGGGCGCGTTTCTTCTGTCGGCCGTGGCTATCTGCACACTTTACCCTCGAGGCTGCCACTGTCGTGCTCTTTTGCCTGCGTCATGGCAATGCGGCCATCATCGAGTATTTCACTCCGGCTCAGATATTCAAAATGACAAAACTGTTTACACAAAACTTTCTCGACATTGCAGCCCAGGGCGGTGGTTGGCCCGAGATTAATGCCTATGCCGGCACATATGAGCGGTTATTGTGTCCCTTGCTGGAGCGCGTTTTTCTTCATAGCTCTACCCTGAGCGACGCATTTGGTCCTGCACAAGATGCCGAGCTGCTACGATTACTGTATCCAGATCCAGCGCATTTGGAAAAGCTACGATTTGGAGACGGGCTACCCGAGGCATCAGACGACTTGGCTTCATTTGACTTTGACCTGTTTATGGCTGATGACAATTTTTGGGAAGCATCAGTAGAAATGCCTGGTGACACGTAAAGTTGATCCATCTTTTACATCTAGATACTTGATAAGGATGATCCAACTTGGCCAGACCATCTACACAGGGCGCAAGCCTCTACCAAGATATGTCCTCTCGCCAAACTCACGCTCAGCGACCTGGAAAAGAGGGAGTCCCTGGAAATAACCCTCATCACCACCACCAATGGCTTCCCACGTGTTCTTTGCCTCGTCGTGTCCAATAGTCACAAGCGGCTTGCCCGTTCCAGCCGATGATGCATCGGCTGCTAGCTGAACCTGGCAGCACCTTTCCATGAGAGCAAACCAGGACACGGTCGCCTCGATAGTCGGGCCTGCCGTCAGCAGTCCATGGTTGCCCAACAGCGCCGCCTTTTTATTGCCGAGACAAGCCGCAATGTCTTTGCCTTCTTGGGTTGCAAGAACGACACCGGCAAAGTTTCTGTTTGGGTGTCATTGTTTAGACAGCGTCCAACGTCGGTGGGGTGGCTGGACTCACGGATAAAGAGCATGATCATTGTAAAAGGTGCAGAAATCCTGCGTAAGCATATCTAGTGACCTGCCCGTAGCGCACATGGCGCGACCATAGACACTATGACTGTGAGCGGCACATAGCACATCGGGTCGAGCTTTGTGTATTTCGGCATGGATGGCATAGGCCGCTATTGTTCAGAGTTAACAGTAGATCCTAAGAATTCAAAAGGTTCATAAAGTCTCACCATAATTCAGTCGGTCATTACCGCCACTCTCGACCACCTTGCCGCCGTGATCCACCCGGATTAAATCATCGTCGGTTATGAGCGAAAAGTGCATGCCAAATGGATTGACCCAGAAACTGGTAGGCTCGATGGGATCCCTCACGGTAATGTGTCCAGCGACGCCCTCGGAAAAGCCCAAACGAGCAAAAATTCTAAAGGCGAGGGCGAGTCTGTGCTTTAAGAATTTGCGCTCCTCCAGCTTGTCCTCAAACGTCGGCGGCGCCGTCTCCGAGTCCCGGACAAAGGCCAGAGAGGGATCACCCGAACCATGCTTGGTCTTGGAAGTGGACGATGCGTCCTCGACGGGTTCCAGAAGTGAAGGGGCCATGTTGATTGTGTCTGGCGTTGAGGCTTTGGAGATGATGGATCAAAGAGGAGGTGTATGCCATATGGCTACTGGAAAGTCATGTCTATCTTGCCTGTAGGCTTATCATGAACCCTGATTAGATTCGGCTGCTATCCGATACTTGGCGCTCTTCTCCGTCGAGATGGCGGCACAGGTGGAGAAGACCCTGGAGATATACTGCTTATACTGGGATGTCTTGGAGCTTTCATTGGCTGTTATTACTACCTAGTAGTTAGCATGTCTCGATAGTGGCTAGTGCTAGTAGGTCGGAACTCAATCCCATGGCGATTCATGGACAGGTTAGTGCTTTACGATGGTACAGTATATACACACAACATCGCATAACCTGCCCATTGCAAACTCCTGAAATCCCAGATATCCTTTAAATATCCACTTGAAAGAATGCATCTAATTTTTATGCCGCGTTTGTGGAGGTATAAGCCTACAGGGCTTTCGTGTACCTCACTCGGAATTCAAAAGTGAGAGGCAAGTAATGGCCTGGATGGTGGCAACGCTGATTGGCAAAGCACAATGTGCCTTGTTCCGGTTTGAAGATGCTACCATTCGAGCATGCCTATTCGAATGCTTCTCACAGCCGTGAATATGCTGCAACGTTGCTATTGTTCATACATGTTGGGCTGTATCCCTGATTGGGTATCAAATATTGCGCCACGGCCATGAAGTCGCCTTGAGAAAAACGCCCAAGGCTGTGCTGGAAGGCTATGCTGGAAGGCTGTGCGGGGTAAACAATCAGGCTCTCGACTATTTCGAAATCAAGACTTGGAATTCATCTCATACTTTTCTTCTCTGTGATACTCTACCCCCTCGTGAGATGAACATCACATCGATTCAGAATGGCAGAAGCGGTCGCCACCCTGGCCTTGGCCTCATCCATTCTTCAAGTGATTGATTTTGGGACAAAGATTGCCACAACCGCCTTCAAGATCTATCAAGCATCTAGGAGCAGTGATGAAAGCCTTGACGAGGTGTCTCAGCTACAAGTGGTCTATACAAACCTCTCATCGTCGTTGAAAACTCTTCAGACTGAGACCTCTTCATCGGTGACGGGCGGTGAAATCGATGAAAATATACAAGCACTAGCACAGGGCTGTTCTGATCTTGCAAAGGAACTCCTCGAAACTCTCCGCAAGCTTGGGTTTGGAAAAGCTCTGACGAAACGCAAAGCGCTGTGGGCCGCGCTAAAGCACACATGGAAACACGAACAATTAGTCAACCTCCAGATACGCCTGGACAAGTTCAAATCAGAACTCACGCTATGTGTACTCATCTCAGTTCGGTAGGTCGCGATGCAGATGCAGTGAATTCTTCAGACGCTGACAGCGGTACTTTAGTCAAGTCGCAAGTCTCACATTGTCCAGACAAGGAGAATTACTCCAGAGACTTGGCAAGAGTGGAAATATCCCAATCGGAACTTCAGTCTTGGAATATGTTACATCCAGATTGGATGCATCATCACAAGAGAAGCACAGGCAAATTCTGGAAAGGGATCTCATCGAAACGATACAGGATCAGAAAGCCATTACTGGCAATGATACCAATACTCGCAAAATCGAGACCACCCAGAAGGTCAAACAGAAATCCATTGATTTGCTTCTTGCGAGTCTAGAGTACCCAGGAATGCAAGATCGAGAAGGTAGAATCGCAGATCCCCATGAAGTCACATTTAAATGGATCTTTGAAAAGAGCAGCGACAAGTGGATTAGCTTGAGGGAGTGGCTGGAATCTGATGGCAAGCTCTACTGGATCACTGGCAAGGCTGGGTCTGGGAAAAGCACCCTGATGCGATACATCAGCCATCCTTACCCTCGTCCCGGTCAGCAATACCCAAGGTCCCGTTCTCACGAGTATCTAGAACGATGGGCGGGAAACAAGAGGCTCATTGTCGCGTCTTTCTATTTCTGGAACTCTGGTCTTGAAGCACAAACTACACAGAGAGGGTTATTGATGACACTTCTGCGGCAAATTTTCGAACAGTGTCCTGACCTCCTGGCGTTGGCTTCTCCCAGCAGATGGGAGAAACTGTGCTTGTTCGGCCTGAATCCGGACTGGACCGATGTTGAACTACGGACCCTGCTCCTTCGGTCCATTGAAAATCTTGAGCATCTCGATGCGACAGTTGCTCTTTTCGTTGATGGACTGGACGAGTTTGGTGGTGATCTCAAGGTCTTGATTTCAATGTTTGAGGAGATACGGAAGCTACCTTGTCACAAACTGTGTGTTGCAAGTCGACCATGGAATGAGTTTAGAGATGCGTTTTCTCAAAAGCCTTCTCTTATGGTTGAGCATTTCACTCATGATGACATCAAAAACTTCATTATCGCACGATTCGACAGCGATCCTAGATTCGTCGAGCTACGTTCACGAGAGAGGAACTTTGCCAATCAACTAGTCGAGGATATCGTCTCCAAATCGTCTGGTGTCTTTCTTTGGGTTTCCCTGGTTGTGTCTTCGCTCCTCACAGGCATGAGCAATGGCGACCGTATTATTGATTTCCAGCGAAGACTTGATCTTCTTCCGCCAGATCTTTCTGATCTTTATCGAAAAATGATACAAAGTCTGGACAAATTTTATCTCGAGCATACTTCACAACTCTTTGCGCTTGTCGGAGCAAGTCGAGAGCCCATGAACCTTCTCCTCGCATCTTACGTGGATGAGGATCCAAGGCTTGCGCTCCAAACAAAGGTTGCACCACTATCAGATCAGGATGTCAACATTCGAATGGATACAATGCGTCGACGTATCAATAGCCGGTCCAAGGGGCTGCTGGAAGTCAGTGGCGGAATGTCGACGCAGCAAGGCAGCATCTACAGTGCCGCAACTCATCGAGAAGTCACAGTCCAGTATCTTCATCGAACGGTGAAAGATTTCATCGAAAGTGATAGTGCCGTCCGAGAGACTCTCAGAACCGCCTTGAAACCAACGTTCGACCCGCATCTTATGCTGTTGGCTGGCCGGCTTGCCTACTCGAAAGTAGGCAACATGGATCCAAATAAAAATGCAGATTACCTCACAGACTGCTTGCTTCATGCCCGTGCTGTCAAAGAACAGAATATTGACATCATGATCGAATTACTGGACAATATGAGTGAACAGTTTCCAATCATCGATATGGGTCATAAGCATTTTCAACACCTAGGACCATACAGCCGACCCACCATCACATTCATGTCCTTGGCTACAGCTTGTTATGTAGTTGAGTACATACGAGTAAGAGGCACGAAGCCCTGTTTAACCAAACATCCTGACAAACAATGGCCATTGCTCATGGACGCTGTATTTTCAATGCTTGGAAAGCATCTCCCCGCAACTATACCAAGAGAACATTTCATGGCAACAATCGAAGTTCTGCTTGAAAACGGTGCGGACCCGAAATTCAAGATAGAGGGTCTCGGTGAAGGCCCGACGAGGCAGATGTCGCCGTTGGCACTGGTAGCAGTGGGGCTCATGGAAGATGCGGAAAACTTTTACCGCCACCTTGCATGGCAACTACTTGCGAAGAAGGATTGGTACGACTCATGGACGATGGATTGCATCACAAATGACTATGCATTAAAGCCATTCTGGAGGAGCCGTACTACACAATTCGGTTTCAAATTTTGGGCCCGGTATCGGTTCAGAAAATCCGTGCGGAAAGCCTTGAATGATGCAGCCAAAGGGGGCCGCCCTGATATCTCGCAGATTTAGGACGAATTGATTCTGCTGCCCACTATATTTCCCCGAACCCTCCCGGGAATCGATCTAAACGTATCCTCGAAATGGTATGATCAAACTGGTCCACCCTTCGTCGCACGTCTCAGAACCTAGATTGAATGTGCACTTCGAACATCAAGCCGGTCATTGTCCGTTTCTCGTTGCTAAGTGAGTCCCGGCTGAAAACGTAGGGGAAATGGCACCAATTATACATGATGAAGTTACTGAGTGCTCAAAACATCAGTTACGATCGTTTTCAACCAGTAAACAGCTGTGGCGCAAATACCCTGATGGCACATCACAAAGCACCATCGAATCAAGCACGAATAGTGTGCCATCTACTAGGGAATGTCGGATTACTGGTGAGTCTCAGCCAGAGCTGACAGGCGGGATAATGGCAACTTCATCGCCCTCTTTGATCACAAGCTGATTGGGGTCCTCAACATTCTCAGGCAAGTCGACATAATTCAAGTTGACAGTCACGAGTGAAAAGTCCAAAATCTTGGCCTTGATGCCGACATGTCGCGTTTCCAAAAGGTCAAACAGTTTACTGATGGGCAATGGCGCTGGGAAAGATTCGAATTCCTTGGCCGTAAAGGAGCCAGCACTGGCAAAGTAGAGGACATTGAAATGTCCTGGTGGAGGCTTGACAACCATGGCAAACAAGAGTCATCTAGCAATCGAATGTTAGCTCATTGCTTCATGAAAGAAGTGCAGAGAAATCGAGTAATGAGATGTTGCGTCAGAGATCTTGGTGATAATTTGAAACATCATTGATGTCAGGTAATACATGCTTTTAATTACATCACAGCAACAGAGGTGAAAGAAAGGAGACATGTTGAGACTTACCAATAGGTATGGTTGAATGTGTTGTGAATGAGAAAGGTTGAGAAAAAATTGCTGCCGGAAATCTCCAAAATATAGCTAGATCAAGTCAGGTGACCCACCGGTACAGCTGGGTGGGCGCCGAAATCATTACGAGACCCATAGCAAGACACGCCTGTCAAGTCGCGGTTGTTGATTATTGAACGATTGGTCATGGAATGGACGTCTGTTTTTTCGTGGAAAGTCCATGTACACTCGAATCATCACCGAGCACAAGAGCGGGCTGGCTGGGATGTGAAACTTTCTGGCATTAAAATAGCAGAATTTCCCAAAGGGCCCAATGACTCCTCTAACAAAAGAGAAATCCGAATGCGCAGCACGATGGCCCTTTTGCCATGATGTTGTGGCAGTATTTTCCGAAGCCCGTGTTTGACCAGTTCTTATGCCTTATCGTGCCATGTCTCCAACGCCGCTCGTCGCCGTCGTCATACGTCTCCTCCAACACCACGTTTCCACGTTTATCGGAGTCTTCTGGCCTCACGCTCAGACTCGAGCAGGCACAGGATGTCGTCCTCGCGGACTGCGCAAAGTTAGCATGACCTTTTTCGTGTCGTTTCCTCGCTTCCCGAGCACCACTCTCAGGTCTTGGTTGATGAATGTAGGCTCGGGAAACTCGGGGGAGATTTTCGGGCTTTCGTACCGGGTCCCTTGACGTTTCGGATAATGCTACGGGTCTGGTCGTCCATGAACTCGACGCGAACCTGGGTGACACCACCACGGGAACCTAGACACTCATCGTCAGCGACTGCCTCCTTTTTCCATCCATTTCGTTTTGCGCCGGTAATCCTCATGTTCGTGCATCGCGGGTATTCGTACCAGTTCGGCCCAGGACACGGGTGACCTTGACAAGCTTGACGGGCTGCTTAGCGGAATCCATCTTGGCGATTGAGATGTGTTGGTCGAAGACGAATCTCGAAGAGGTTGATAGTGTGTAGTAGCGGAAGAGGGCTGGATCTGCGCAAAGGGACTCGTCAAGGTGAGGATGGAGGGATCGCGAATTGTCAAGTGGGTTTAGACCAAGCAAATTCCAGCCGGGGAATTTTTGGCATTCACCAGAATTTCGTGCGAAAAAAAAAAGTGCCCCGCCAATGGTAGCTTGAGAGGGCGGCGCCAGGTGGCAGGCAACTGGGTCCAAAAATAGGTACTTGCTACTTGACCCACATGAGCATAACTGCCTCTACAATGAGATTCCAGTCTCAAGCCAATGTGATTTTTGTTCTGCAGCATTGATGCATTTTTATGTTGCATTCATCATTGTTTTCAATTATTCTCGTCGCTATTTGTCGCTCAGGGCAATTCTCCCATCACACGTTATCTAAAGGCTGAAGCTGCGTAATCCAGCCGATTGCTAATATGAACCAAACTTGTGGTTTGTCCCTACTGACGGTTGCCATTCTTGACTTTTGCTATTAACGATTCATATTGGCAAGTATCAACTTCATCAAATCTAAAATTACCGCAGCTCATATCGTCCTCCATCCACCTCGTGTAAATTGCCTTCCATTTCATGATAGACTTGATTCGGCGGTACATTCAACTCGCTCGGTTCCTTGTGACCCATTTCACTCGGCCCCGGGCTTTTCTGGGGAACCACGGGCGGAGCTCCCGACATGGGATGATAAGTAGTGTCCTCGAGCTCTGTCCGGGGCGTCTGTCTCCGGCTCCGGCGGAACAAGAAGAATATAAAGCCTAGCAAGGCAAGTCCACCCACGGCCGCTCCCACGCCAATACCCGCCTTTGCCCCGGTGGACAGACCGCCTGCCTCTGTATCCGCTTCTCCCGACGAGGTTGCTGCTGGTAACGTCGTCGCCGAGCTCGGCACTGCGGCGTCTGTCTCCGTGGCATCCGGCGACACAGTGGTGGTTACGAATAAATCTGTAGTGGCATATCGAACTCGAATCGAATGCGCATTCATGCCATTTACCACGGTCGTTTTCAGCACCAGGCTCTGATCCGGCCCATCGACGTCGGTCATGGTCACTGTGAAATTGGCTGATGAATGACTGGAACATGAAAAGAAACCACCGTCACAAAAGTAGCCACTAGAGAAAGTCAGCGAAACCGTTCCACCGTCGTGGTCAGGAAGATATAAAGGGGTGCATACTTGGGACAACAGTCCATAACCGTCTCTCCTTCTATGGTGAGGCTCTTTGGCGTACATGCGCTATGGTAGCCCTGTGGACATAACGCCGGCGACAGCGACGAACCTCGCGCCACGGGAAAACATGCTGTATCGTATGGGTTCCCAAGGACTGGGCCAGGCTCGTAATCACCTGGCGGTGTTGTCATCCATATTTGCGTCAGGCAGGACGTTGGAATCTCCAAGGACGTGATCATTGCAAATCATGGACTTATGAATACAATCTCAAAGGAACCCAAGTAGGGAATTGATCTCGTGAGGTCGACGATAGCTTAGTCAAGTGCCGGAATCAAATCATTGCAGTAAAGGAAGCCATGACGAAAGAGTTGACGCGAGAAATTCGCATCATTGAGGGATTCCGGAGCGTGCGTCGTATTGCTCCTGGTAAGCAGCATTTCGTCAAAAACATGTGGTAGTTTCTTGGCGCTTATCCCCTCGCTCAGCACCCATGTGCCGTCGTACAAGCTGATCCTTTGGCTGGGATTACGAGAATGACTAGTTGTACGATTGATAACAGCTTCCTTTGCCGAGCCTTTTATTGCGCCAATCGGATGGTAGAATCCTAGACAGCACGGCAATCATACATGCACGGGTTTTTCGACCGACCCATGATGGATGTGTTCGGCAGTACGGCAATTTGAGTAAGATCGTGCGATGTTCAGCCCCCAAATAATAATATGGCTAGTCACACCTGTTCAAGCCAAAACGGGAATATTTTTCGATTTCAGGGGTATCAGAGAAATGAATTTTCAACAACAGTACAACATGCTGAAGATCATGATTTAGGAAAGCTTGCTCAACCTCGCCTCCAACCCCTTGACCCAACCATCAATAACTTCCATGTTGCCATTCATTGAGCTGTCGCTTGCCTTGATTGCAGTTTCAATCTTGTCGAGCCCTTCTCTCCACTGGATGATGTCCTCGGCCATTTCGCTCTGGTTCTTTTCAATTCGGTCCAGAGTTTCGCTGGCTGTGGCAGCATTTGAATGTATAGCCTTGAGAGAACGTAGACGATCCAGTAGAGGCGGCAAAAGAGGAGCCAGGCTCTCGATAGCTGGCAGAGTTCCATAGAGTGCATTAATCTTGGCCGTTTGCTCATCCGCGGGTTCCGATGTTTGAACGCCCGACGCTTCAAGGGATTCCTGGGCGGCCTTGGCAGCCTTTCTTGCCTTTTCAAGTTGATCAGCCTCTTTGGTGAGCTCTCGAACTCTGCGGCTAATGGTATCAATGGACGATGTAGATGCCTGTGATAGAATGGTGAGTTGTTTTTGAAGGTGTTCCAATGTGGGAACAACTGCTCCAGGAAGTCGATCTCCGTCCAGACCCGGCATGGAAGCTGCAGTCACACCAATGGCGGTCTCTAGTTGTGCCAGGCGGCGGTCGAAATCTGCAGTTTTTGCAAGAGTATGGCTTTGCTCATAGTCGGGCGCATATGTCACCGTGTATGTAGCACCATCAATGGCAGCCGACGTTGCGGATGGTTCTTTGACCACATTTTGGGCTGGCGACTTGGGCTGTCTCAAACCGCTGGTCGGAATGGTCAATTCGTCCAAGGCCGTACTCAAATCAGCCAAGTCCTCGTGTGGTGCGCCATCTGGAGAGTCCTTTCGTTTGTTGTACTCTTCCTTGGCTTCTTCAATTTCTCGCTTGAGACGAGCAATCTTTCTCTCCAGGTTCTCGGCGTCGTCCTCCTCGTCACCACTTAGATCTCCTAGTTCCAATGTGCCGTTTTCAAGAATTCGCTGTCTGCGGCTGGTGACCTTGTATGATTTCCGTTTTCCATCGAGGCGATCTGAAAAGTTGACGTCGCGAGCATCTACCTGAGCGGGAAAGAAGCGGTTCCGCGCCTCTTCGATCCGAAGCTTTGAACGGGAGATGCCAGGGTGGTCATCGTCTTCTTCGTCATCGAAATCGTAGTCGGACTGCGAAGGGCCTAGAGTAGTCTTTGGCTGTCAATGATTGATCCCCTCCACGTCGCAGAATAGCTTACTGGTGCAGTAGAGTTGTCGTCTGTGAGATCAGGAGTCTCATAAATGTCCGGCGCAGTGTCCTACAAGCTGTCAGTCGTTCCAGTGCCCAAGTCCAGGGGTAGCCAAAAGTAAACACGAACCAGGTCAGGAAGCTGGGAATACTTGCGATTTAACGCCATCTTTCGCAATTGTCTCCCTTCGACCGTCTATAAGCCCGACTCAAAGTTCTAGGGTTCAAATCGGTATCGTAATGCAAGCGAGAGCAATGATTCTTTGTTCTGGGTGGTGATGGTTGGAGTGCAGGGGTAGCTCCGTCAAATGGGTGGCTTGTGTCGGTGGCGGTCATTTAGTAGCCCGACGCGTGCCAGGCCTCTGTGAACGCGTCTTCCCATTCCAGCACCAGCTTTGTGTGAAAATGAGCTAATCACATGTAGGTAACGAAGACCTGTGAATTTGACTGTTTTTGCAATTCCGATTCCTCTTTACAATCAATTAATTCTACCATTTGTTTTTATTGCGATTGACCCTTGAGTGTTTGAAGCCACATGCGGCACGAAAAACATTCAAATCACAAACCGACCGAAACTGCAACATTTCCTGATCAACGCTTAAACTTTACTATAACGTCCCCTGGACTGCCTCACTTTCCACCACTGTCGTATAGGCATTTCGTCAATCTCATGGTTTTCTTTATTCAATTCTAGAGACGAATGCATCCACACTAGCAAAGTGGCATTGTTTGAAGGCGAGGAAGGTACCACTGCACATAGTGCTCAATTCTGCACCTACCTCGAGCCCTTGCAATCACGAATACACGGCCCGGGGCATTGAGACGCTTCTTAATCGGCATGAGTAGTCCGTGGCCCCAGCGTAGGCAGGGACTCTCTTCACTACAACAACCTTCTGGGCTCTTGAAAAACATCAAAGGTCGTAGGCAAGACGGTGTCGATTTGCTCAACGGTTCTCCATCCGCCATGACACCCAAGCCGGACGACCAAGATGAGGAATCGCTTAACAGGCCTCCCGACTCATCTGATTCAGAAGACGACAGATACAAGACTGCCGATATCATACCCACAAAATTCAAATCAGGAGCAGCCTCGACGAGGAATTCATCCGCTTATACGCAGAGTGGGGAGTCGCGGCTTTCAACAAACAATGAAGCTCAAAAAGAGGGCGAAAAGCAGCGTCTCGCGGGAACCAAACGGAGTGGAGACGACATGGCAAGCCATTTGACTGATGCAAGAGGATTCCCCAAGAAACCAAAGGTCAAGACAACCTTTGGCAAATCTTCGCAAAAAGGGCAGAAGCCACTCATTAGAGTTCCAAGCAGAAACTACAGCAAAAAGGACTCGAGCTCGGAAAAGGTTTTCAGATACCATTCGGTCAACTCCTCGCCAGCTTCCACTCCAGCAAAGTCGAGGTTCAAGAGGTTTGAATCACTCGAGTCTTCGCCAGAAAAGGGAAAGAAGGGTTTCGTCAAGCCAGACTTGGTTTCTGAAGACGACTCTCTGCCGAAACGGACACCGCAAAGGTCGCGGAGTGGCAAGAAACAGGGTCGCAATGACAAGGATTCTGCCAAAGATAATGAAGAAGCAGTGGAAACAACTCCAGTACACAAGTTCAAGACTCATTTCCTTGACGATCTCGACGACCTGCAAGATATATCCGACAGTGACTCTCGCGCACCTCTAAACACACAACAGGTCACGAAATTGTTGGATCCCAAGAGTAATGGTCTGGAATCCGATTCGGAACTCAGCTCCATGGATGAAGATGAAGTACTTTCATTTGAAGCCCGCTGTCCCATGTGTGACGACTTGGTAGACCCGGCACTGCTCAAGCAACACACATCGAATGGCAAGATGAATGTCAAGAAGCAGACGGCATTCTGCAGGATGCACAAGCGAAAGGATGCAGAGGCAGTACAAAGGACAAAAGGTTATCCGATTATTGATTGGGATAATCTCGATACACGATTGGCAAAGCATGAAAAACACACCAAAAATATTCTCGAGGGCAGGCAACCATCACATTACGCAAGTATACTCGGCGAGCGTGTCGAAGCTGGCGAGAATCGAACGCTATTGAGGACGGAAGAGAGCCTCATTCCAGGATACTATGGGCCAAGAGGTCTACGGGTCATGACGGATTATATAATGAAGAGATTCTCAGACACGATTCGCAAGCGAGCTGTCGAGGATCGCCTAGTCTCATCAAGAGGTTATACGGGATACGTGCAGGCAGTTCTCGTTCCAGAAATGGCAGTCTGCCTCATCATGGAGGACATGAGGGTTGAAGAAAATGACGCGAGGCAGATCTTGTCGGATAGTCGCGACGTTGGCGAGCTCGTCAACGAAGAGACCAAGGACATTGTGCGCTGGACCGAGGAAGAGCGCCAAGATGATTAAGCGTCGGCTATTGACTTTTTACTCTTGGGTCGCCACGATACCGCGCATTGATTAGTATATATCGGGTATGTAGGGGCCATGCCTACTTGGTCGTGCGCATCGACATGTCACTCGAGTGGAGATGTTGCAATGATCTTGCATTTCCGACATCAGATGAATGAGATGAATTTCAAAACGAGCGGAAAAACAACTTGTTCGTATACGCCCTGGCAAGACGGGGGAAAATGATCACCTATGGTGAGTCAACAACAAGTCTTTGACAAGACCAAGAGTGGGTTACATTTCTCATGAACCTGTTGTCCTCGAACACATTTTGAAGCACGACATTTTCATCTGATACTTTGCCACGCTGCCACGTAACGCACAGGAACCGGGATAGGGTTCCGGCGAGCGCAAGCATGGATTGTCAAATCTACCAAAAAGACCTCGCGGGGCCGCCATTGCTCAAAGTTCCCGGATGCACATGGAAATCGTTGGCGGCCAATGGGACTTGCGAACGACTGGTGCATGCGTACAAGGAGGATCGAGAATATGCAGCGCACGGCTAGGACATGCACGAAGAAAGTTCAAAAGCAAGTCATGTGCTCCAGACCCGGTGCAGCTAATGAGGGGTGAGGGGCTGTTTGCGAGGTCGCGGAATGGAGGATCAAATGTGACTGTCATTTTACTCGAAAAGAGTCGCCAACAACTGACTTGCCCGTCGATAAAGAGTCATTCAAGAGCATGAGCGTACTTTGCAGAGGTTCACAGGGGGAAGGGTGTTCAATTTGCCAGTTGCATAGTGCTACGGTCGTCTTTCAGCCAGCGTCGCATTAATTTCTTACTTGGGAGACCGAGCAAGCTGCGTGTCTAGAGGGACGGGCATGATGAGCTCATCAAAGCACAAGGCTGGCGCTTGAGGACGGAATTCCGTTAACCGACCTTGGCTCGACTGGGAGAGTATAGAAGATGGAGGATCAGCATATACCAAGTCTCTTCATGGTCGGTGGATTGAACATCCCCATTTCGCCTACGATTCGAGTTGGCCCTATTGCCAATGGGTGGCAGACGGAATAAAGTGACCTGGCAACGTTGCGGCGAATCCGATTGAGCATTAGGCTGACGACGCATTGCTGCAATGCAGCTGCGCTGCGATGCGATGCCCCTATTGCGAGCCCTGAATATGTAAGGGGTCTATGGAGAAATTTCACAGAGGCCAAAATCATCTTCTTGGCCAACGAGATCAAGTTCCTGGCCTCTGTAACACTGTGGATTTCGCCAGCGCTCTCATTCCAACCTGTCAGAACTGAAACTGTTTCGGGATCCGCAGCGCTTGAGCGCGGCTCTCGGGCGGCTTGGGCCTGTCATTCCAGTTCCTCTGTCCACGCACAGAGCGCATTTCCCTTCATTGGCGACCCTCTGTTGCCATCAGGGGTGCCCCATGAAAAGAAAAGGGCTGCCGACCCGCCAAGAGTGGGAGTCTCCATGGAAAGAGTTCCGGTAGCTACTATTAGAAGGTGACGCAGAGTCCGGGTGCTGATCCGTGCTCTTTTCTTCATCTCTCATAAATGTCTTTTCTTTTACAAAGTAATGGAAGTGGATAGGCGTCATAATGTGAAAATTCTTGTACGAGGACTTGGAGATTATCAATTCTCATCTCTTGTTTCTACACGATGTAATATGATATACGACTGAATGGCTGATACATCTTGGTTATTGAGGATATTTGAACCAAGTACACATGACCCAAGGATGTCCTCTGTTTTTAAGGTTCCAGCCCCGCTAGTCCCGATACTATTGAGGAGCTACAACTCACGCAAGTCTCGTTTCTGGTCCTGAAGAACTTGAAAAGTGTTTCAGACTGTGGTGATCGCCTCTTTTTGCCTCTTGACCAGAATGTCTGACGGTCTGATTGATGCCAATGGACTGGCAACTACGCTTGATGTTATGACTAATGCGCCAGTGGTTGCTTCATATAGCCCTAGATCATACCTGTCATTGAACCTACTATTCGCCTGTAATGACTTGAATGTTTATTTACAGTTTACTAGATACATGAACATACATGAGCGTGGCTGCCATGAATATGCTTGCGCTTGGATCTCTAAAAGTACACGTGCTTTTGAATCTAATTCCTAATTCTTGATTGTATCCAAACATTGAATTGACCCGTCTATGCTCATTTCAATACCAGCGTACTATGCAATGATAGTAAGTCCTAAATGTCGCTCGCCAGCCTATCCAACCAGGTATCGATTTATTTTTGGCCAGTGGTGTGAAGCTGGGATGGGATCCAGAGCTGGAGCCTTTGTTGCTCCCACCAGCACACCATGCACCTGGGACCCGACATCTGATCGAGGGGCTGGCAGCAGATCGACCTTTTGGTGCTGACTCTCTTTTTTGCCCGGGCCCTGGTTGATTCGGGGTGGCAGTTCTGGCGTTGACTGGCAGGACTGGTTCTAGGCTCTAGGCTCTACCAAGGCAAGGTAGCTCTTTGGTGCTTCTTCTCTCCCAGCGACTCCAGCTCGCCCTATGGCAACAAATCCTTGGGCTGGTGAACCTTGCATCCACAGTTCATCCACTGATGGGCCGGTCGGGGTTCGCACGTACCACCCGACTTTAGCACTCTCTTCCCGCCCGCCACTACCTTGGTACGAGGGACGAGCGGTCCAGTAGGCAAATAGACAGCTCGCGCAAGCGTCTATCAAGTTATTGGAGGTGAGATCGGGGAAATCGACGTGCAGCAAGTTCATGTGTATTGTCAGTAGACTCGATAGGTCGGGGCCAGATCAAACCGAGTTGTGTACGTAGTAGCTTGGCCTTGCAAGTGATTTCATGGTTAGCGCACTCCATCTTCATACTCGACCCTCCACAACCACGACAGCAGCCCATAACACACCCCGGACAGGTCGATACACTGTCCCTCCAGCCTCGACTACGCGACGATCTCGCCCACCATATCCAGATACTGATACTTGCTGTACCGCACCTAGCTATCGCATACCAGACCTACCCCACGAAACCGCGTCTCCTCCTCGATACAACCACATCCACACTTTCGCCAGGCCCTACCGATTTGCCGCATACATACATCCATCCATATTCTCTCTACTCTAACCCACCTATTACAACTACTCCGCCGATAGGAAATCCCGCGACGTCGAGACGAGAGAAACCGAGAGACGACAAGAAACAAGAACCCGCCACCGAGAATAAAGCGATGACTTGATTGAGAGAACAAGAATCCTCTGCTCAAATGTTCATGGCGTCTCCTCAACGACGGCTGAACCACCACAGTGGAGTCTAAAAAAAAAACAATGACGAGGGACGATGGCGTCGGTCGCATCAGCTCTATCGCGAGCTCCAGCAGTGGGCAGTCTGCTGGAACCGTGAGAGCCAGTACGCCTGGACGTTCAGCCTCTGTATCCCACGCCACCAGAAAGGCGACGCCCAAACCTCTGCGCGCGACAAATGACAATGGAAAGCACAGGTATGGATTACTTGATTCTATTTCTATTATTCGTTCCGCTCGCTCGGTTCCATTGCAAATTGCGCGCAAATGACACTTGTGACAAAATCTGAAAGTTCAGGTTAAGAGCAAGTAGCGCTTGGCCGTGCTTGACCTCGGCGCGTCTTGAACTTTTTTGCGTTTCCATCCGAAACTTTGTGGCAAAGCAGTCTCGACGAGTCTCAATGGCGGGGAAGCAAAGAATCCCAAGAGGCGGCGCCGCTTCCTGTACTCTCTATTTTGCCTCGTTTTCATTCCATGTGTAATGTTGTGAACCATGTGCATGGGAAAGCAGCATTGATCAAGGTGGTCATGTTTGCTTGCCTGGCCGCTTACGTACCTGTCCCTTTGAGCTGACGGGAGCCTGCTTTCCGCCCTTGTCTTAGGCCGTATCCCTTCAAAGAAGAGTCTCAAAACTCGCCGATTACGAATGCACGCGGATCCATACTGTCTCCTGCCTCCACGACGTCCTCTGGAAGTTCGCTGCTCTATGACACTCGACGGATGAGCGACCTCGCCAACTACCGGCGCGACCTGGCCGTCCTCGAGCCATCCGGCGGCCGGATTCCGCAAATACAAAAAGATCCTCCCTCTGCCGGGCCGACGGGCCAAATCGCTCCATGGATGATGTCGGGAAACGGCAGCGGGAACCAGAATGCGCCTTCGGGCTCGTTTGGCACGACCTTTTTCGATGACTCGAGCGACGCCGTCTCGGTCGCGTCACAGCTCTCGCCAGGCTTTAGGCACAATCCATCGCGAATTGTGGAGACGCCGGGGAGCAGTGATTCAGCTGCATATTTCAACGATGAAAGACGTCCCTCTGTTGCCAGCGTCACCACTGCAAGTAGCCAGGGATCAAAGCACAGCAATAATAGAGGTGGATTAAACTTGAAGAAACTGCAGGGCTTCTTTGGCGAGGACTTCCCCGGGCGCGATGGGTCCGAAACGAGCTTGCCAGCGGGCGGGCCAGGGAAAGAGCAGCGCTCCTACTCATTTAATCGGCCCACTAGGGAGAGGAACTATTCAAATGCTACCGACCACACCCGCGAAGCCTCCCCGGCGTCATCACGTCCAAGGACCCCAGTCCCCTCGAGTGATGTAGTTCCATTCCTTTACCAAGAAGCTGATGATATTGCCAAGTACGGCGAAGCTCCTGTTCGCGATATGCTTGCCGGCCCAGACAAAGAGCGATATGATAATGCTAACCAGCTGCCACCCAAAACCTCATCTTCCACGCGATCTGGCCACTCGATCGTGCATCTCCCCGGTCACCACCATCGACACAAGAACAGCAATGAAGACGGCCGCTCCCTGAGGCCTGTAGTCAGCCGAGACGACTCGATAGCGAGCAGTAACACCATGAAGGAGCGCGGAGGCTCTGTCGCGACAGGCGCGCGACGGGCGCAGAGCCCAACCCCGAGCGCCAACAATCTTAGGATGGCGTCTGTGGACGGCTCCGTCTCCCCAGGAGCCAACAACACCAAGCGCGGCCTCTTTGATCGCCTACGGCGGCACAAACCCACCAAGGATGATGCATCGTCTCGTCTCCGTGACATGCCGGCATCATCGTCGTCACTTGCATCGACCCTTGTATCGACTTCCTCTAGACACAACACCTCTGCCGGCCGAGACACCCCCTATATGAACAAACCCCTGCCCCCCATCGACCAGGCACAAGACCAGCGACCGAATAATGCACGGCAAGCGACTTTTAACAACAAGTTTCCATTTGCGAAAAAGGGCCGCGGCCATAGATACGATGATGAGGATGAATACATTGGCCCCAAGGACCGTCACGATCCTGGGCGCATGTTCCACCTCGACACGGACCTCAACAATATGGAGGGCATCTTGTCCCAACCACAGCCATTGACCCCAATGGACCCGGCCATACTTCCGCAGTCAGGGGGAGATCTTGAAAAGATTCCAGAGGCAGAAAACTACAACTCTGCCGGCGGCGCATGGAGTGCCCCTGACAGCTGGGCTGTTCGACGTACGGCAGAAGAGCAGGCTTCCAACACCGACAACCTCGAAGAGTCCGTCATTGCACCACGGCCAGAAGAAAAGAAGACTGCGCACTGCATCCGCGTCTTTCGTGCCGACGGTACCTTTGCGACCGTTCAGCTTCCTCTCGAGACGAGCCTCAACGACGTCATGGCCCAAGTTGTTAAGAAGACGTATGTGGCAGATGGTGTTGAAAACTTTCACATGATTCTCAAAAAGCATGACCTTACCCGAGTTTTGACTATTCATGATCGACCCCTACTCATACAGAAGCGACTACTTCAACAGATCGGATACGACGAAGAAAAGGACCGGCTCGAGGATATCGGCAGAGAAGACAATAGTTACATATGCCGCTTTCTTTTCCTTTCGGCAAGGGACGCCGACTTTATCAATGCGCCAAATGAACTTGGTTTCAGTAGGACTGCCAAATACAGCCACGTGGACCTTTCTGGCCGCAACCTCATAACGATCCCCATTAGTCTGTATTCCAAGGCCAACGACATAATCTCTCTCAACCTCTCCCGAAACCTGTCCCTCGACCTGCCAAGAGACTTTATCCAAGCATGTCCTCAGCTGAGGGACATCAAGTTTGCCAACAATGAGGCTCGCAGGCTTCCCATCAGCATTGGCAGGGCCAACCGATTGACATATCTCGACGTATCCAATAACCTTTTGGACGAACTAGAACATGCCGAGCTGGGTGGCCTCGTCGGACTCCTTAGGCTCAACCTCGCCAACAACCGACTAAAGAGCCTGCCGCCGTACTTTGGCGCGTTCAGATCTCTTCGTTCGCTCAACCTGTCGTCGAATTACCTCGATCAATTTCCTCCCTTTTTGTGCAACCTCGAAGGCCTGGTCGACATTGACGTGAGCTTCAACTCGATCGCGGAGCTGCCAGAAGAAATCGGCAAGATGCGAACCTTGGAAAAGTTTGTCATGACCAACAATAGACTGGCTGGCGCGTTGCCTACAACTTTTAGCAAGCTGTCCAACCTGCGCGAGCTCGACCTCAAGTTCAATGCCCTCACCGCCATTGATGTCATTGCCGAATTACCAAAGCTCGAAATCCTCTCTGCCGATCACAACAAGATTTCCCAGTTTATTGGAACATTCCAATGTGTGCGAAGCTTGAAGCTCAACTCGAACCCAATCACAAAGTTTGAGATTACTAAACATCTCCCTACTCTAAAGATGCTCAACTTGTCCAATGCGCAATTGGCAAGTATCGATGGGTCATTCAACAACATGTCCAACTTGGAAAGGCTCAACTTGGATAGAAATTACTTTGTATCACTACCCAACCAGATTGGCAACCTCCGGAAATTGGAGCATTTCAGCATTGCCAACAATTCAGTCGGCGAACTGCCCCCCGAGATTGGATGTCTTGGTGAGCTGAGAGTGCTCGACGTCCGGGGAAACAATATGAGAAAACTGCCAATGGAGCTGTGGTGGGCAAACAAGCTGGAAACTTTGAATGCTTCTTCAAACGTTTTGGACGTGTTTCCCAAGCCCGCATCCCGTGCGCCTCAGGCACCCGGAGAGACGGGAACACCACCAGCAAATGGCACCAAGTCAGTGCCTGGTCTCTTGTCCCACGCTTCCAGCACGGAAGAACTCATGCCCGACGGCTCGAGAAGGCCCAGCCAAGCATCGAGCACATTGCTCAGTGTCGGTCCCTCTCCTGTGCCCGGTGGTCCGGATCGCAAGAGCTCCGTCGTCTCGGTTTATGGCAAAGGCGGCCGCAAAACTTCAGTCATGTCGAGAAGTACGGGCGGCAGTACCAATGGCACCACTGTTGCCCCGTCAATGACTACTAGGAAAGACTCTGGGCTGTCGGGCAGATTGACAAACACCTTTGCCGGCTCGCTGCGCAATCTCTACCTTGCAGACAATCAGCTTGACGATGACGCGTTTGACCAAATCACGCTCTTGGCAGAGCTGCGCGTGCTCAACCTGTCCTACAATGATATCAGCGACATGCCGCAAAGATCCATCAAGAGTTGGCCTCAACTCGTCGAGCTTTACCTGTCTGGAAATGACCTGACCAGTCTTCCGGTGGACGACCTCGAAGAGTACAGCTTGTTGCAAGTCTTGCACATTAACGGGAACAAATTCACCAACCTTCCTGCCGACATTTCTAGGGCCAAGAAGCTGGCTGTACTCGACTGCGGAAACAACGCTCTCAAGTACAACATTTCCAACGTTCCCTACGATTGGAACTGGAACCTCAACCCCCAGCTCCGATACCTCAACTTGTCTGGCAACAAGCGGCTGGAAATCAAGCAAGCCGGCTTCAGCTCGGCATCGCAAAACCGAGAACAGTATACCGACTTTAGTCGCTTGACGACTCTGCGCGTGCTTGGTCTAATGGACGTCACGCTCACACAGCCAAGTATTCCGGACCAGAGTGAAGACCGCCGTGTCAGAACGTCTGGCTCTCTTGCTGGACACTTGCCTTATGGTATGGCTGATACTCTGGGCAAGAATGAACACTTGTCTACTATTGATCTGGTCGTTCCCAGGTTCAATTCTTCCGACTCGGAGACGCTACTGGGCTTGTTCGATGGCCAAGCTCTCAGCAGTGGTGGCTCTAAGATCGCCAAATATCTGCATGAGAACTTTGGGCATATTTTTGCCCTCGAGCTCAAAGCTCTCAAGACTCGCCACAACGAAACACCCCAGGACGCTCTTCGCAGGGCCTTTCTCGCTCTCAACAAGGATCTTGTGACGATTGCCACTTCGCACGGCGAGGACCGTCCCGTTGGGTCACACCGCGGCTCTCAGACTCCGATTGTCTTGAGCAAGGAAGATTTGAACTCTGGTGGTGTTGCCACGGTTGCATACTTGGAAGGCCAAGAGCTGTACGTGGCCAATGTTGGCGATTGTCAAGCCATGTTGATCCAATCCGACGGGTCTCACAAGATGCTCACTCGAAAGCATGACCCCGCAGAACCGGCCGAGCGTCAGCGCATTCGTGAAGCTGGTGGCTGGGTCTCCCGTCAAGGAAAGCTCAATGATTTGCTTGAAGTCTCGCGTGCTTTTGGCTATGTTGATCTCATGCCCGCCGTCCAGGCAGCGCCTCATGTCACTCAAGTTCGCATTACGCCACAAGACGAGACCATTCTTATTGCTACCAAGGACCTATGGGAGTACCTTACCCCTGGCTTGGTGGTTGACGTGGCCCGATCGGAACGGGGCGAGCTCATGCGGGCATCGTCCAAGCTGCGAGACTTGGCCATGGCCTATGGCGCGTCTGGAAAGATCATGGTCATGTTACTGAGCGTATCTGACTTGAAGCGCCGCCAGGAAAGGTCGGCACGCCTGCATAGAGGCCAGAGCATGTCACTGTATCCTTCTGGTGTTCCCGACTCATTCCAGTACCCTGCCAAACGCGGCAGAAAGGCCAAGGGCGAAGTGCTGGACTCTACTCTCCATCGATTGGAGGCCGAGGTTCCCGCACCCACCGAGAAGCCATCCATTGTCTTTACCGATATCAAGAACTCGACCAACTTGTGGGAAATGTACCCATCTGCCATGAGATCCGCCATCAAATTGCACAACGAAGTCATGCGACGACAACTTCGGAGAATCGGTGGATACGAGGTCAAGACGGAAGGTGATGCCTTTATGGTGTCTTTCCCGACCGCCACCTCGGCCCTGCTTTGGTGTTTTGCCATTCAAACCGAGCTTCTCAAGGTGGACTGGCCCGCCGAGATTCTCAACTCGGTCACCTGCCAGGACGTTTTTGACAAGGAAAACAACCTCATCTTCAAGGGTCTGTCGGTGAGAATGGGTATTCATTATGGTGAACCCGTCGCCGAGATTGATCCCGTCACCCGTCGTATGGACTACTTTGGTCCCATGGTCAACAAGGCTTCTCGTATCTCCGCCGTGGCCGACGGAGGTCAAATTACCGTGTCGGCAGACTTCATCTCCGAGATTCAACGCTGCCTCGAAACCTACCAGGAAGGCGAGCGTAATGCCTCGCGAGTTTCCGAGGACACATTCGATGAAGACAATGGCGCAACCCAGATTCGTAGGGAGCTTCGGTCGCTCAGTTCTCAAGGTTTCGAAGTCAAGGAGATGGGTGAAAAGAAGCTCAAGGGTCTTGAAAATCCCGAATACGTCTATGCCCTGTACCCTCACGCCCTAGCTGGTCGTATTGACCATCACAACCAAGACGCTCGTCCTGTAGTCGACCAACCTGCCACACTGCAACCTGGCAGCGAGCTAGGCTTTGAGCCCGAGATGATTTGGTCGCTGTGGAAGGTTTCTCTGCGCCTGGAAATGCTTTGCAGCACACTCGAGGAAGTCTCTGGCAGAGGTCTCCAACCACCAGAGACTGAGCTTTTGGAAAGAATGAAGCAGCGTGGTGGTGAAGTCACCGAACGGTTCTTGTTCAATTTCATGGAACATCAAGTGAGCCGTATCGAGGTAAGCATGACTTGATCCATTCGAGTACTCGTACTAACATTTCCAGACTTGTGTCACCACCCTGAGCATTCGACATTTGGCTGCTGGTGGAGGTGAGATTACCGAACTCGATGATCTCAGAGCACCCATGCCCATTGTCCTCGACGATATTGCCAAGCAACTCAGACTCCTCGAATTGTACAAGGCCAAGTACGGTCACCTCAACGAAATCGAAGAGCTCGACGGCAGCGACACGGAAATGGAGTAGCACTCTCCTCGTCAACGCCAAACCTAGATCAACGTAAAAGTACATTGCATCATTCGTATTCAGTCTTGCGTTTACGATACCTCTTTTCTCACATTGTTTCGACAAAGCCGCTTGGTTCGGTGCTATATACCTACCCACATTTGTAATTTGCTATTAAAAAGGTTCTACAATTTTTGCTTGCGGTTCGGATGTTTTGCCGACGCAAATGGGACAAGTCGCCGTCAGCCAGCGAGTTGATTGAGTGGTCATGACTACATGGCCACGGGAAAGGAAACATGGTTTGGTCTATAGGACCATTTGGAACTCGTTTTTATCGTGACGGCCAAACGGGCCGATGCACACACGCACAAGTTCATTTTTCGGGTGGGAAAAAAGAAGGGAGGCATCCTTGTATCATTAACCTAGTATTGTTATTACTGCATTGTTCGGCAGGGCTGGAATGCAGATGCGTTCGTGGGAAAGGTGATGATACAAATGGGAATGGGGCTCGCCATTCCTCGAGGACGTCATGGCGTGATACCTACCTACAAACATGGCGCGTAAATATTGAATTGATAGTATTAAAACCAAGGCTGCGTGATGGTGACGAGTTTACATGGACCAGATGGGCATGTCCTAGCACTGCATGATATTTCTACGAATCAAGTGTTTAGCAGAAACCAGTGATTGTCATAAGACTAATGTCGAGGCATTTTCGATTAGCTTTCATGGCTGAAGACGCCAGTAAACACTTGGTAAGAATTCTCTAGTCGTTTCGTCTCTGGTTCTGGAGTGGCAGTTTGGTAATGTCTACCTACTCATTAAGCCCACAGCCACATGGAGCAATGAAAACATCATGTCAGATGGCAGCCTTGTAATGTATAGCGATCAAACGATGCACCTACATTATTCCTGGTATAAAGTAGCTTGAATCAAGGCTGGATACGCTGGCTCTACACACAACAACAACAACAACAACAACCTCGACAATGTCGGCAATCAAACAAGAAAAGTCTAGCGATGCTACTACGCACCGTGAAGCACTCTTTTGTTATATCCAACTACTTAAGATGTAGGGATATAGTATGTAGACGGCGGGTTATGCTAATTCGTTGGAAATGGTCAAAGATACTCTTGGAATTAATCCAAGAAAAAGATGGGCTTGAGCCTGCCGTTAGTTTTATTATATCATAAAAAGAATTCTCCTTTTCTTTTCTCTTTTCTCCTTTCTCTCTCTCTTTT